AATTGGTTAGGGTTAGGGTTAGGGTTAGGGTTAGGGTTAGGGTTAGGGTTAGGGTTAGGGTTAGGGTTAGGGTTAGGGTTAGGGTTAGGGTTAGGGTTAGGGTTAGGGTTAGGGTTAGGGTTAGGGTTAGGGTTAGGGTTAGGGTTAGGGTTAGGGTTAGGGTTAGGGTTAGGGTTAGGGTTAGGGTTAGGGTTAGGGTTAGGGTTAGGGTTAGGGTTAGGGTTAGGGTTAGGGTTAGGGTTAGGGTTAGGGTTAGGGTTAGGGTTAGGGTTAGGGTTAATCTAAATGTCTAAATTGAGTTCAGTTGTCCGGTAGCCTGCTCTTGCGAGTTGACATTCTAAGCTTTCTGGTCTTTTCTTGCCTTCTTTGAGCTGTCAAAGAGCCATGAGACCAAGTAGACATTTTCGTGATAAACTGTAAAACCTCTCCATATCGGGCCTCTCACGGGAGAAACGAGAAGTGTACGGTATAGAACGTTTCATAAACCTCATTAAGAGCCATATAATATACACGTACTGTGTCGTATTGTGATTGAATATAGCTCGATATGTATTACTACTTAGTTTACATCACCCACCAAATGCGATATGAACAACTCGGTTTGATTGTTGAGGAAAAGAAGAGGTTTGGTAATACAGGTAGGCCGGTTTAGATTAGTACAATTGACGGTACAGAGAGGTTTTATTTATTACAAATGTGATTATCTTAACCCCACTGATTCATCATTGAAATCAATAAAATGACAGTACAGCAGGCTATCGTTTCGATCTTGACTGTGCCATTGGTGCAGTTTCTGTGAAAATCGATAAGGCTGTATTGTAATTAGTTAGCGATGAAACTCTTATATCGCGATCGTATGGTTAAACTTAACGTTTTTCAGTTTCAGACCTTTCCACTTAGAGTTAGTAATTCCTGATTATTACTAAAATCTGCCGAGATTTACTGAACTCCAACTACAAATATTGGTAATTTAAGTATTCTTGAAACGAAAAATTGACTAAGTTTTTTTTGAAAATCATTTTTCTCCGCGTTTCATGCAATTTGGTCACTTTTGGCGGAAAAAATATTTTGAATTTTCGAAATTTTTCCAAGTCTCGAAAAAAAATGTAAGTGAAAAATTTTCAAATTTTTTCTGAAAACTACTTTTCTCCGTGTTTTAAGCTATTCCGATCATTTTTAGCCAATAAAAAATTTTTAGAATTTTGCTAATTGGTTAATTGATAATTATCCAATTAAATTATTATCTGACGTAAAAATTGTTAGAACAAAAGTTTGTTATGAACACACTCGATTGATTCGCAACCTTTTACGATGTTCACAACTAAAGATATTCGACAAATAAGAAAGGTGGTAAAAAGTGGTAAAGTGGCAAAAAGTGGCCTTAAGCCACGTGGAAAAGTTTGGAAAAGTTGGTCAGCCATAAAGGGCACCTAATGGGACTCAAAAACGTCAAAAATCCTCTGAAAGCTTCGTGTGTCAGCAGATCGATTTTTTCAGACGGATTTCCCTGTACTATTTATCCTCTACATCTCGGATATGTTATGTAAGGACCAGCTTCCACTGGAATGCAGCTCTAACTCAAGTCTATTCAAATATGCGGACGATGGAAGCATAGCAGTATCCCACATGGATCCTATATGTGCTCACCGGATAATGCAGCTGATGTGCAAATACCTTCATGTCTGGTGCAGTAAATGGAAACTAATCCCGAACTGTGATAAAAACAAAACCGAGTGCATAATGATCGCACCAGCATCCTCAACTGCACCTGATGTCACAACCTTAAGTCCGTTAATTATTGGCAGCAGACCCATAACCTATACGTATCAATCAACTGTTCTCGGATTAACAATCGACAACAAGCTCACATTCAAGAGTCACGCAAAATTCAAAAAGGTGACAAGAATACCTGGGCCCCTTTGGCAAACTTTCTGAACTCAGGCAGCTTGAACAACTAAATTTGAAAAAGTAAAACTTCTTGTCTGAATGAACTATTAGAACCTCAAGAAGCTGATCCGCATGTCTCCGCTACTAAAATGTTTAATGAGCCCAATCACTCATCACTTAACAGTTTAATCTTCAAAGTGAGTTGTACAATCTAGGTTGTTTTAAGTAGCTGTTGATAGTGTAAAACAGGAGTGACTTGATCGTTTTCATAACTTCGATTTACAATTTGTACCATAATAAAACTAGCACTGCCATGGGGTTCAAAAAGGGTCATTGTAAGCCTCCAGCGTAATGGTCCTAAGTCTCTGCCCCATGCAGTGCCTGTCAGCATCAGCAAACAGAATAGCCCTAACATAACGATCAAGCCACAAATTAGGTTCTATAATGATTTAATATTGTTGAATAAAGAGATTTGAATATAATATTTGTTTTATTCTGAATATTTGTTTTATTCTGAAACTCAAGCAATGCTGGCTTGCCTGGCACAGGATCACCCAAAACTCCACCCGCCACAGAGGTCTGAATACAAGCTCACTCAGAATGCTCTTCAGAACAGTGGTACTCACAAAACTTCTATATGCTGCTCCTATATGGCTAAAAGATAACCTCGACACTTTCAAAGACTTTTATGCCAGGGTCCTCTTGAAGATAAGCGGGGCCACTCACCATCCTCCCAAAGATTTGACCTCTGTTGCGCTTGGGATTCCACCCCTTGAGATATCCTACAAGATGGTCACTATAAAATTTATAATAAAAGCACTTACAAGTTACCCATTTATGCAAGGGCTCATCTTGCAGCTAGAGGAGGCAAAGGCCCACCGATACCAGCACCATATTGACGAGATACGTAAGTTTCTAACGTGGAAAAGTGGGTCTAAAGAACTAAACAGAAGCAAAATAGACCTTCTGACTAGTGTCCAGAACGATGTTGTCAGCTACTCAAAAGAAGAAATAATCCGCTTCATGGAGTTTACTTGGAATAAACATCTCCTGCTGAACCCAAGAATAAATCAGAGTGAGGGTCAGATACTGGATAACATTGATGAAAGGAGCAAACGATTATTTCCTCGCTACTCAAGCAGAAACACGGATACTAAGGTTATGTCTCTCCTACATGGCCATGACATCACCTTTGCAGCCTTCCAGGCAAGGGTAGCCAATAACTGCGACCCTCAGTGTCCAAATTGTAAGGTATTGGACACCAATTATCACAGACTCTTCTACTGTCCACTGTGCAGCTGCTCTTACAGGGAAACCCTGCAGGACCATTCCTTTAATGACCAACCATCATGGTCTATCTTAAGAGATGATAGTGATAACAGCATCACTGCCTTCCGCTCTCTAGCACAAATTGCCATTGGTGAACTATCATAAAGATGATTATTATAGTGCTCATCTCTTGTGACATTTATTCTTCTTCAGTCTCTACTACTCACTCTACTGCCTCATCTTCTGAACATCATTATCTTTAGTATAGTTGAGGATTCTCAACACCCACTTTCAAGTTGAGTACTCTCGACCCACTTAGTCCACATGCCTTGCAAACTTACAGCACGGTATTTGTAATGGTCTAAGTTCCTAATACTCGCCAAAGATGGTTCCTGTAGTCAACCGTAGGAGAAGAGAAAGCTCAACAACAAATTAGATGGCTGCATTTTGTTTTCATTTTATTAGGTCCTAGTATTTATTCCTATTGTCTTAAAGTTTTAAGAGAACTCACCTTAAATTATTTTAATGCAGTCACTCAGATAAGTTTATATCAGGACAATTCAATAAAGACACATACTCTGCCCACAATAAGGGGCCATAATTGTTTCAATTATGTAACTGTATAGAATTATTATATCGGGTCTCAATAAGAGGTCTCGACTGCCTAGGCATCAAACCTTGGCAATCGGTAATTTTCCTCTGGCCCGGAGTCAGCTGACCCTAGGGACCAGAGGATAAAGGCGTAGAGACTGTGTGTATCTACAAAAGTGGTTGTTTTTACAAGAGACAGGGCTTGCAACGCAAGGGAAGAAAAACGGGAGAAACAAACACAAAATGCATATTAAATGACTTAGAAATTCAAACAATCCTACACTACAATAAATTTTTATTACATAATTATAATATGTTGTATAAACAAGAAACAGGGCTTGCAGGGCAAGAGATGGGACACATAAGAGCTGGCCACAGAGTGTATAATACAGTAATTCAGCAAACACCTATTACTAATACTGAAAACTGAATCACAAATTATCACAATAATTACAAGAATATATGAAATACTAAACACAATTTTTATACAAGAAACAGGGCTTGCAGAGCAAGGGAAGAAAAACAAGAGAAATAACTGTAACAATTGTATATCACAAATTCCAGACGAAAATAATCTTTGCACAAATCTGGGAGTAAATTCAATACAGTACTTAATAAATACAATAACTTATTGTATTTATTAACTTATTATTATTATTATTATTATTATTGAGTAGTACACTGTTCAAAATTGTATTATACTTAATATTATCCTATAACAAATCTCGTCAACTAATTATGCTCCTTTACAAATGTATTGTTTAATTTGCTATTTATGCTGGTCTGTCGTATTGAAAAACATAATTCAGCATACCAGCCAGTACAAATATAGTTTAAATGGTGGAGACAGTTGTTTAATAATAATTATAATAATAATTTAAACTTTAAATATATTATAGTGGCACAACAACTTAAAATGCACAGGTGTTCCATGAAAACAGTTCAGGATACAATAAAACCTGAAAAAGCAACCCACATTTATATTCTAGACCAGATAAGGGTGATTAGACTTGATACACTAAATTTAAACGATAATGTGTATGCATTTTCCAGAAGAACCAAATAGGGAAAACTAGGATTGAAAAATATTAAGATACAATATTATGAGCACGTTTGAAAAGAAATGTTTTCAGATACACTTTAAAAGAGTCCAATGTTGTACAATTCTTAATCTCAAATGGTAGTTCATTCCATAATTTAAGGCCAACTTTCTGAAAAGATCTTTCTCCATATTATTGTGTATGCACTCTAGGTTAATAATGGACGAATGCTTTCACAAGACCAAGTGTGGACAACCATTCCTTTTATTAAAAGATTCTGAGGACAATGTAACTGTTGAGGCATATACTGGGAACAATAAACTATTTGGTGACCTTGATCAGACTGTTCGAGAATCTCACAAAATCTCTGATCAGGTTTCTACAATCCTACTATTATTTGATATAGGAAAAGGGTCCTCTCTGTTTTGGGCACTAAAAAAGTATTGGGACACAGACAACTGTTTGTTTTTTATCATCTACAATATATCAGCTACATTAAGGGCCAGTAAGTAAAATTTTGCAATATTGCGCCACTGCCAAGAGTGTTTTAAACCGTATCATAATGGGTGTACCCTCAGGACTTATGGAGTATCCTGACGAAAGATAGCACTATCGACCAACAATTCTTTTGGAAACTTGATCACAATCAAAATAAATTAACGTTGTTTCAAGAGTTAGGTCTTGATGAGACCTCGACTATACAATGGGCTGTGTTTAATCTGGAAAGAGATGACCTGACAGTAGAAAGTGCTGTGGAACTTATTAACAGGTATGTGCATGTTTCATCATAATTATATTTTATTATGCTTGGACACTTGTGACAGCTGAAAGTATATACTAATTTGACCAACTACGGTCGTAAGCTTTAAACTTCTTTCATTTTCAAGGATGATGTCAGAGATATCTGAGACAAACAAGGCATTAGTTGATAGAGATTGTGAAATGAAGATGCTTGGTGATAGATGTGAAGAAATGCAGGCTGCCATGAATGAGCATACTTCCAAAGCTGATATTATGGAATCAAACATGTTTCATCATTTTACAGAGATATTAAATTCTAAGAAGCGTAAGATAAGACACCTTAACCAATTGATGGGACCTCCAAAGAGTCAGATGGTGTTTCAAGCTGACTGATAATTCAGTCTCAATATTTGTGTACAGAATCTGTAAAAATTGTTTATTTTCATTATCTGAATTCGAATAGTTGTTACTTGCACAGCTTAGGTATTTGATAAATCATAATTTCTTTTCAATGTAATACATGCATATTATATATATATTTTCAAATAACTCTAAGCTGAATCTTAGCATGTTATGAGAAGTTCTTGGGTGCATGATGATTGTTTGATAGACAGTCTTTTAGTAACAATAAATGATTTTAGGTTATGAGTGCACAAGAATGCTACGAGGAACCTGCACTGAAAAAACAGAAGCTAGATCCTGAGATTTCTGTCCAAGAGTCAAAAAATGAGAAAAGTGAGATACCTGTTAACATTGCAAGCTCAGAAGATCATCCAAAACCTGTCACTCAGACTTTAACAGATGCTGAACCTGATAAATGTACGCTAGATCCTTTAGCATACACAAAGACTGAGCATTTTACTTCAGAAATTTTCAAAATTTGCATGGAAAATATTCCCAAATATGCAAATGCACCAGATGTCAGAAAATTTTTGAAAAAACATGATCTGGAAGCTGTTAAAGTAAAGAGGCCGTTTAAAACATCATATGCATATGTGACCTTTCGTGATGAAGCAACTAGGCAAAAGGCACTTGAAAAACTACAAAATGTGCAGTGGAAGAAAAATTCATTAAAAGTTGATATTGCCAAACCTGATGAGAACCCTTTTGCTCGTAATGAGGCACGTGGAGAGAAAAGATTACAAGACTTTCGCTCTGTAAGAGAAAAAACTGCTCCACTTTACGAAATGACGCTCAGCGAGCAGTTAGAGTTGAAGTTAGGAGAAATACAAGGAGTTTTAGATAATTACAAAAAGTTGCTAAAGCGGTCGTGGCAGGCTGGGTTCCCTGAAGAACACTACAGATTTAAAATAACGGAAATAAAACAATCTCCTGTTCTAACAGGATACAGAAACAAATGTGAATTTACTATAGGTAAAAACACAGAAACCAATGATGAAAACTGTATTGGTTTTGTGAAAGGATCATACAGCCACGGTAACATATCAGTCCAGTCTCCTGATGAATGCAAGGAAACGTGTTCTGAGCTTATGATCGCGGAGGTAAAAAAGTTCAAAGATTTTCTTTCTACATCCAAATTCCCCACATATAACAACATTTCCAACACTGGTGTGTGGAAGGCATTACAAATCCGTACCACAGAGCAACAAGACATCATGATAACACCTGTTGTAGACAAAAGATCGTTAGACCCTGAGATGTTAAAGGATTTGAAGTTGTCTGTTATCGAATTCTATTCCGATAGACAAAAGTGCTCAGTTTTCCTCAAACTGGTGGGTGGCAAAGAAGAAGTTGTTCACCTCAGTGGACCAGATCACATGTTGGAGAAACTGTGTGGTTACGACTTTCAAATAACATCAGGCTCCTTCTTCCAAGTGAACACATCAGGAGCGGAGGTGCTGTACAAGACAATCAGAGAAACTGCTGAGCTGGATGACAAGACCATCTTATTGGATGTGTGCTGTGGAACAGGGACTATTGGGATTATTCTGTCAAAGTACGTCAAACGTGTACATGGCATTGAAATAGTTGAGTCTGCTGTTGAGGATGCCAAGAAAAATGCAGAGAGAAACAAAATCAACAACATTGCGTTTTATGCAGGCAATGCTAAGTCAGCTGTACCAAGGGTTGTGAACAACATCATAAAGTCACCAGAAACAAGGATTGTAGCAATTGTTGATCCCCCGCGTAACGGAGTCCACGCTGACGTTATTGCTTGCTTGAGGAAAAACGAAATGATCTCAGAGATTGTGTATGTGTCTTGTGACATAAAACAAATCTCAGACAACATTGTCAATCTGTGTTCACCAACTTCTAATAGATACCTAGGTGATCCGTTCAGGTTTGTTAGTTGTGTGGCAGTTGATCTCTTCCCTCACACCAAACGTTTTGAGGTTGTATTTCATTTAAAACGATAGCACATATTATCATCTTATCAAGTGTGACTTTTTGAATTTTTAGGGGGTCGTAAATTATTGAATATGGTATCTTTTTATAACTTATTATTTTATGAAGACGGATTATAAATTTCAAGCCCTGTTTCATTAATCATTATAAAGTCAAGAAATTTTCGTAATTGAAAACCTGAAATGATGTTCTGCAAATCATGATATGTTAGCAACCACCTTACTAAGTTATAATATTTCACTTCTGAAGAATTGTCTCTGATTATCCAGGTACTTGAACTTATGCATATCAAATGTCAGAACCTTGTGCAATAATACTGATAAACGGTAAAAGGAAATGTGGGAAGGACTATCTCGCCTTAGAATTAGTGGAGAACCTGGGCCCTGCTGTGTGCGAAACACTCCACCTCTCCACAGAGATTAAGAGAGAATACGCACAACTCAACAACCTCGACTTTTCACTCCTCCTCACTGACTCCCCCTACAAGGACGTGTACAGGAAAGAGATGATAGCGCTTGGTGAAGCGCGGCGCGGCGCAGACCCCGGCCATTACTGCCGGCTAGCTACAGAGCACGGCTCCAAGCAGTGTTGGGTAGTAGTGGACAATCGCAGGGAAACTGATATCGAGTATTTCAAACAGCAATATCCGGGGAAGTGTATAGTAGTGAGAGTTACTGCTTCAGAGGAGATTAGGAGGAAAAGAGGGTGGAGTTGGAAGAGTGGTGTTGATGACGCGGAGTCAGAGTGTGGGCTTGATAAACACGTACCTGATATTCCTGTGTGTAATAATGGGGACATATTATCTGATGGCTTCTTAGAAAGTGTGGAGCTTGTGGTTAGATGGGTTAAGGAGAGGTTAACCATTTGAGTTTTTAACTGAATTACCGTATCTTTAAAACTGCTATCGTGAACAATACTGTTATTGACTTTTCTTCCATATCAAATTCTATGTCGACCGTACCTGTTTTTAACGTTATGTTAACCGAGGCATTCATTCTTTCATTATTTTAATAATCATTAAATTATAACTACTGTTCATGAGATCATATTTTTTTAGTAACCGTAAAACCCTTATTTAATTTAAAGTCTCGTATTATTATTCAATGTGTACACTTTACACTTTGATGTAGTGAGAGTTACTTCTGTGCTCCTCTAATTACAAACTATAATTATGAATTATTTCACTCTTCCACTTCACTTTAAGTACTGAGTTACAGCAACATTCGTGCTGTTTCTTTCTGAGGATGTTGTATATATATATAATCTCGAATTTCACATTAATATATTCTATACCCTGAACTACTGCAACAGGTTATGGTACTGAAATGACCTGAAAGTGAGCCCTAGACAGGCTACAATGTGAAGATGAGTTGATCCATGGCTAATGCAGCTGCTATGCTGGGTCAGTAATATGATAATATAATAAGGGCTCATCACGTGTATTAGTAGTAGTCATCACGTGACGTCATCATGTGACGTCATCATGTGACGTCATCACGTGACCACCCACTGAACCAGCTCTTTAGCATTGACTCTTAGATCTCTACTAGCCGTGATTCTAAACTGTTACTTTGGAACAAAGATATCCGTAATAAGGTAGCAATTAGGCACTAAGTAGTTACTAATTAGTCATTAATGTGATATTAATCACCAGGTGATACCCGTAATTTAGTAGTACCCGGCGAGGGCAGCAAAAGAAGATCCCTGAATAATAACTTGAATGAGACTTGGTACGGTATCTACAGTCCCACCCCTGTAACCGAGTGTAGAGATAGAGTGTTCACTGATTTCACTGAAGCTACTGTCGAGTCTAAGAAACTCAATGCTAGATTCCAGGTTAACGCACCGTTTCCTGTATCTTACAGTTTATCCAATTATGTAAATTAAATATTTGATAATTTCTGGGATCATTATAATTTGATATTTTGCCATCATCCGAATAACAACTTGTCCCTTGCAGAAGTTCACAAGTGAAAATGACGCACGTAAGTTCGCTAATACGGGACACGTGGACTCTCCAGTGCGACCAGCACGACCCAAACTGCAAGAGAACATCGTTAAATCACCTGCACGCAAAGGAACCAACAGTATGGTTAGTTCTCTCACTCTTAATATTATACCTGCTAAGTGCTTGTAATATTACTGCAGGAGTGTGCTGTTCTTTGTATCTCTTGTAACCCTGTTTCCTCCTAGAACGACGTTCCATTTCAGAGAGGTTCTTTAGGAGAGGACACCATGAGCACAAAGAGCTGTCCATCAGTTCACCAACGAGAGATTGTCAAGTTTAGAGTTGCCATTGAAAAGGGTGATCTGCAGGTAACTTACCCCAGTTAGATTAATCAGCTAGAGGTAATCTTTAAATAGTTGTATTACACTCTGGTGCTGGTGGCCGGGTGCCACAATTGAACATTCATTCCGACATTGTTGCTTACAAAATACCATCCTTTGATATTGAAACTGCTTTGTAATGGTTAAATAAAATCTAATATGCATACGTGATTTATAGTGTGGAATGTGGGTGTTATGCAATTGTCTGGCCGTGTATCTAATGGATGCTGAAAAAGGTGCAAAAAGGTTTTCCCGGGCCTGTAAATTTCATGTTGCCTCGTCCTTTTTGCACTCAGACTGGACCCCCACTTGCACTATGACTACACTCGAAACTGCTTTCTAGCACTACATCTAAACTCACTCTTGTCTCCGTTTCGTTTATGTAACTTAACGTGACCAGAGAAAAACACAAGCTCATTGACAGTACCTGGTATGTACCTGGTAACCCTAAATGAACATTCCACTGACATTCCCTAAATTCTTCATCAGACAGTGATAAGATGTGTAAACGAGAATCCTCGCTATCTGATATCGTCAATAGATAAACCTGTGACAGTACAGACGGGATCTCACTACAATGCGCTACATTGCGCTGCTAAGTCAGGTAAGAATAACGCACCTCAATACACTGAATTTCCAGGTAATATGCACAAGAGTTAATTCAGACATACAATGCAATGTGACGATAGATGGACGTAACAATTCAATATTTTTCCTGGAAAATAAACAAAGCATTTTGAGCCCCTACATGAGGTATAAAACCGTTCTTGGCATTCAAACCTCAGTTCTTTCCTAAATTTAATATTTACTTAAAAATCGCGGGTTAAAAATTAGATATGATAGATGAATTACTGAAATTAGTGATAAATCATCAAAAAACACATTGACCAATGACCATGCGAACCGTATGAATTTTTCTTGGTCGATGATTACCGATACTTAATTTCCTCCTGTTGAAAAAAGTCAGTCTGCACCCGGCCTGCATAGCATGTAAGGTCTCATTTCTCAAATGAAAAGCATAAATATATAAGCTGATAAGGAAAGTAACATCTAACACTGTAACCGTGTTAGTAAGTCAGATACTCTGCGCTGTAAAAGCAGGTACTGGAACAGTGTGCTAGATGTGAAGTACAGGTGTCATTATTATCAGTTGTGACATTATCAATTTTCTTACCTCTTGCTACCTGATATGAGTTGTTGTGTCATATTAAATTAATGTGAACATTATTTTTACATTTAACACCTTGAAACATAATATAAGGGTATATAATGACAGGGCAGAAGGAAGTAGCAGAGTACATAATGAACCACCTCCTAAGTGACGAGCCTTGGAATGTGCTCTACCCCACTGAGAACGTGAACAGCACAGCGCACTTGGAGCGCCGCGCCATGGTCATTGACGGCTACTTCAACACCAGTGATAAAGGGGTACTTATTATTTAGTTTAATGTTTAATGATAACAAATCTAGCTCTTCTGTTAAATCTTGTATTGAGAGGTAGAAGAGATCTGTTTTTCTCTCAAGACTAATTCTAATAGTATTTAGTAGGGGTAGTTAATGGGAAGTTAGGTAATTAATACAGAATGATAATTGACTTCTATAGTCTATAGTCTATACGGTATACCCCAGTGTGGAGAGACACCTCTACATTTCGCTTGTAAGTTTGGACATCTGGAGTTCGCTCAGTGGCTCATGTCCTACAACCAAGTGGACGTTACGCAGCGCAACAAGTACGATCAGACGGCGGAGGAGGTGGCGGGAACGCGGTGCGCAGGAACGGAAGAGATTCAGCGCAAAGTGACCCAACTGGTGCAGGACAGTAGGCACAGTGTTTACGTGCCTGTAGTCAGGGCTGTGGACAACTCAATGCCTCCCTTCTTAGGACAGCCTGTCACTCCCGAGTACCTTCACTCTAAACGCCTGTACGTATCTTTTACTGGTAGTTTGTAATAGTTTCCACCAATAAAGGGCGGAATTTTCTAGTTTCCTCTTTCTAACAACTACTGCCACTTCCTGCTTACCTTGTTCAGATCTTTTCTTTTTTTTCCCTGCGGATCAAACATTTTAATAAATAAATAGCGTTATTGTTTATAATGTATAATAAGTCTGACACCCCACAGATCATCGAACAGTTCTAAGATATTGGTTGGGGAGCTCAGTTTAGACGACAGTTTGATTTACGCTGACTTTGAAACGCCCAACTCTGACCATTCCTTCCGTAAAAACAACAGGTATTAAGTTGTTTAGAAGGAGATATTGTGATATTTAATTAGATTTATCCATTACCCAATATTTTAGAAGTATGATTCATTAATCAGCTTTCACTCCGAAAGTCCTAACTTGCATTTTTCAGTTTCAGCCACAACTCGCCACTCTCACCCTCTCTAAGCATATGCGCATACGCTGGTCCAATGCTAGCGTCTGGGGCTAAAGAGTTTCGCAAAGTTTGGAAGACACCGCCACGAGAGTTATCAACCTGGCGGCGCGACACACTGACCGGAATAATGCGGAGTGACAGCGATAGAGGACTGGAGAGAGTAGGGCGTGACCTTGCTGTACAACAAAAAGTTAACTGGAAGGAATATTGGGACTTCCTGGATATGTTCTTGAATTTGAGAGAAGATGACGGACTGGTAGAACTTGAAACTTACCTTTTGAAGAACAAACCCAGATTCATATCCGGGTAAGATCAGTAATTGGACTGTTTTTTAATCAAATGTTTTGTCTTTCATTTAAAATTCATTAAGATGATTTTCCTGGCACTAACTCAATAATTTCTGTTTAGTGACGCCCCGAGTAAGACAGATCAAGATGTACTACACGCATTACCCCCGGGAGGGATTGGTCAATTGACAGAGCGCTACCCAAACATCTGCACCTGGTACCAACAAGTCCTTACCTTCCCTGAAGATGAGAGGAAATGGTCAGTTGCACGATTTGTCTAGCTGATTCCCTGCGGATTTGGAGTGATAATCTGCTGCGCGTTTTTGGGCACAAAGAGAACATAGTCGTTGGCATCCACTTTGCGTCGGCGGCAGTAACATTTTGTTGTTTCTTCTGCGCAGCGCGCGTAATTAGTTTCGCGCGCATTTTCAATATACGCCACAATTCAACTTGATATTTCTAACTTCAACGTCTGTTTGTATTAAAATTTCTATTACTAGACTGTTTTAAAGATTTAAATTGAGGTACTAACTCCTTAAAGCGAATTAAAAGCTGTAAGCTGTCTAAAGTTTTAGCTCTTTCCATGTAGACTGTCTTGCTGAAATTTGACATATCTTCGTGTTGAAAATCACACCGATATGTATAACAAAATGACACATCGTTAACAATGGATTTAATTAATGCCAATACTGTTTCAGCTGGACTACACCGGTTGCTAAGAGAAAGTTATCCAAACGAGAGATCTTAACCTCTACGCCATCTCGACACCGTGACAATTCGGATGCTGGAATAGTTCGTAATCTTATGAACGATCTATCTCTTGAAGACGCAGGAGATGAAGAAAGAATTCCATCTCCCGAGCAAGACATTCAGGAAATACTGGTTCAGGGTGTTTCTAATCTGTCAGTAAGGGAAAGCAACAAACTCTTCCCTAAAACTTACCAGCAAACCCCCAATCTGTGTGGAATAGAAATCAGCGAGAGTGGAAACTCAGGTGACCAGTCCTCCTCCCAAACCGGTGCCCCTTCCAAAGAACCTCTCCCACTTCCAATACCCAGCTCCCACTGGCTACTCAGCTCCACGCCCAGCGAGGCGAGACAGCGATATTCCAAACCATCAAATTCAGAAACCACTGTAAATATCGACCAACCCCGCAACCGGGTCCGAAGATACTTATCATTCCAGGTCCTCCGGTGGTTATTGATCTTCATCGCCGTCTGGACCATCTACTTTGCTTACGTTTATTTCCAGGCCGATCTGTTTTTGGCGAATGATTCAGATCGTCATTTGTAGCAGTGGTTAGGAAATGCCCAGCTGTTTGGTTATTTAATTTACGGGGGCGCATTAGAATTCTACCTCATGAGCAGAAATTGCGTTCGTGAATAAAATCGCCAAAATAGAGCCATACTATTTGAGGACACACATCACCCGAAATAAGACCTATTTTTTGTATTTTTACGAATACAATGATTCAAAGAGGCGCTTGTGAAGTTTAATTTTAATGTTCCTCCTTAAAGTGGGTGTGATTGCAATTTCTGAATTCCTGATGAAGCTTGATGGGCTAAATATAGATAGGACTAATCCATTTGATGATGACTTGTTAGACAGCGGTGTAGGCGCTAAAGTTATGACATTTCCGTAAATGTATGACTTTGTAAGGCTGATCGTTTGGTGGTGTATCCCGAAATACTAAATGCAGTTATTGATTAATTGTAAGAGATTTGAATTTTTAACCTACAAAACAAACTTAAATCTTTATTTATAGATCAATCCGCCCTTTATACTAATAAATAACAAGTATCATGTTATAATTACTATGATTAGATTTGAATTTTGGAGGATTGTGAAACATGACTGTCCGTTGAGATGAGGTACGATCCAGTTTTATCTGTTAAATTATTGCTGGGATCTCATCATCTGATCAATTGGTTGATAATTGGTTTTTATTTGAAATAATTTGATCCGGATAAAGTAGTAATTTTAGAGTTTTTGTCAAAACAAAGGTCGTTTATTAAGAGCCGGTTTGCGTAGGTAAAAGTATGAATAATAAATAATAAATGTATTAGATCAAACCAACATCTACTAGTTGGAGAAGGGGTTAACTTGCATTTGATAGGGTGAGAAAAGTAAACTGGGGTAGTACAACTCAAATTGACGGCTTAACGCTCTAACATGGACGACCCTTTAATTATCCCAAAATATTTGTTAATTTTAATGCCGATGATTTTGGAAGTGACATGTGTCTGGTACAACAATATATGATGACATTTTGAGTATAATTTTAAAGCTCAGTTTATGAATCAAATAATTTTATTTAAAGTTTTGTTTCCAAAATATTAGTAAAGCTGTGTCGTTATTCTAAAATCGCGTCGACTTAAATACATGAAGTTTGTCTGAAAAAAACGTATAAAATTGATTGATCTATAAATCAACAGATTAAGATCATCTATTCTGTATTCCCGTAGAAATGTACAAAAAGCTGTGAATTTGAAGTTCGAACACAAGTATGATGGTGTAAAAGGTAAATTCTTGTGCTTTGCCGCTAAAATTGTTTTTACTGTCTTTCTTTAAACCGCTGTCTGCTGTTTACTTTACCTCTATCTGTTTCCATAATTAGTGCCAGTTTACGGACACATCTTATTATTCCATGTTAATCCAAAGCTTCCCCCTTCACATTACAAATCACTTGAGAGGGAATTGGTTCAGATTAAAAATTACAGTCTGGCATTACTGTTCGGCACAGATGATCAGATGATGTTAGATATACAAATTGTTGCTATTTATGTGTGCTGTGTTTTGTGTTCCTTTATCTTATTCTACTTAGGGGTCGTTCACATATTACGTAATCAGCTGAGGGGGGAGGGGGGGTTCCAAAAACTTAAGGTTGATTCGGGGGGGGGGGGGGGGGGGTTGGTCGTTGATGACGTAATCAAAATTTTCTTTTTCACCCTCTAGAATAATGGGGGGGGGCCAACCATATTAAAGTATATTAAAGTATATCCCCGGGTCAAAATCGGAAAAAATCCTACATTTTAATATACTTTAATATACCTACAATTAGTAGATTAGAAGATAAGCCAATTACTGGTCCCCTGAACTCATACTTCATATATTTTGGCTCATAAATTAGTCAAGTATCAATATCTTTGAACAAGACTAACCTTACATGAAAGGTAAATCTAATCTATACATTAAATAAAACAAAATTTTTCACATAATTTTTTATAATGTAGGTATATTAAAGTATATTAAAGTATATTAAAGTATATCCCGGGTCAAAATTGGAAAAAAAACCTACATTTTAATATACTTTAATATACCTACAATTAGTAGATTAGAAGATAAGCCAGTTGCTAGTCCTCTGAACTCATAATTCATATATTTTGGCTCATAAATTGGTCAAGTACATGGTAAGTAACATGGATTCAAAATTTTAATGGAGAAAATGTAGGTATATTAAAGTATATTAAAGTACATTAAAGTATATTAAAGTATATTAAAGTATATTAAAGTATATTAAAGTATATTAAAGTATATTAAAGTATATCCCCGGGTCAAAATTGGAAAAAATCCTACATTTTAATATACTTTAATATGGTTGGCCCCCCCCCCAATAATAACAATTTGACAATATTTTAATTCAAATTCCACTCAATTTCATTCTGATAGTGATAAAATTAAGAAATTGATCGGATATCCGACTATAATAGTAAGTAGTTTGAAAGGTGCTTGGCCGGATATCATAACAATGATTTCGGCTCATCATGATCGGGGTAGCATGAAACGTAAAGAAAAATGAGGGGGGTCAGACCATGATTATGTAATATTGCAGTCAGGGGGGGGGGGGGGGGGTTGGGTCTTGATTCCGGTTGATTACGGAGGAGGGGATGGGGGTAAAAATTGCTAAAATATTGATTACGTAATATGTGAACGACCCCTTATCTTTATCAAGCGAATCTTTTGGCTTAATTAAAATAATAACCGTATTATGTTTAATAATTATCATAAATATTATCATAAATATATTTGTCACCAAGATGTAGCCAACTTCGGCCGACGTTAACATTGGCCGAAGTTGGCTACATCTTGGTTACAGTTATTCCCTCTACAGGGCCATTCTGTTATTCCAGATCAGGCGTTAATTGACATTGATGTAGCACATCTGTTAAAATGGAAAATTAAGCAACTTAAAGTTAAATCCTGACATATTGTAACTTTTTATATCTACCTAGTACCATTACATCAGAAGGGTGGTATGAATATCTCTTTTTGAAATGTCAAAATATCACTTCAACACGTCGCATAGCCAAATGTTACCAGCGTGAAGACTTTCCTCTTTATCGACAGAGTTTGCCGATACTATCCAACTATTTCGAGGTTTTTTTTCAGATATGATCTGAAAAGAGGTGGGGATCAGATATCGCGGTATGAGTTGAAACGGAATATAAAATATAGCAGTGTTTGCAATCTATCACAATGGGAACAGACTCTGATGTGATTGCTCTGGGACTTGTCGACAACGAGGAGCTGGAGAACCCGGAGGAGGTAAATTGACTTTTAGTCTAGAATGTTAATATAAGTTATAACGAATCTGGCATTTATTGAGTTGTATTCGTTGAAGTGACACTGAGTTGATGTAAAAGCCAGGTATCGGGTTAGTAGAGCCATGATCGTTTACATTTTTCTTTTCCTGAGAACCAACCCGGCGAGAGGAAAGAGCCTTATATTTCCTTGGGCCTACCAAACATAGCTTGATGGATGGATGGAAAAAGCTGCTCTCAACTTTTGAGATCGACGAGTATGCAAACTACATTTTAGCTTTCTTGCTTTTAAGTAATTTTGAATTCCGCTGTATAATAGATTTCCTTGTCAATGCTGATGGCTTTTGCCCTTTTCAGGCACTTTATCTTTGTCCTGCGAAGTCAAAAGTATCTCGTTACGTTCCTTTGATTGCTTCAACTGCATCATGTACTCTAGTACTAATCCCTGCTACTAGAGTTATGGAAACTCTTTATTAAATGAACTCCATTAACTGCCACGCAAATTCTGTATGGCACTTCAGGATCCAAAAGAAGGTTTCTTTACAGATCGTAGTCGTACTGTGCTGAATTTGTCTCCGAATTCTCGTCTCTTTCCTTCCAACCCACAAGATTGAAGTTCACACCGACACAAAACCTAATCTAAGACTTGCAATTGATAAGTATCAGGGATCATGGTTTCTTTAGGTCTCCAGAGAACTAGATAACCACCTCTCCCTTCTCATCTGAACCGCTCTCTTGTCCGCCCAGTTAGTAATAGTCGACACACACAGAGTTAGTCTTCTCCACATTGTCTTCAGATGTGTCCTCATATCAGCCTTTCTTATGAGGTACACCGCAGGGTTGCACGCTGAATTCAACGGAAGTAAAATGTACAAAAACGTGTCTCCCAGCCCGATTGGTATCGACCTCAAAACTTTAAATTTGGAGAATCTGTTGAGACCATGAATGACAATGTATCCGATATTACAAACACAGTAGATGACTGATATGATTCCAACTGTTACTGTAGCTTTCCTTGTTGTTTTCCATGTTTGTGTTTGCGACTTTGAGATAAAAAGCTGTCCTATTGCAAGCAGGTTGGAGACAAACACTACTGTAAATAAGCTAACCAATGTGAAAAATTCCACACAATAAAGTTTCTTTTCCAAAGATTTCAACTCAGCTGAATATTGAAAGGAAATTAACATTAATTCAAAAACCACAATATATGAACAGTAAACGTAGATGGAAACTTTAACGAAACCCCAGTTTATCATATAAAAAGTTAAAATTAAATTAATAGCTCTTACTGAAGCTAGTAGACACGTTAAGAAGCTAGTCATCATGACTAATACATAAAGGATGTTCTCAGATATGACTTGTAATAGATGTTGTTTAGTCGGAATAGCACAAAAACAGACAGTCGCAGACACAGTGACTAGGAGATCGAATATGTTCAATACAAGAAACAGTTTGGAAGTTATTAATGTGTCTGCATTTCGTGTTGCTGGACTGTTTGACCTGATTTTAGTTATAAAATAAGATAGCGACAGACTGTTCGTTATTGTAGCAAATACTCCTATCAGCGCAGTGAAAACTGGGATAATTCTCATCGATATTGGTAATTCTTCTGTCCAGAAGGGTGGGGAGCTCGTTTCCATCTTTGACGTTTCCACTGTTATTTTCAAATGTCCAAAGGCTATTAGATAGTTCTTTCATTCAAAATTCTGATTGTTTTTTAATAGTTTCAGTGAAGACAGATTCTAATGGAAATAAATAGCTGAATAACGTGGATAACTATTTTACTGTTAAATATATTTTGTTTGAAATAAATTTCGTCGTCAAATTTTTAATGTAAATATTGATCGTTATAATTGAATTAATACTATTTCAGAATATGAGTATGACGTAGAAATGTCGATACGTTATTCAGCTATTTATTTCCATTAGAATCTGTCTTCACTGAGTCTATTCAGAAACAATCAGAAATTTGAATGAAAGAACTATCAAATCTTGAGACTCAATAACACTACACGAATCCACCAAAGGCTATTAGGTTAAAAGGCTTAAAAAAGGTTAAAAGCACAGAATTAGAATAGACCACTACAGTAACAGCGGTGATCATGAAATAATTAAGAGGCTTCCTGGTAAATACTGTTAGAAGATGGCCGTAATACTAATATAGAGGTTATAGACAGGACTTATAGACTAAATTTATAATTAATAGTTATAGACTGTTTGAATAATACCACAATAATGCCTAATTCATAAAATATAATAATGATTTATTATTAATGGCATTGTTCTATGCAGCATTTAAATATATTATATAACGCCAGACATCCATTCTCTACCTTTGATAAATACATAATATATTGGACACTGTGCCGACTAAATGGTTCTTTAAATTCATATAATAATAGAATAATACGTACGAGCCAGGAAGTCTGGGAGTGCGTATCACCAGCCGAAGCTGTGCCAATCACAGCTTGGTTACTGGCCGACTTGCATCAGACCTGGTTTGAACCCGCGACCTTCTGTATGGGAATTGGGAGGCGATCGTATTACCACTATACGGATACCACCCAGCTGATACGGTCTTCACGCCGATCATTAACTGATTAACTATCCAAAAATTTATAATTATGGCTTAACAAGGTTGACCAAACGTATTTCATAAACATCCATGGTGACATTCAATTCCAAAGAATTCGTTGCTCAATCTCCAGACTTAGTATTTGCTTTGTCTACCAGAATGAAAAGAAACGCGGTGCCAGCCTCTAATAAATTTTTTGTAATTATCGTAAATTGTCGTGGAAGTCTGTATTATGATGTAAACTGTACCAGGTACCACCACCAATGAAATGGATGGGCAAAATAAAAGCTGTGTTATTGTGTATCAGAACAGGTGTTGTGAACTTAACTGTTAAATACGCCAAATTTATAGCATTGGTCAGGTCAAGTTTTCAGATTCAATGAGTAAAAAAAGAAAGTGCTGGTTTGTTTTCACGTTGCTACAGCAGGTCTGTTTTCTGTGCATTTCAAGTAATAACTTCCGTGTATGTCTGACCTAAATTATTATGTAACTTTATTAACACATTTATTTATAAATAGCACTTTCAACTAACTAGTCCAACATGAAGACAATCTGTCTAAAAAGAAGATGTTAACGAGGTCATCAATTAATTTAACCAAAATAATTATTTATCAGATTTGACTGGTTATTGGCCGTTATCATCCTTAATAATTGCATGTTTTTTGTTTAAAAAAAAGGCTGGGCCTAAGTGGTCCACAAGAGGATAGCATGAAGATGCTTTGCTTGCCTCTGGGGTATGGTAACCCTCCTAGGCAGATCAAATGAGGAAATATAAAATGCTCGCGCAGTAAATGCATGTTATGTTGAATGTTGAATTACCCCGTTTGAAAAATAAGGAATGAAAACCAATCAGCAGTTGTATCCGTTAACGGTTAACAACCTATTATGTATGTCACTATCAACCATGATCAGGATGTTTGATTGGGAAGTAGGATCTGAGTGTCATGTCACAGTGACCAGTGACCAGTGACCAGTGACCAGTGACCAGTGACCAGTGACCAGTGCAAGTGACCAGTGACCAGTGACCAGTGACCAGTGACCAGTGACCTGTTTTATCTGTGCAATTACCACGATCAACATTACGCTATTAAATATAATACACGTTTGTTCAAAGTATACCCACCTGCTTACTTTACCAGTAAATGTACCAGGTATCTGAGAGACTAGAACCATACGGGGAGGACCCACCAATCTCCGACCTACTGAACCCTGATGAAGTCTCTGTCACCATGGAAACACCTCCTTCTTCACGAAACCCTTTCCGTAAGTTTAACATTACACGTGGTCCAATTTCATTATTATCGAATTGAATATTTACGCTGACAAAAATCATCTGAGGTTCTGTAAATAAATTTTATTTTATTTAAACGAGGAATAAGTGAAGACTGAAGTTTCCTATCAATGATTCAATGAGGGCAGCATAATCTGGGGGGGGGGGGGGGGGGGGATCAGGTACTTAGTTTTGGACGTGACGTCGACTAAGTGTAATTTTGGAATTTTTCAAAAGACCCACCCACCCCCTTCGCGGTACTAACTGTTTTTTTCGGATAATAATTAAGACACCCACCCCCTTTTGTCGGCTTTTGCGGTACTAACTGTTGAGAAATCACGATACTTACTAGTAACTGTGTCTTAGTATATAAAATAAGATACCCACCCATAAATTGCTTTAAACAGCTCATTAAACATTGGGAAATGGGCAAATTATACCCAATATTTAGTAAGGGTTTTTTGAGGTTGGACACCCCCCTTGGCCTTAGAACCACGTACTAACTGTTTTTCTGGGAAATGAGCAGCAGACCCACCACTTAGTACAAAAGTACTAACTGTGTTTTTCACACATAACATCACACATGACAGCACACATAACATCACACATAACAGCACACATAACAACACACATAACATCACACATAACATCACACATAACAGCACACATGACAGCACACATAACAACACACATAACATCACACATAACATCACACATAACATCACACATGACAGCACATAACAACACACATAACATCACACATAACATCAAACATAACAACACACATAACAACACACATAACATCACACATAACAACACACATAACAACACACATAACATCACACATAACATCACACATAACAACACACATAACAACACACATAACATCACACATAACATCACACATAACATCACACATAACAACACACATAACAACACACAGTAACACGTTTCAATGCTCACCTACTTAAAGTGTTCCTCACTGAGCACAGTGGTCACTGATCATTATTTCAGTCATGTTCAGTCATTTGATTTTGTACATACACTTCTGACAGTGCCAATGAGTCGTGGTGTTCAAATATTATAATATTACACTCTGATCAGAATTTACTTAAGAATTTGAATTCAAGTCATCTGAAGCTGTTTATACAATTTAACTTGTTTTACACGCACATCTTTAGATTGTAAAGATGTAAGTGTAGAACAATAAAAGTTGAGATAATTATAATTCAATGTTGTGTAAGGGATTGTGTGACCATATTTCAACATCCTTTGCTTGAGTTTGTTTTGAATCTATGATGGTTGGAGCACGGTAAGTGGATTTATGCATTTCCCTTTTATTTTGCAAGATTGTTTTTGTTTTTAATTTTTGTCATGCTTCAAAGTTCGTAGCATGTGCTACGACAAAAAACTTGAAATATAAAACTTGTGTTTAAACTTTTGTTAAAGACTGCAAATATATTCAGTCAGAGGCCAGATCCTATATCACATCTTATCTAAACTTGTTAAAGGTGAAGATGAAGGTATTTTGGATTAACCCGGTATATCGGGTTACCTTGACAACCACGTGCTAACGTCTGAAGGTCTGAAACAGTTAATATGACCTCATTAAGTGCTTACCTCTCATTAATGAACATGTGGTCGCTTGCCTCGTACAACCTTATAATTTGACATATGTTTAATGGAAGGTATTAAATATAGCACAGCTCATCTTGACAGCTTCTTTGGTCGTGAATCTAGCTCTAGTCACGTGACTCTAGTCAATGCTCTATATTATTGTACTACGTTAGATCCATTTGGTTTCATTCTGTATAGGAACACTTGGTTAAAGTTAGTTGCATATTCTCATTGGTGTTTAGTGCTCACTGTTTGCCCTGTTAAACGTCTGGTTTTATTATAATTTATAGCACTGCCTACTGATCTTCTGTCTGTCTGGTCTCCAAGTTGCTAAACGTCGCGCGACTAGTTTGTCGCGCGACTAGTTTGTCAACCTGGTGTCGACTAGTATTAATAAATTATCTTTTGCGTAGGTTAAGATGGGTCCTTACTTATTTATCATAAATTCTCTCCTTTTAAGGTCACGTGGCTTCAATGTAAAAGAACTGTTATATAATCTGTGAGCTACTCAAATGATCGTATTTGTCTGTACACGCTTATCTAAGATTCACCAAGTTGCTTTTCTGAGCCATTTTTAGAACATAGTGCTACGATTTAATATAGATTAGATATCAGTGGTCGACCGGGGCCCCGGCCAAAATTTGACAATTTGCCGGGGTAAACCCCGTCCCCGGCCAATAAATTTAACCTCGGCCCCGACCAAAAACCATGCATTTGCCGGGGGCACAGCCGGGGATTTCATGAATGATTTTGGCACATTTTTGAAAAAAATCAAACACAATTTAATGGTAACTTTGAGATTTCAAAGTTGAAATAGTTATTGTCTACGTTGGGTACGTTTAAATATAGAAAATACAACATACGGCTTAAATTAAACTACGGCTAGTAACATAAAAACCGTGGTTCTTCCTCAGTACCTTTAAAACGACAAATTTAGTCTACCATAAATTTAGTCAAACTTTTGACTAAAATTTTTGTAAACCAAATTTTATGTGACTAAATTTTTCGGCGACTAATTTTGAAGTAGACCAAAATTTTAGTAGAGCATATATGAATTAAATTTTATTGAGCTTAAATTCTTTATCATATGTTTATGATAAACAGTTAAATATTGCTAACTGTACACAGGTCCCTACTGCGTGTAATAAGAAATTGTATGCTATTATATGTAACTAATGTATGTCATGTTGGCTCGCCGTTGGAATGTTCCCAGATCGAGAATATTCCTCCTCACCAAAATACGGGCATATGTTGTAAGTTACAGGATCACGAGGTTGATAATTTGTCCACGTGACCGTTTGGTGTGTACGTGGGCCCATGGGAAATTTCTGATACGTGTGTTCCGTTGTCTGTACTTAGTTCACTTAACTATAAAGTAAGACTTTATATGGGAAATTGAAAAAAAATAGCTTAATAATGGAAAAATCAAATAAATGGAATGGAAAATGGTCTCGAAAAGTCAAAAAATTCGACTAAAATTGTTGTAGACTAAAAATTTGCGAAATTTGTGCCCAACATTATGGCTACCAAAATTATAGTAACCAAATTTATTGTGACCCAAATTTGTTGGCCCTAAGGTACCAAACTTTTCAATTAATCGTCTCCGAGAAATTTGCGATAAAACATACGTAGAAACTAGAAAGTAAAAATACTGCACTGCAGCTAAAACTACGGCTCAACTTAAACTACAGAGCCTAACATTTATGGTAAATTTTTGTAAACCGAGCCATATATAGATGTGGGATTACTTTTAAATCCCGAAGTCCAGTTAAAGTAACAGCTGAGGGCTATCCTCAGTTCCGAGTTGAGGATTAGAAATTAAGTATGGATCTCAGGATAATGAGGATTATCCTGAGTTGGTTCACAGCACGAAGTTGCGGTTTAATCCTTAGTTGTAGTGAACGGTGGTTTTTGACGTATTGAACGCACGTTCCAGTCATTTTGTAGTGTTCACGTTATTGAACGTTTTTAGTGAACGTCAGTGATTATCAAAATCAATAAACTTTTTGAAATCTTAATTTCCTCAACTGATAATTATTAATTTCCCCAAAATGAAGCAATCCTATTTCTGTGCACAAAAGATTAAGATTAAAAGGGTAATATTATTATCAATAATTTATAAGGTATAAAATGGTAATATTGTATCGTATCGTATAATTGTAGTAGTATTTATGCTACTGAAGGTACACGTACTCAAGTTCAACACGCACTTTAGTTCGACACGTACTGTAGTTCGACAAACCCTTAGGTTTGACTCTGTCGAACCAAAGTGCGCTTTGAAATCTCCGGGCTCAAGCAACGATCCTTTACGAGCTTGTAATCTATTCGTTTGTTTGCTTTCCACTTGTCTCATGCTGTTCAATTATGTGTGAATGTAATCTCTATAATCCATATTCCATATCTATGAACATTTAATTGTCCTCATACTCGTAAGTTAATTGTTAGTTAGCAGAATTGTAGACTTAGCGGAGAGATAAAAGACTAACGTAGTAACTCGTACTCCGTTTTATAGATCTAGATTGTTGAGTACGCTTTATAAATATCAACCACATACCATACTTTATATTATCACAAACGACTAGTAACCGAGTACTGGTCTAGAGATTTGGCTGCTGAATCGAAAATAGTCGGATATCGATCTATTTCCTGTTAGCTAGAGACCAGAACTGATTGGAAAACAGGAGAATTAAAACTATACTGAAAGGTTCTGGAATTTCTAACCGCTCATGGTTGCTAGATGTCAGAAAATTTTGTAATCTGTCATTGAACCCTGTGATCCTATAAATATAATGAGGACCCGGGAATAGCCATTGGATCACAAGCATAAACTATTTGTCGAACTAGAGTACGCTACCTGGACTCTAGTTCGACACGTACCGAAGTACGACAGGGGTGATATCTGGCGAATTTAATTTGTCGAATTATAGTGCATTTCGAACTAGAGTACGTGAATCGTACTGAACACCACTAGTAATTTATCCACAACGTTCAGAACATGAGATGAGTTTTAGTGAACGGATGTACAGAACATTTTTAGTGAACGTTCCGTACGTGCACTACAACTAAGGTTTAATCCTCAAGTCGGTGAGGATCTGGATAAGCCGCACCTCGAGTTTAATCCTTCCCGATTGCATCACACCAGCCTAAATTATTATCAAATTCATGTTTCAATTTCTGACTTCAGTTTGGTAAACTACCCCCGGCTCCGGCCCCGGCAAAAAGGAAGATTTCCCGGCCCCGGCCAATTCTCAATGGACAACCCCGGCCCCGGCTATATTGGGGCTCCCCGGCCCCGGTCAGAATCCTGCCCCCGGTCGACCACTGTTAGATATCCTCTCCTTTTCATGTATGGCGAAAAACCCAATTATTGCGTATTAAGATGGCAAAACTGCTTCTAAATACAGTTTAATGCAGAATTATACAAGCCTTTCCTGGAAATAGTGTGCAATTCTAATCGCATATTCGAAATTGTATACTAGATATTATTTGGATACGGTTCGTATTTAATAAACTAGAGGCCACAAAGATATCTCAGGGCTCTAACGTTAAATTATTACAAATATAATACACAGATAAATAGCTGTGTCAGTAATTATAGCAACAGTATTATGCGACTTCTGACAATCTTTCGGTGGCGTTAGTATCTTAGTCCCACCTTGAGAAGACCGTGTGTGCTGCGATGATATCAGTTATTACTAATTCTTTTTGCTCACAATACCCAATTCTTCTGATAGGTCATTAAATTCCCATTTTTCCATATTTGTATAGAGGTACAAATTAAACTGCGGAATTGAAAATAGGGCGAGGTTTTACCAGCTTATCTTATTGCTGCCTTTTCAATTGACATGGGTTATACTAAGTACTCAGGGAATTGTTTAGAAGTTTCTCAATTTTTCATTTCTTAATAATCGGATCGCAGTTTTCAGTGCATGCACACAATTTATCAATGTGCACGTGCCGTTTTCCAAGGAAATTATTAAACAAAAGGAATTCGATGGCAATTTTCCAGGATGGTCAGATAATGATTTCGCTTCAGTCCACACACCATTTCATACTGCCCGCTTTCTTCCATCAAGACCTGGTTTATTAAGTTAGGAGATGACAGTGATTCCTGAAATATTACCCGGTCTCTAACTCCTTATCTTCAGATCAAGAGAAAGAGAGCTGGTCTCTTATCGTCTCGTCCCCTAATTGTAGCGTGCAGGTCATTGTATGTTTGGTTTTTATTGAAGTGGCAGACCATGGTGCTCGAGAATTATGTCCACATTCGCACCATTGTGTAAGAATATTTAAGCCACAATTAATTAAACAGACTCCCCGTTTAAGTTTTTGTTGATCGATATGTTAAAAGGGTCGTGTAAGGGTTTATAAAATGTTCGGAGAAAGTAACCATCATTTATATATTAAACTGGAATAGTGCACGGGCATTATGATGATTGCTGCCGATTAATTATTATTGGCTCATTTGCAATTTGGAGCGGCAATCAAATTAAATTAGATTAAATTGCGGGCAGCGCTTTCGACTCGCTCGCCAAGCTTTGGCTCTCACATTTAATCTGAGGATTATGCGATCGTTTATTCTCTATTATTTTCCCACTGCACTTTAGTTACCTTTTTAAACCTTTGTTCCACCTTTTATCTTCCAATTAAAGGTTTAAAACTTTCCTCTCCTATATCCCAATTACTGTTTCTAAAGAATGCTGTCAATCAGGCCAACTGCTGATCAATCCACGTTTACTGCTTGCTCATAAATGGAGAGACATGCTCTCCACCAAACAGAATTATTGGTTATATTGATTACATCAGGGTTGTTAAGAGTAACACTGTATTTAAGCCTCGTTGCAGTGAGATATCTTAATTTGGTGTAATTTAGTTGGACATGAGAGGATGCCACCTTGCTACCTTGCTAACATGCACTTAGTGCTCAGTGCTGTTCATTTGCCGATCATTTAATTGTCTCTTCTTTTAGTGTGCTGGTTTGTAAAGTTTAATACAGTTAAAGCCTGGACAATGAAATAACCAACTTTAAGACCCCAGCTAATAACGGCACGTTATCGTTCAGTATCACGAGATGGAGTATTGTTTCTAGCTAGACGGCACTTTATTAATACGTGATGGAGTATTGTTTCTAGCTAGACGGCACTTTATTAATACGAGATGGAGTATTGTTTCTAGCTAGACGGCACTTTATTAATACGAGATGGAGTATTGTTTCTAGCTAGACGGCACTTTATTAATACGAGATGGAGTATTGTTTCTAGCTAGACGGCACTTTATTAATACGAGATGGAGTATTGTTTCTAGCTAGACGGCACTTTATTAATACGTGATGGAGTATTGTTCCTAGCTAGACGGCACTTTATTAATACGTGATGGAGTATTGTTTCTAGCTAGACGGCACTTTATTAATACGTGATGGAGTATTGTTTCTAGCTAGACGGCACTTTATTAATACGTGATGGAGTCTTTGGTCCTAGCTAGACGGCACATCTCGTGATCTATTATATGACGCGTTACGTGCCGTAGCTAGATCTAAGTTACCAGAACTCTCAAAATTAGCTGGTTTGGCTTTTCCAGAAATGTTTTTAACGATCTTAAGGCTTATTTTATTATTTAGTAAATTAATCAAATAAACTCTAGCTTATAAGCAGTCAAGAGCGGTTCTCAAATGTTAATTACGCAGTGTTGACTGAGTAACACAAAACATGAAAAGATTAGCCATTTTTTGCTATGCAGTGATGATTCACAAATTCGATTGGTTAAATCTTCAAATTAATTTTTTCAAATTTCTCAATTTATCACTGCTCAAACATAGTCAGTAATGATAAATAAATTTGATTCGCTCCCAAAATTAGTCACTGCTAAACCGTAGATTTACCATATGATAGCGGGTCCAATATCTAAGACTGTAATATAATACATGGTTCCTACTCAGGGGTAATGTTTGAGGTGGTGAAGAAGACGTGGAATACGTTCACCAGAGATACAAAGCGAGCTATACTCGCTATCATGGGTCTTGCTATCGTCTTGGCTATCGTCGTCATCGCTACCGTCAGTAAGTACACTTATGTTACTATAGCAACCGTCGGTAAGTACACTTCTGTTACTATAGCAACCGTCGGTAAGTACACTTCTGTTACTATAGCAACTGTCAGTAAGTACACTTCTGTTACTATAGCAACCGTCAGTAAGTACACTTCTGTTACTATAGCAACTGTCAGTAAGTACACTTCTGTTACTATAGCAACCGTCAGTAAGTACACTTATGTTACTATAGTAACCGTCAGTTATCTGTTACTATAGTAACCGTCAGTTATCAGTTATTATAGTAACCGTCAGTTATCAGTTATTATAGTAATCGTCAGTTATCTGTTACTATAGTAACCGTCAGTTATCAGTTATTATAGTAACCGTCAGTTATCTGTTACTATAGTAACCGTCAGTTGTCTGTTACTATAGTTACCGTCAGTTATCAGTTATTATAGTAATCGTCCGTGACTATAACAAACGTCACCATGTCGCTACTCGCTACTGTCGGTAACCGGCTCTTTGTAAAATGTAAATGAAGTGTTCATTAAACATTTTTTGAGTGTTTTGGAATTTTCGAAACCATGAATTTTAGCTCCCGCTTGGATCCGACCGCTTTGGCCGGCGGACCGAAAACGGCCGGAACTCAATCTCTTTTCCGGTTAGCCTGATTTTGCCGGAACGGAATTAATTAGAAGAGGAAATTTTAGGGTTCCGCAACTTGCCGGGAAATAATGTTAATCCCTTTTGAACCTCTATAGGTGCGGTAATATTTTCCAAATAGTATGATTCTGCACATACCTTCAATTTGGAAATCGCACTATATAGTGACAACACTATATAATGACAAGCACTTTATAATGACAGCTGATATTTGTCACTATATAGCGTGCAAAACGCACTATATAGTGACAGCACCATATAGTGACAAGTTTATCTTATATCGACTTTTCTTTATTTTTCACTCCACTCCACTCCACTCCACTCCACTCCACTCCACTCCACTCCACTCCACTCCACTCCACTCCACTCCACTCTACTTTTCTTTAATTCTACTTTACTCCATTTTACTAATTATTTAAATTATGATTGAATTTAAAAACTTTCATAAAAAAGTATAGCGAACTATACGAGTATACGCACTTCATAATGACAATATTCTATAGTGACAATATTCTATAGTGACAAGGTCTGTCAAATTGTATTAACTCTACCTTCTCTTTAACATTACTTGCAACCTTAATTTTATTATTTGCTTTATTTTATAATTTAATTTATTCTATTTAATATTGTTTCTGTAAATTTTAAAAAAATCCTGTTTATCTGATCATTAAAACATGAAGAATTTAACTTTAAGATTACTCATTACAGTAGCGAAAGTTAAGTGTTTCTCAATACTTCGTAGCGAAAGTTAAGTGTTCATCAATTCTTCGTCGCAACTTTACCACTGAATTTGCCTTATATGTTATAATTTCTGGGTCATAAAAACACAATTCTTGCATATTTTCAAACGTGTATGGTTTTATCCGTGCAAATAGTTTAGGGAGCGTTCATATATTACGTCAGCAAGTTTTTGGCCACTGAAATACTAAATATTAAGGAAATTTGTGAAGTTTTTTAGTTAATCAAATAGATTTGAATCATAAAAATTTTGGCCAAAATCCAGGTATTTTCGCTGACGTCAAAATCAAATTTTCTATGGTTATAAAAAGATTTCTGAAAAGTTTTGAAAGCTGATATCCAGACAAGCAGCTTTAGAACCGGAGCGGAGCCGAATATTGAAGCCGGATATCCGGTAATCCGGTTGGTTCCTAGTTCTCGCTTATTTAAAGAAAATTCTAATAAACTCTATGAAATGGTTCCCCTTTTTACTCAAGATACACTGCCTCCTCTCCTCATCATTAATCATAGTGTCTTATACAGTATAGTAGCAGTAGTTGTAGTAGTTGTCAAACTTATATTAATGTCCATTAAGTTGTTTAGTCATTTCTCCGAGTTAATCTGATTAACTTAGTGAATTACTCAATTAGTTACTGTCTGATCCTATAGTTTTAGTCCCATTTGATCCCAACTTTTCTTGTGTTAGCGGACTATCCTCGCTATCATGACCATCTCTATCGTTTTGGCTATAATCGTCATCTGCGTCGTCAGTAAGTACACGTTACTACTACAGTTTATTTTTGGCAACTTTTATCATATGTTTTAAACTAATTACAACACTACAAATCTATTACATTTAATAAGGACGTTACAGAAGTAATTGATTTAATTAAGTTGGAGGAGTCCTAACTCTCCTCACGTCCGAAAATGGTATTTCTCTTGTATCAAATATGTATGTATGTTAGCTTCCCGTAACATATTGTAATTGATCACGAAGCATGGTGTCAAAATCAGCACTGTGAATGTTTAGGATTCTCGTTAACACAATATAATGCCTTTGTTTTGCCCCAACATATCTACAACATTTTTCAGGTAAGTCAGCGAGTATCAGAGAGCCTAAAGCGGAGTCCATATGGGACGAGATAAGGCTGCCTACCACAGTGGTCCCAAGTCATTACGATGTGAAACTAAAGATAGATATGACAAACGAGAGATTCACTGGTAAGACTCTGTTCCCCTACCCTCCCCCCCCCTCACTGGTAACACTTGCCCCCCCCCCCCCCCTCTCTCTGGTAACACTCTGCACCCCTCACCCCCCCCCCCTCCGGCCCCCAACCATATGTTATCCGGACTCTCTTCTCTTGTCTCCCTCACAACCCCTCAACACTCACGTACCGCAGGATCTGAAGATGTTTATATTGAGGTGACTAATACGACGGCGGTCCTGCTGATACACATTAACGATGTGCACAGTGATACACAAGGCTACGAGATGAACATTACACAGCACTCCGTGCATCGCCTTAATGATAAGGTTAGTGCACAATTTGCACGTGCAAACTGTAGTCGTGGTAAGCGCACGTGCTTATATGTAAATATGGGCCTTTTTCCATGATGGTGGAGCGACGTGATGAAAAAATGTTAAAATATATATTTGGTCTTGTATTATATCGAGGTGAACGGTTGACAAATCTGCAACCTTCTTAGGGTGAAACGGTGGGGTCTATTCCGGTGAAGCACGCCTTCCCTTACACTAAAAACAGTTTCTATGTCATGAAGTCGAAAGAGGAAATCGTGCCAGGTAAAAACTTCTCTTTTTCGTCTACTGTTCACATGGTGACGGTCTACAGGATATTTTAATAGAATTGCTTCTTGACACTCACGAGACACACTTTAAATACCTATACTGAACGTTATCACGGTTTGTAACACTCTTACCTGAACACGTTGGCAAAGGGCTGGGTAAATTAAGTGTTCAGACATTTAAAAGTTCAGTTACTGTATCAGTTTACTATGCAGGTAAATATAAGATCTACTTCGAATGGGAGTCTCGCTTGGTTCGAGGACTGGACGGGATTTACATCAGTAGCTACAAGGAAGATGGGCTTGACAAGTAAGACTTATATTACATCTCCAAAATCTTTGTAATTATATTACAAAGATGTTAGTTTGATGTGACTTTACACTGAAAGCCACGTGACATGTAAGACCACGTGACATGTTAATTGTAAAACCACGGTACCAGGACTCAGCTGCTTGTCTCCCAGGAAAGTACTAGCTTCTCAAATGGAGCCCCTCGCAGCCAGGAAAGTGATGCCATGTTTTGATGAGCCCTCTTTTAAAGCCACCTTCTCCATGGAGATAACAGCGGAAAATACCTACCCGCTAGTCCTGTGGAACATGCCAGAGATTAGCAATACTGCTGTGGACGATACATGGAACAAGTTTGTTTTCCAGAAGAGCGTCAAAATGTCAACTTACTTGCTGGCTTTTGTTGTAGCAGACTTTAAGTGCACTGAACCGATCATTGAAAGTACTAAAGGAGTCAAGGTAGGGCACTGTCAAAATAACTTATAGTGGATATTAAGGCGAATTTTAATTCATCAGTATCAATGATAGAATAGACTAGATAAATATTTATTTATATTAGGTGACTTTTCTTCAGTCCCAGAATATCCGCCACGTGATAACCCTCTCGCTATTAAATACTAATATAGTCAATCGACTTTTTAGTTGGTTTTTCAGTGATTTTCTCTCAGATTTTTGTAATATCATCAGGTAAGAACTTGTGGTAGAAAAGGACCTGTTGATGCAGGAGCAGATTTATACTCCGCCAAAATCACAGCAAAGATTATTGATGAGTACGAAACATTTTACGGGACAGACTTCCCCCTTCCGAAGATTGGTACGTGACCTTTGACATTTTGAGTTTTCCAACAAAAGAGTTATTGGTTTCGTGCCTGAGGCTAATGTTGCCCGGAATTTTGCGAAATATTGTGACAGTGAGGAATGAAGTTTAAAGTCAAGTAGATAACCCGTTGTGATTGTCATGGTAACTTTCCCATCAGATTCAGTAGCGGTACCTGACTTCAGTGCGGGAGCTATGGAGAACTGGGGGTTGATCCTGTACAGAGAGACAGCCCTGCTCTGGGACCCCAAGAAAGACACATACAACAACAAAGCCAGAGTTAACACTGTTGTGGCTCACGAGCTGGCTCACCAATGGTTTGGAAACCTGGTCACCATGAAATGGTGGAATGACCTGTGGCTAAACGAGGGGTTCGCTTCTTATGTCGAGTGGATTGGAACTGTCAAATCTGAACCTCAGTGGAACTACGTGAGTTTCCTCGTGGTTTTATATTAATTTTGCAAAATTAGCTGGACATATTTATCGTCAAAATTTAATACTAATAGAACATCCTTGCTGGGATTTAAAAAGGACTGCTTTATTTCTTAGCAAAATTAAACTGAAACTACAATTAGAAATAAGATAAAAAGTACCATGCTGTTGAACTATGTGAACTATTTCAGCTTGACTTCCAGACTTTTTCCGACAAATCTCGAGCCTTCGCCATAGACTCCTACATGAGTTCCCGACCCGCTTCAGTCGACGTTTCTAAGCCTGACGATATCACTGCTCAGTTCGACTCTATCTCCTACTCTAAGGTACAAAGTGGACAAGGTGCAAAATGAATTATGTGTAAATAGATTTGTTTTCTTATTTCTCCAGAAAATATAATCCAGACATAAGTTTTAAAATTTCTTTTGTCACACCCACCACCGAGTTTTGAATAAAACTGAACTTTCACAGGGCTCGGCGTTGCTAGTGCAGGCTAAAATGTTCATGGATGGTACTGAATCGACAACTGAGAACTTTGAGAATGCTATCAGGAGTTACGTGAAACAGTATGAGTACGGTAACGCGGAACAGACTGATCTTTACGAGCAGTTAGACAAGGTATTATCACGTGACAAGATAATGAACTGTGACCGATATCACTTCACAACTGGTGTTCCGTCTTTTAAAGTGAATAGTCTGATAGTCGTGTTTACACCTTATGATACGTTCATTAAAATGCTAATTTTTCACAACAGATATACGGAGCTAAGAAGGACACATCTGAGACTCGTGTAAATATAATTGAAGTGATGAATACTTGGACTCTGCAAATGAACTTTCCTGTTTTGGAAGTAAGACGTTATGATGACAACCATATTGCCATCTCTCAAAGACGGTTCCTTATTTCAGGATCTGATGTGTCTGGGGACAAAGAATCTCCTTACGGGTAATTTCCGCTGTTGTTTTAACAAGGGACTCATAAAAATCATTTTTAGGATTTTATAAAAACGGCCACGAACAACAGAGTGATTATGTCGTTATTACAAGAAATCCAGTCGCTTGGACTTCTAATAGTAATACAATGTTTTTAGTTTAACAATAACATCACTGAATGTGAGCAGGTACCAATGGTATGTGCCCATCGAATACATGACAAGGAGCCGATATCGAGTTCGCGTGGCTGAAACCTCATGACACGGTCCTTATAGAGTTTGATTTCTCCGATCTTGATAGCTTCATCAGGCTGAACATGAACAGCGCGGGTTACTACATCGTTAACTACAGTTTTGATCTCTAACGCGAGGCTCACGAAACATATCAGTGATGAAGAAAACTACAAGGTTTCTTTTTCTTTAACTTTTATTCGAACGTTTCTAATTTTTATTCAGTCGAATTATCAGTCAGCTTTAATAACTCAGCATTAGATTCTTAACACTGATTTTACTGATTTGTCTCCCACTCAGGCTCTAAAAATACCAGAAGTTCAGGGCTTACTGTACGACACATTCCTGCTGGTTAGTGCCGGATATAAACCTATGTCAGACGGTGTAAAGTTGATAGACTTGATGTTACCATTCGAGAAGAGGCTTGTACCTCTGAGGGAGATCAGTCGGCAGATATCGGGTGTGGCCGTCCATATCTCGGAGGATGAGACACTTTATAAGCAATGGAAGGTAAGTGTGTGTCAGAAAATGGTAGACAAGGAGGGGAACAAAAATCTAAAATCGAATTTATTTTTCAGTGATGTTCATTGTGGCACCAAATCGCATCCGACCTGTTTGTTCTTCACCCAGAATTCAATCTTCATTCACATTTCTTCTGCTATAATTCCTGGTTAGTGTTCATGGTCGAAAATCTAACATTCCAAATATGTGCATTGCAGAGCAAGTACCAGGGCACCTTTAAGACACTGTTTGATGAATTCGGGGCCGACTACTTCAAAGCTAACGCCACAGCTGAAAAAGACTTACCTACTGATGCTGCCAACAACGGTTTCCAAGACAGGTTTATTGTTTAACTTTTCCTATCATTTTATTTAAGCTTATTTAGACGAAAATCAGACATAGGAAGCAAAAAGTAAACGATACGCATACAAATTGAACTCAAGACACCAAATATGCTTAAGGGGAGATACACCAAAACCGTTTTTGCTCCCGAACATCGATTTTATTTTATATATTTTTAAAATAGACAAAAAGAATAAGATTGTAACACCTTCAAAAATTTTTAAAAATATTCCCTCATCGAGAAAAAAATATATTTCTTTTTCGAAAATTTTTAAAATTTGGAGAAGTCTGTCACTGTAATACCGATAGTTCGGCCATTTAAAAAGTTTTTTGGCTGATTTTTTTACTGAATATTACTTACACTCCGTACTAGAAGCCATTGAAAGGAATATATAATTGAACAATAAATGACCAAGTACAGACCGAACAAGGTGAAAAAATAAAAATTGGGATTTTTGCCCTACCACCAAGTTGTACATTTCACCACCCGCCAGGTCATCAGATATCGCTTCAAAAATCTTGTGAGTGTAGTTGATGATCATGGCAAGCTTTTTGGAACCGGATTTCTCTCAATTTTGAGTTTTAAGCTATGCAATGTGGCCTCTCAAACGGACTTATTAAAAATTCATCGTAAAAAAGGGCCAAAAAGGCCAGATTCTAAGGCTTAAAATTGCCTATAACTCAAAAAGTATCAGTTTTTTTGAAATAATTTTTACAGGATCGTAATCAGCTTGGTAAGACGAATCTTTTAGTACAAATAGGTGCTTTTAGAAGACAAATTGTCTTAAATAATTTTCTAGCTCGAACACCAAGGGTCCCCCCTTGTATAAATTTTGTACAAATTGTACACATTTTTTTACAAATTTTGTTAATTGACGATGTCAATTCATGGCAGCTCGGCGCGGCACAGTAGCGCATCTCGCCGATCTAGCCAGGGAGATCTGTCGCTGTGAGAAGCCTTATTAAGTGCGCGGCGCGGCACAGTAACGCATCGCGCTACAACAAATTTTGTGGCTTTGAATATTACAAATGTCGTACTAAAGATTCGTCCTTACCAAGCTGATTACGATCCTGTAAAATTATTCCAAAAAAAACTGATACTTTCTGAGTTATAGGCATTTTAAGCCTTAATTCTGCCTTTTTTGCCCTTTTTTACGATGAATTTTACTAAGTCGTTTGAGGCCACATTGCATAGCTTAAAAACTCAAATTGAGAGAAATTCCCGGGTTCCAAAAAGCTTGCCATGATCATCAACTACACTCACAAGAATTTTTGAAAGCGATATCTGATGACCTGGGCGGGTGGTGAAATGGTACAACTTTGGTGGTAGGCAAAATCCCCAATTTTATTTTTTCACCGTGTTCGGTCTGTAACTTGGTCATTTATTGTTCAAATTATATAATCCTTTCAATGGCTTCTAGTACGGAGTGTAAGTAATATTCAGTAAAAAAATCAGCCCAAAAAACTTTTTAAATGGCCGAACTCTCGGTATTACAGTGACAGACTTCTCCAAATTTTTAAAACATTTTCGAAAAGAAAATATTTTTTTTCTCGAAGAGGGAATATTTTTAAAAATTTTTGAAGGTGGTACAATCTTATTCTTTTTGTCTATTTAAAAATAATATAAAATAAAATCGATGTTCGGAGCAAAAACGGTTTTGGTGTATCTCCCCTTAAATCTATTGCGTTAAGTTGAACATTATTAATTACATATTTATATTGCACCTGTGTTTATCTTTCGCGCCGGCCCCACCCCCCCCCGTGTTTGCCGGGCTACCCACCATGGAAAAATTTTGGGAAACTTTTCAAAAATTTTTCTGGGAAAAAAAATTATTGAAAAAGGCTGGGAAAATACGTTTGCTGTTTCCCGTTAGCATTTCGCTTTTCGAAGTCGAGGGTGTGTTTAATGTTGCAAAAGCTAAAATTTGATCCTATAAAAACGGCTTGGGGGCCCCAAATCCGAGTTTAAGATTACTATGCTGAACACGGTTATGTTTTGTAGGGAAATTTTGATTGGGCCCTTTTTGTTATAGATTAAAAATGGAAAAAATTCTTTTGGAAAAAATCCCCGGGAAATTTTGGGCTCAGCCAGTGGGAAAACAAACAAATTTTTCAGTTTAGGTCTGATTCGGACAAGGATCCCCTCCCAAAAATAAGTTTCTCAAAAATATTTTTTCAAGAATTTTCGTTCAAAAATTAATTCAGGGTTTTTGGTCTTGCTTTTAAAAAAAAAACAAAAATTTTTCCCTTTTTGAAAATTCATAGTACCCCAGGGGTCCCCCCGGTTACCCCCGTTTTTACCACCCGTGTACCCCGTTTACCATAGGTTCGCTGACCCCTTTTAATTTTTCCCAAATACTCAAACTCTTATTTACACTTTGTTTCTCCGGTTTTTCCGGGGTCCCACCTTGTGGGCGGAAAAAGGGGCTCCCTTACATACTGGGGCCCGGGGTTTTGCTCAAACCCCGTTGGGGCGAGAGGTTTTTTTGGGATTTTTTGGTGGGAAAAATGGGAACCCCTCACCGGGGTAAGTTTTTTAATGTTTTAAAAAGGGGGCTGGCTTTTTCCCCTGTTTTGGCTTATTTTTTCGTTTTTCTTTCCCGTTTAATTTATTTTTTAAAAAATTCAGGGGAAAATGATGATTTTTTTTTGGACTCGAAAAATTGATCCCCCAATTTTTGTTCTCGGGCAAAATATTTATCCCATTGAGAAAAAATTTAAAAAAGGTAAAAAATAACCTTTGATCGTGTTTTAGATTTACAGTGCCCTATTTGTGGTTTATGCTTACATCGCTGGAGTTCTGGGTTTATTTTCCCCCTTTACCAGGACAAAAATTTTGGGCGAGGTTTTGTTTTCAAACCCGGGTAGGCTTTTTGCCAGTGTTAATTGTTTAAATCCCCACAATCGGGAGGAAACCCTTTTTTTTTTTGGTAATATTTTCGATTCCCCAGTTCGTTTAAATTTGTCATGTTACTATTTTAGCAAAGGGGCCCTAGTCCCATGGGCCCGGGTTTAAAAAAATTAGAAAGCTATTTATAAATCAGGAGAACTAAGTGTGATAGTGTTAAACTAAAATTTTAGGTTTTTATTTCAGATAACAGAGTTTTCTCCCGGGCCCAAATGGAAAAAAAAAGTCTGGGACCTGGCAGAGCAGCTTACGAATCAGCTCTTCAGAGTATTAAGGGAAACATTGGTTGGGTTTTAGAAAAAACAAATTGCGTTCAGGAAATAAATCCCAAAAAACCCCTTTTTAGATTAGGGGATGTTTTTTTTGAATTTCCCACTGATTTCCCAACACGGGTTAAAAATCGACTGATGTTTATTTTTTTTTTTTTGGCCCCATATTTTTAAATTTTTTGCTTTAAAAAATTTTTTTGGGATTTTAATTAAATTTTAAAAAAATAAAACCCCTATAGTTTTAGGTTTCTGACGTATTCAGAGTTTTGTAGTTTTTTTATTATGGTTTATGTTGCAGACCCCAAAAAGCTCTTTTTGATTTTTTTTATAATATTTATTTAAAATTTAAAGACCCAAAATTTTAAAGGGAATTTTTATTCTTTTCGGCAATAAACTTGGGAAAAAAATAAATTGCATTTTTAGTCCCGGTTTTAGACCCAAATTTTGTCATTTAATAGGACCCTAATAGTATGCAAAGATTTTAGCCTATTCGGGGCAGTCTGTTTGGGTTTTTAGGGTTGGGTACATGTTCGTATCCAAATTTTCAGAGGAAAAAAAGGCATGCAAAAAAGTTTTGTTTAACAGAAAGGGCCCCAAAATTTAATTTTGTATAACCCCACAAAAGGGGCAGTGAAAAGGCCCGGTTTAACTTTTCTTTTCCAGCCCTAAATTTCGGTTTTCAGAAAAAAATTTCAGTTTTTTTGGGTTACCCGAAAACTGCGCGTAAAAGTCCCTTTAAATTAAAAATAATAAGTACAAGAAAGTAAGAAATGATATCCTCCTCTCCTCCACATTTGTGCACCGCGGGAAAGGGGCTCTAGGGGCGCGACGACTGTCCGGGGGGCGCCCTACCCAAAAAAGAGCTCTACGAAAAGGGGTGTGAAAAAAAAAAGGGGCCCCCAAAGGCGGCAAAAAAAAGTTTTTTGGGCCAAAGTTTGCCCCCCTTTCGGTTCCCTCTTACTCTTTCTTCAACATCTCCAAGGGGCTGTTTACCCCCCTTTTTTTGTTTTTCTTACTAGCCGGGGGGTCAGGCTATCACATATATGTTTTTATATTTAAAAAATGGAGATTAGGGGGGAAGGGGCAAGCTGAGCCCCGGCCCGTAAGTTTAAATTTTTAAATGCGACATGTAATTGTAAGATAACAAATTTAAAAAAAATCCTGTGCGCGGCCCCCTAAGCTGAACCCAAGATAGGGGGTGTACCCCAAAAAAATAAACTTGCTTTGGATTTTTTGTACCACTGTTTTCTAGGACTTTAGGAGAAATTTTTAAATACCCAGTAAGTACAAAAGTAATGCAATTTGCGCTACAAAAATACACGTATAGCAAAACGGATTGAGATTTGAGCTTTAAATTTTTTTTCGGATTGTGTTTGCAGTTTGGCCATTTTTCGAATTACATTTGGGTTTTTAAAAAAATTTGGGGGTTGTTTGCTTATTAAGATGACCCCGTTTCCCCTTTTTGGTTGCGCAAAAAATTTTTTGTCGGGCGGCCCGCGTTTCACGAGATTTTTACAACTGATTACTTTAGTTAAATATAGTTACAACTTAAAAAATATGCCCATTTTGGGCGCTAAAATTTTTTTAAACCCGGGAAAAATTAAAATTTTCAAAAATGGTTTTTGGTCTGGTTTGGGGAACGGCCCAGGGCGCTTTAAATTAAATTTTTGGGCCCCTCATCAGGCCCCTTCCCGGTCCCGAGACTTTATCTTTAAATTTGTTGGTTTTCCCCTCTCTGTTCAATCACCCTTATAGCTTGGTAAATGATAAAACGGCCGAGGTTTTCAGTTTTTTAAGTAAAAACCCCCCCATTTTGAGGATGGTTCAGACAGACCGCTCTCCCCCTTTTGAGCCAAAAAACCGTGCACTTTCCAAAATATGCTACCTCCACTTGCAGTTTATTTTCCAAGGGAAAAATTATTTTTTACTAACCTTGTTTACAAAAAAATTTATTGCACGCACGCACGGTACCCAGCGGGGCACAAACCCAGAACTAGCTTTACCTGTTTATTATACCGTATAAGGCGGTTTTTAAAAAAGCTGTTTCAAAAAATCAAGTGCTAGGGTGCAGTAGTGGAAAGTGATAGGGGGAAACCCAGCTAGCTCAGCTCTTAAATTTGCCTTATTTGGTTTCCTAATGGGGTTTTGCATAATAGCTCCCAAAATTTACGCGTATATATTCAACCAGTAAAGCGCCAATGAATCTTTGTGGGCGTCCCGTGAAAAGTATCCAAGGAAAAATTTTCTTTATGGCGCCTCCGGGATTTAAAATGGAAAAAAGCTAGTTTGGGAATAAAAAAGGCGGACACTTTTTCATTCTGCAGCTGCAGAGTTTTCATCTATTGCCACTCGCTTTTTATTATACAGCTACAAACTGCTTAAGTAAACCGGGGCCCCGGACGGGATGTGGGAACCCCCCTTCAGGGTTTTTTAATCGGACTGACCCGGGAAAAAGGGCCCCTTTTTGGGTTTCCCTTTTTGAAAAAAGAAAAGTTTTTGAAAAAACAGAAAAAAACAAAATTTCCCCAAAAATCACGCAAAAACCCGGGCCCCGTCGGTAGCTAAAATCATAAATTTTTAAAATATTATAAAACCTATACAAATTTTCAATTTCATCGTTTAAAGATTTGGGAAATGTGGATTAGTTAAAAATTTTGTCTTAAGCTGTTTAACCCTCCAAGCGAAAATTCTAGAAAGGGGCCCGTATAAACTGTTTTTATTAAATTTGGGGGGAAATTTATTATATCAGTATGGTTATTTATTACCAAAAAGTGCCAGTTTGGAGCCCCGCACAAGTGCACCCCTCGGACATTTACTACCTTTTACTTTTCCCCTTCTTACCCCGCTCGGAATCACTTTTTTGTTTTTTTCTTGTCAGCTGTTTGTCTCTCGATCGTCTGCTTGGTTTACGGAGCCCCTGTGTCATGTATTTTTACATGTGCAATTTTTGTAAAAGTGGAAACGGGGCCCCTTTCTATTCTTTTTGTAAATCAAACATTGTTTTTTTTTAATGGGAATTTCTTCTTACGCTCACGAGACAACTTTAAAAAACCTATACTGAAAAGTTATCACGGTTTTTAAACTCTTTTTTCCTGAAAACGTTGGCAAAGGGGGTGGGGGAAAATTTTAATGTTCCGACATTTTAAAAATTCATTTTCTTTTATCAGTTTTTTTTGGGTAAATTTTAAAATCTACTTCGAAAGGGGAAATCTCCTTTTGGGTTTGAGGACTGGACGGGGTTTAACAGGTAGTACAAGGAAGGGTGGGCCCTTTACAAGTTTTTTTGATTTTATTAAATTTTCCAAAATTTTTTGTTAAATTAAAATTTTCAAAGTTTTTAGTTTGGGTGGCTTTACAAACCCGAAAGCCACCCTGACATGTAATACCACGTGACCCCGGATTTGTGCTTTTCTCCCCGGAAAATACTGGGTTCTCAAAAAGGAACCCCTAGCTGCCAGGAAATGATGGGCCCTGTTTTGTGAGCCCCCTTTTTTAAAACCCCCCTTTTCCTGGAGATAACAGCGGGAGAATTACCCACCCCCTAGTCCCCGGGGAAATGCCCCCAAAAATTAGCAATATGCTGTGGGGCGATACAAAGGAAAAAAAATTTGTTTTCCCGAAAGGGGGCCCTTTAAAATGTCAACTTTTTTGTGGCTTTTGTTTGTTGAGATTTAAGTTTCACTGAACCCATCCCTTGGAAATTACTTAAAAAAAGTCAAGGTTTGGGCCCCCCCTGTCCAAAAAAAACTTATTGTGGATATTAAGGCGAAATTTTTAATTATCCGTATTTAATGATTTTGAATTTACTTTCCCTTTCTCGGGGAAAATTTTTGACTGGGTAAAATGGTGGGTTTTGGAAAAAATTTTGGGCCCTTTTTTCCCGTCATAAAAAATTTAAAACCCCCTATAATGTTCCCCCAGTAAAGGGAAACAAAAAGTAAAAACATTTTGTGCTTGGTTTGGGGTTTTGGGAAAAATTTTTCCCTATTTTTCCCCGGGCATTTAAATTTTTCCCAGTCATTTAAAATTAAACCCCCTATAATATTCCCCAAAAAGGTAGATAAAAATTTAAATTTTTATTAGGTGAAATTTTCTTCAGTCTTAGGGAAAATTCCCCCACCCTGATAAAACCCCCTCGCTATTAAAAAACTTTAAAATTGTCAATGAAATTTTTGGGTTGGGGATTTCAGTGATTTTTCCCCTCAGATTTTTTTTAATATCATTTAGGAAAAAACTTGTTTGGGAGAAAAGGGGCTGTTGATGCGGAGCAAATTTTTACTCCCCCAAAAAACACAGCAAATATTATTGATGAGTACGAAAGGGTTTTTCGGGGACAGACTTCCCCCCTTCCCAAAATTGGTACGTGACCCTTTTACATTTTGAAATTTTCCAACCAAAAAAGTTTTTGGTTCGTCCCGAGGCTAATGGCCCTCATGTTGCCGGAATTTTGCGAAATATTGTGCCGGAGGAAAAAAAATTTTTAAAATCAAGTAGATAACCCCTTTTTTTGATTTTCTGGGAACCCTTTCCCCCTAGATTCCGTAGCGGTTTCCTGATTCGGGGCGGGGCTATGGAGAAAAAGGGGGTTGATCCTTTTACCCGAGAGACAGCCCCGCTCTGGGACCCCCAAAAAAGAACATACAAAAAACAAGCCAGGAGACGCCCCCCGCTTGGGACCCCGAAAGGACCCTAAAACAAACAAAGCCAGAGGGTTAAAAACTGTTTTTTGGTCACGAGCAGCTCACCCCGTGGTTTGGAAACCTGGGGCACCCGAATTTGGGGGAATTGGGCTGTGGCAAACAGGGGTTCGGGTTCTTTTGGGCGAGTTTGGGTTTTTGGGCCCGTTTAAATTGAAACCCCAGGGGAAATACGGGGGGGTTTCCTCGGGGGTTTTTTTATTAATTTTGCCCCCAAAATTTGGGGTGGGGCATATTTAAACGCAAAATTTAATTTCTAATTTGAACATCCTTGTGGGGTTAAAAAGGGGGTGCTTTATTTCTTAGCAAAATTAAACGAAACTACAATTTAATTTTGGAAAAAAGATAAAATTGTACCTGCGTTGAAATATGTGAACTATTTCCGCTTGGGCTTCCAGGGCTTTTTCCCCCAAATCCCCGGGGTTTGCCCTTGAATCCTACATGAGTTTTCCCCACCCCCTTCAATCGAAGGTTTTTAACCTGACCCCATATCCTGCTCAGTTCGACTCATTTTCCTACTTAAGGGCAAAGTGGGGCAAGGGGCAAAAAGAAAATTTTGTGTTAAAAAGAATTTTTTTTTCTTTTTCTCCCGAAATTAAAACCAGAAAATAAAATTTTTTAAATTTTTTTTTTGTTTACCCCCACCCCGAGTTTTTAATAAAAATGAAATTTTTACGGGGTCGGGGTTGCTAGGCAGGCTAAAATGTTCATGGGTGGGACTGAATTTGACCCAATGGGGGAACTTTTTGGGTGGGTATCAGGAGTTCCCTGAAAAAAAGTATGGGGTCGGTAACGCGGAAAAAAAGGGGTGATTTTTTACGGGGCAGTTTGGGCAAAGGGAAAATTTACGTTTACAAGTAATGAAATGTGACCCAAATCCCCTTCACAATGGTGTTCCCTCTTTTAAAGGGAATGTCTGATTTGTGTTCACACCTTTGATACTTTTTATTAATTGCTATTTTTCACACAATTAAGGAGCTAAGAAGGGGGTACTCTGGAAAAATCGTGGGAGATATAGTTTAGGTGTTTAATTTTTGGGGCTCTTTCCCAAAAGAAATTTCTGTTTTTGGGGTAAGGGCGTTTGTGACAACCATATTTCCCCCCCCCCTTTTTTTTTTTCAAAAAAAGGGCGGTTTTTTATTTCAGGGGTTTTGTGTGGGCTGGGGGACCCCAAAAAATCCCTTCGGGTAAAATTTTCCTGTGTTTTAAAAAGGCACTCTTAAAAAAACTTTTTTGGATTTTATTTAAAAACGGGCCCCGAACAAAAGAGTGGGGTTTTGTTTAATTTCAAGAAATCCAGTCCCCCTTGGGGCTTTAATAGTAATTTCCAAAGGTTTTTGTTTTAAAAAAAAAATAAAATCACTGAAAGTGAGAGGTTTCCAAAGGGTATGTGCCCCTCGAAAACATGGACAGGAGGCCCATATCGAGTTCGCCCTGGCCCGAAAACCTCATGACACGCTTTCCTTAAAAGAGTTTTATTTTCCGAACTTTATAGCTTTTATCAGGCCCAACCTGAAAAAAGTGCGGGGACTACATCGTTTAACACCCGTTTTGATCTTAAAAAGGAAAAGGCTCACGAAAAATATCAGGGATGAAGAAAAATACAAAGGGTTTTTTTTTCTTTAAAATTTTTTCGAACGTTTTTTAATTTTTTTCAGTCGAATTATCAGGGCGCTTTAATAATCAGCATTTGAATTTTTAACATGTTTTTAAAGATTTGTCTCCCCCTCAGGGTCTAAAAACCGAAGGGTTTAGGGCCCTTTCTGGTTTTTTTCGGGAAAATTTGCTTTTTATTTCCGGGTTAAAACCCATGGTTTAGCGGGTTGTAAAGTTGATGACTTGGGGTTACCATTGAGGGAAAAGGCTTTTTACCTCTGAGGGAGGATCAGTCGGCCGTTTTTGGGGGTGGCCGTCCAATTTTCTCGGAGGATGAGACACTTTTTAAAACAATTGGGAAGGTTTTGTGGGTGTCAGAAAATGGTTTGGGGCAAGGAGGGGAAAAAAAAATTTAAAAAAGAATTTTTTTTTCAGTGATGTTCATTGTGGGGACCAAATCCCCATCCCACCCGTTTTTTTTCACCCCGAATTCAAACTTCATTCAAAATTTCTTCTGCTATAATTTCCCGGGGAGTGTTTTATTGGGGCCCAAAATTTTAAACATTCCAAATTGGGGCATTGCAGAGCAAGTACCCGGGGGACCTTTTTAAAACATGTTTTTGAATTGGGGCCGAAATACTTCAAAGCTAAAAGCCACAGCTGGAAAAAAATTACCTATGATGCCCGCCAACAAAAAGGGTTTTTTAAAAACCCGGTTTTTGTTTACCTTTTTCCCTTTTATTTTATTTAAGCTTATTTAGACGAAAATCGAATAGGGAAGGGAAAAAAGTAAAAAAATTTGCAATAAAAAATTTTAAAAACAAGACACCCAAAAAAAATGCTTAAATCTAAATTTCGTTTAAGGGTTTAACATTTTTTAAAATTTCAAAATTTATATTTTCACCCGTTTTTTCTCTTTCGCGCCGCCGACCCCCCCTTTTCGCCGATTTCCCCCCCTGGAAAAATTGGGAAACTTTTCAAAAATTTTCTGAAAACCTTATTTATTTTACCAGGCTGAAAGTATGTTTTTCTGTCCCCTTTTGCGGGGGCCTTTCGAAGTCGAGGGGTGTGTTTTTTTTTTTTTTTTTTTTTTTTTTTTTTTTTAAAGGAGCCAAAAAAAACGGATTGGGAATAAAAAAACCAAATTTTTAAAAAATCACTATGCTGAACACGGGTTTTGGGCTGTAGAAGTTTCTGATGTTTTTATTTGATAACTGGGGAACTTTTGTGGAAAAAGTTCCCCCAATTTTTGACTCAGGGCCCGTGAAAACAAACAATTTAAACAAGCTTTGGTCTTTATTAGGAAAAAGGATACGTCAAAAAGTAAATTTTTACAAAAATTTTTTTATCAAGATTTCGTATCGAAAAATTAATTAAAGGGTTTTTGGGTCTTGGGTTTTAAAAATTTTCAAAATTTTCCCCTTTTATGGGAAAATTTTTTTTTTCCCCCTAGTTCCCCCGTGTACCACTAGGTACCACAGTGTACCACAGTGTACCACTAGGTACGCTGACCACTTTTACTTTCCAACTACACAGCTCTTATTTACACTTCAGTTTCTCCGAGTTTTGCCTGGATCCTACCTTAGTGCGTCGAAGTGACTCCCTCTACATACTGGGCCGGAGTATCGCTCAAACTAAGCTTGGACGAGAGGTTTCTTGGGATTTTTTGGTGGCAAACTGGCAACGGCTCACCGAAGAGTAAGTTTTTTAATGTTTTAATAAGGTCTGGCTTTCCTCTGTTTCTGGCTTATTTTTCGTTTGTCTCCTGTTTAATTTATTTTTTAAATTCAGGAATATGATGATTTTTTTCGAGACCTCGAATAATTGATCTCAATTATTCGTGGTCTCGACAAAATATCATCCTATTGAGAAATTTAAAAACGGTAACAATAACCTTTGACTCCTGTTCAGATTCACAGATGCCCTATTTGCTGTTGATGCTTACATCGCTGGAGTTCTGTCTGATTTCGCTGACCAGGACAAACTAGACGAGGTTAGTTTTCCACCTGGGTAGGCTTCCTGCCAGTGTTAATTGTTTAAATCTCCACATCCGGGAGGAACGTTTTCATTTTTGGTAATATTTACGATTCTCAGTTCAGTTTTAGATTAGTCGATGTTACTATTTTAGCAAGCCATAGTCCCATGGGGGCCCGGGCAAAAATTTTTGAAATATTTATAATCAGGGGAATAAGGTGATAGTGTTTTAAACTAATTTAGGGGTTTATTTTAGATAACCCCGAGTTCTTTTCCCGGGCAATGGAAAGTTGGGACCTGGCAGAGCAGGGTTTCGAAATCAAACTTTTTCGAGTATTTTTTTAAGGGAAAAATTGGGGTTTGGCCTTGGGGAAACACCAAAAAACTGCTGTTTAGGGAGTCAGGGCAAAAAATTTTGCTGAATTTAAAAATTAGGGGGTGGTTTTGTGACATACTACTGATTTCTCAACCCCCAGGGTTTTAAAACGATGATGGTTTTTTTTTCATTTTTTGCTTTTTTAATTTTTTAAAAAAAAAAAAAAAAATGCTTTATAATTTGGGGATTATCAAAATTTTTTTAATAAATAACCAATATAGTTTTTTGTTATTGACAGGTTTCAGGGTTATTGTAGTTTATTTTTTATGGCATGATCCGAAATACTTGGGCTCATGTTGATTTGTTTCATAATATTGATCAATATTAATGACAACTTATTAAGGGAATTTTCACTTCTCTTTCGGCAATAAACTTGGAAAACCATTATAATTGCATTCTAGTCAGTTATAGACAAAATTAGTCATGAATATGGACATAATAGTATGCAATGATTTGAGCCTATTCGGAAGTCTGTGCGACTTTCAGAGGCTTGATACATGTTTCGTATCCAAATATCAGAGAAAAAGTGGCATGCAACGTATGTCAATCAGAGGCCACATATGAATTTCTTGATATAACACACAAGGGTGCAGTGAAAAGGCCCTTTATTTTTTTCATCTTTTCCAGCCATTTAAAATTTTGGTCTTTTGAAACAATTTTTAGTTTTTTTTTGGGTTCCCGAAAAGGGGCAGCTAAAAGTTTCCCCAAATAAAAAATTTAAAAAGTCAAAAAAGTAAGGGGAAAAGATTCCCCCTCTCTCCACATTTGTTTCACCCCCGGGGGCCCGGGGCCCCTAGAGGGGAAAGATCGGAAATGTACGGCGGCCCCCGTCCCAAAAAAAGAGCTTAAAGCATGGGGTGTGAAAAACCCGGCCTTTTACGGCGGCAAAAAATTTTTTTGGCCAAAATCGCCCCCTTTGGGGGGAAACCGTTTTCTTTAACATCTCCCCAAAACTGGGGGCCCATCTTTTCTTAAATTTTCCTTTCGGAGAACCCCAGGGCTTCACATATCATGTTCTTTAAAAATGAATGTGAAGATTTGGGGGGAATGAAAAAAGTGAGCGGGCCCCCCAAAATAAGTAATTAAGGGGAAATGTGACATGTAATTGTAAGATAACAATTAAATAGATCCTGTGCGCGGCGCCTACAGCTGCACCTAAGACTAGGGGGTGTACGATAAAAATAAACTTGCTCGGATTTTTTGTACCACTGTTTTCTAGAGACTGTGAGAATTTTCACAATACACAGTAAGTACACAGTAATGCATCGCGCTACAAATATACAACGTGTAGCAAATCGGATTGAGATTCGAGCTAATTTTTATCGGATTGTGTTTGCAGTTTGGCCATATTTCGAATTACATTTGTTCTTAAAAAATTGGAGTTGTAGCTTATCAGATGACTCGATACACGTTGCTGGTTGCGCAACCTTTTTTGATCGCGCGCGGCCAGCGTGCACGAGAGTTATACAACTGATTACTAATACTAGCTACAACATACAAATATGCCTATTTTGTCGCTAAAAATGTTACCTTTAGTTTTACCTCGAAAATTAGAAATTTTCAGAAAATGTGTTATTGGTCTGGTTTGGGGAGCGGCCTAGGGCGCTTTAATTATTCTTGCCCATCATCAGCCGCTTCCCCGATCCCGAGACTTCATCTTTACTTTCGTCTGGTTTTCCACTCTCTGTTCAATCACCAAGTTACTAGCTAGGTAACATGATAATCGAGCTGAGTTACAGTTTTCAACGTAACAACGATTTCGAGGATGGTTCAGACAAACCCTCGCTCTCACCCATCTGAGCAACAAACCAGTGCACTGCCAACTATGCTACCTCACACTTGCATGTTTATATCCAAGCAAAAGTTAACTTTATACTAACATTGTTTACAAAATATTTACTTGCACGCACGCACGGCTACCCTGCAATTAGACTCATGAGCCAGCTCCACCTGTTGATTATACCGTATAAGGCGTGTAATTAGCTGTGCAAATATCACGTGCTAGATGCAGCTAGTGAAAGTGATAGAGACCGAGCTAGCTGCAGCTCTTAATTACGCCTTATAGGGTCCGTAATGGCTCTGCATAATAGCTCAATATCACGCGCTATATATTCAACCAGTAAACGCGCTCAATCGATATCTCGTGACTGTCACGTGACAGCTATCCAAGGAAATTCTCTATATGGCGCCTCCGGTTTAAACTAGGAAAGAGCTAGTTTGAGGAATAAGTAGGCAGGACACTTCTCGTTCTGCAGCTGCAGAGTTTTACATCTATCTGCCTCTCGCTATCACTTAAACAGCTCACAGCTGCTTAAGTTAACCGGACCTCGGACCGGATTGTGGGAACACCCTTCAGTTTGTTAGTCGGACTGACAGGAAACGGCTTTGCGTTCCTTTTCGAAAAAAGAACGTTTCGAAAATGCAGAAATCAACAAATTTCTCAACATCACGTAACCACGGCCAGCTCGGTAGCTAAACATCTATAAATTTCAACTATTATAATACCTATACATTTACAATTTCATCGTCAAAGATTTGAACTGTGGATTAGTAAATATCTGTCTTAAGCTGTCATAACATCCAAGCGAACATTCTAGAAGACACAGTACTAGCTGTTTCAATTTTTGGCGGGATATCATTATATATCAGCTGGTTATTTATTACCACAACGGAGCCGCGCACACGTGCACACTCGTACATCGAGAGCTATACCATTTTATAGTTCTTACACCCGTTCGGAATCACTTCTTGTATTTTCCCTGTCAGCTGTTTCGTCTGCTCGATCGTCTGCTTGGTGACGGAGCCCCTGTGTCATGTATATATCATGTGCAATTCTGTAAAGTGTAAACCGGCTGCTATTCATTTTCTGTAACTCAATACATTGTTTTGGCGATGTAACTGCTATCATCTTCATCGTCGCTCTCAGCGAGTTAAACCTCAGACTTGCTGCAGAGGACAATAAGAAAGTAAAAACTTCTCTTTTTCGTCTACTGTTCACATGGTGACGGTCTACAGGATATTTTAATAGAATTGCTTCTTGACACTCACGAGACACACTTTAAAAACCTATACTGAACGTTATCGCGGTTTGTAACACTCTTACCTGAACACGTTGGCAAAGGGCTGGGTAAATTAAGTGTTCAGACATTTAAAAGTTCAGTTACTGTATCAGTTTACTATGCAGGTAAATATAAGATCTACTTCGAATGGGAGTCTCGCTTGGTTCGAGGACTGGACGGGATTTACATCAGTAGCTACAAGGAAGATGGTCTTGACAAGTAAGACTTATATTACATCTCCAAAATCTTTGTAATTATATTACAAAGATGTTAGTTTGATGTGACTTTACACTGAAAGCCACGTGACATGTAAGACCACGTGACCACGGTACCAGGACTCAGCTGCTTGTCTCCCAGGAAAGTACTAGCTTCTCAAATGGAGCCACTAGCAGCCAGGAAAGTGATGCCATGTTTTGATGAGCCCTCTTTTAAAGCCACCTTCTCCATGGAGATAACAGCGGAGAATACCTACCCGCTAGTCCTGTGGAACATGCCAGAGATGAGCAATACTGCTGTGGACGATACATGGAACAAGTTTGTTTTCCAGAAGAGCGTCAAAATGTCAACTTACTTGCTGGCTTTTGTTGTAGCAGACTTTAAGTGCACTGAACCGATCATTGAAAGTACTAAAGGAGTCAAGGTAGGGCACTGTCAAAATAACTTATAGTGGATATTAAGGCGAATTTTAATTCATCAGTATCAATGATAGAATAGACTAGATAAATATTTATTTATATTAGGTGACTTTTCTTCAGTCCCAGAATATCCGCCACGTGATAACCCTCTCGCTATTAAATACTAATATAGTCAATCGACTTTTTAGTTGGTATTTCAGTGATTTTCTCTCAGATTTTTGTAATATCATCAGGTAAGAACTTGTGGTAGAAAAGGACCTGTTGATGCAGGAGCAGATTTATACTCCGCCAAAATCACAGCAAAGATTATTGATGAGTACGAAACGTTTTACGGGACAGACTTCCCCCTTCCGAAGATTGGTACGTGACCTTTGACATTTTGAGTTTTCCAACAAAAGAGTTATTGGTTTCGTGCCTGAGGCTAATGGCCATCATGTTGCCCGGAATTTTGCGAAATATTGTGACAGTGAGGAATGAAGTTTAAAGTCAAGTAGATAACCCGTTGTGATTGTCATGGTAACTTTCCCATCAGATTCAGTAGCGGTACCTGACTTCAGTGCGGGAGCTATGGAGAACTGGGGGTTGATCCTGTACAGAGAGACAGCCCTGCTCTGGGACCCCAAGAAAGACACATACAACAACAAAGCCAGAGTTAACACTGTGGTGGCTCACGAGCTGGCTCACCAGTGGTTTGGAAACCTGGTCACCATGAAGTGGTGGAATGACCTGTGGCTAAACGAGGGGTTCGCTTCTTATGTCGAGTGGATTGGAACTGTCAAATCTGAACCTCAGTGGAACTACGTGAGTTTCCTCGTGGTTTTATATTAATTTTGCAAAATTAGCTGGACATATTTATCGTCAAAATTTAATACTAATAGAACATCCTTGCTGGGATTTAAAAAGGACTGCTTTATTTCTTAGCAAAATTAAACTGAAACTACAATTAGAAATAAGATAAAAAGTACCATGCTGTTGAACTATGTGAACTATTTCAGCTTGACTTCCAGACTTTTTCCGACAAATCTCGAGCATTCGCCATAGACTCCTACATGAGTTCCCGACCCGCTTCAATCGAAGTTTCTAAGCCTGACGATATCACTGCTCAGTTCGACTCTATCTCCTACTCTAAGGTACAAAGTGGACAAGGTGCAAAATGAATTATGTGTAAATAGATTTGTTTTCTTATTTCTCCAGAAATATAATCCAGACATAAGTTTTAAATTTCTTTTGTCACACCCACCACCGAGTTTTGAATAAAACTGAACTTTCACAGGGCTCGGCGTTGCTAGTGCAGGCTAAAATGTTCATGGATGGTACTGAATCGACAACTGAGAACTTTGAGAATGCTATCAGGAGTTACGTGAAACAGTATGAGTACGGTAACGCGGAACAGACTGATCTTTACGAGCAGTTAGACAAGGTAATATCACGTGACAAGATAATGAACTGTGACCGATATCACTTCACAACTGGTGTTCCGTCTTTTAAAGTGAATAGTCTGATAGTCGTGTTCACACCTTATGATACTTTCATTAATTGCTCATTTTTCACAACAGATATACGGAGCTAAGAAGGATACATCTGAAACTCGTGTAGATATAGTTGAGGTGATTGTAAGACCCGGCGGTCAGGTGGAAGACTACCGTAATCTACAATGGTGGACCAAACTGTACTTAGATAAACCTAGGGTGGAGTGCTTATTTTAGGCTCCACAAGAGCGCTCCTACAACTCTTGAAACATGATTATGCCTGGCTAGCCGGAGTAACGAGTTCGACTTACCTACATCATGTCCTCCTTCAGGTCCACCAGGGTCCCGAGTTCGTAACGTCCCACTAATATAGTGGTACCCAACCACGGATACTCGGGAGCATTATTCCCGCAAGTGGCGGGAAGGAACTTAGTAATTTCAATCACAATTATAGCTCAGGATATTTCCTGGCTGGTGACTCAATAGTCACATACTTCGGTTTAGAGACTAGTAACATACGCCTATTTAAGGGGGCCGGAATAGAACTTCCGACATCAATGTAATTAGAAGTAAACATACAATAGTCTTCAATAGAATATTTAACACGTAACCTATTAGCCCGTCCTAGGAGTACTCACCTCAGTATAGGAAAGGAGTTAGTTACAGGAAAGGAGTTCCGATGGGTTGGACTCTAGATATGTGATGATCTCCGCTGTTCACGATGATATGTCGTCAGTGCTCCTCCAAGAGTAGTATTCCATCCTGTCGTAAGAGAGTCCGTTGTGGAGAGAACCCAGGTTGGTGAGGACTGGAGAGAGAGAGAGAGAGCCCCAACTAAGTATTGTGCCGTATATTTATATCCTCCTCGTTAGGAGGTCGTTAATGAGAATTGTGTTATCTTGATTACTTCTCGATTGACTAACTCCGTTTAACGACCGTGAGGGGTTCCTTAGAGCGCTATCTTAACTTAGCTTGATTAGTTATGATTGACTGCGCTCGCTTCAGCTTTGTGATTGCTCCAAAACGCTATCTTGGTTGTCACTTTTATCTTGGTCCTGACACTGACGTGGGTTCACCAACTATCGTTGGCTGAAGTCAATTAACTCCGATAATCTAAAGAATTAATATCCAAGAGGCATTACACACAGGTAACTGAACACATACTGGTATGCTGAATACACACCGATATGCTGAACCATCGGAGGTTCTTACAGCTTTCTTCTTTTTAACTTTGACGTCCGCGTCAAGACTGAGGCATCCCAGTGGTGAGAACCTCGGCTGTGAGTCCGGCTTTTCCTAGAGTCCAAGGGTAAGGAGTGTGGGTTTTCCTACACGAACTAGGGGCTATTTAACACATCTAAACAAAAGGTCTAGTGATTTGTTCAATGATACTATAAGGTATCGCTCCGTTGAACTTGGACATAACTAGGCTAGGGTAACGTCAGTTACCCTACTGCAGGTGATTATGGTCATTGGCTAAATAATTTAACTCTCTGGTCCTATTGCATTCTTTAGTTCAGGGATAAATAATTTAACGTTATTGTTCTACTGCAATTGTCCAGTTCCTTTGGTGGGGATATATTTGTAGTCCCGATGGAGGTATAGGGTTGAGAGTTGTTCTCTGGCTCTGGTTTGTTGATGTGTTCCGTTCTCGTCATCAATAGCCGCGTTCTGAAAAAGGGGGTAGTTAGTGATTCAGCTTGGAGAAAGTGTTGTGTTCCTTCAGAAGTGAAGGGACTTAGTGCTAAGTTTTTATAGGATTCATCATTTTACTATGGTCGTAGCTTAGTGCATATATAGTTAGTATTTCCGTTAATGATAGTTTTACTAACTTAAAAATGGGGCCTAAAAATGAGGCCTATAAAAGATGTCATCAGTTGATACCGAATTTACTGTGACAGGTAATACTTAGACAGGTGGGTGTGGGGGTGTTTCGAAGGTAGCTGTGAAGAAGGTGTCGGGTAGATGTTCCGGTAGGGTTGTCGTTGATCTGGTGCTACGAAGCCTCTTGGTCACGTTTCCAACTTGTAGCTTTTGTCGTTACCACCAAGGAGATGTGGCTCCCGGCTCGTTATAAATGATTTGGTTAACTTCCAATTGCTCCATCCGAAGAGATAAATCGTCTAACCGCTGCCAGATCTGATCTCTTTCCCGTTCAAAACTCCCGTTGTCCTCCTGATACGTTACCACGTTGACTGGCTTTATTGATGCCGTTTGGCATCCGTGTAAGGTGATCGCTGCATCCAACAGCTGCTCCATTTCGAGCTCTTGTAGTTCCCTTAGCCGCGATGCTAAATAGGAGTCGTTGATGTTGGCGATAAATGATTCTCTGAGAGACCCGTTTCTCATAGCATCATTGTTTGGATAAGCCTTCTTTGCCAGTTTGTGTAACTCGAGGTGGTATTCCCAGATACCTTCTGTCCGAAGTCTTTTTCTGTTGCGTAACTCCGTTATGTACCGTTCTCTGTTACGGCCTTGCCCTTCTGCACGCCTGATTTGGGCGATGAGTTCGTCTAAATCGCTCTGCACGAGTTGAACCGTTCTCGAGATCCCTTCTAGTACCTTGTCCTCCAGCAAGCTTATTAGAAGGTCCGCTTGTTCGTTTGCCGGACAGTTAATGGATCTGGAGTACGCCCGGAACCGTTGTAGGTATAGATCCAGGTCCATCCCGCTCTTGAACTGTGGTGGTGCTCTTATGAACATCGGGTTGAGACGCTGTGGCATTCTGGCGGCAGCGGCTGCTGCTGCGGCGGCGTTATTACCTTGCGGATCGGCCATTTTCTGTCAAAGTACCGATTAGTAGGGGTGTTATTTAAGTGCATTTTTTTTTTCAATAACTTTGTACTTTGTAATCAAAACTCTACTAGTACATTGTAGTATAAGAGTATGATATGAGAGTATAAGAAATGATCTGGATTTTTGGTTACTATGATCTCACACGTCCAGGAATAACAGTTTGCACATAATATATGAGTGTTTGGAAATGCGGATTAATTGCGACTTATTGTCCGCACACATTTTTTTTAAAGGAACTTGATCTAAGATAAGGCTGATTCGGAATGCGGCCAGTTGCATTTCACGTGTGACTTTTGCCATTTCCAAAAGAACGACAGTGTCAACTTCAAAATTTCAAAGGTGCAAGTTGCTTTTCTCTTATTCCAGAACGCTGTAAGGTAGTGAATTGTGATTTTGCACTATACTACTGAGATCAATTATAGACGGTACTGTGTTAAGGTGGTAATTTCTAATAATATGATTATTATAAGTATTAATACTACATAGTTCCACTTTTGTTGCACGATGGAGCAAATCCAGATCATCAGTACTGGTAAAAATAAACGTTGACTGGTTTTTAAATCAAAGTGTATCTGATGCTTTGCCAGGAGTATTCGTTATCTCTCAAATAATATAATAAATATCTCACGTGCAAAAACGAAGCTTGCTGAGTTTGTATACAAGTATACAGTATTCCGATGTTTTATAATAGTTTTTAGAATAGCACTACCCGGCATTGACTTTACCAAGGGAAAATCCCAGGTGAATTTGGTAAAGCAATCAAGTACCGTGAAAATAAATGCATTGCCGTTTGCATTGCTAGCTAGAGGGAAATGCCGTTGCAATGATGTATGTGACGACAAGGGAAACAAAAAGGGGGAGCGGGAATGAGCAATCTACTTGTTTACCATATTTGTGTAACCAGGTTACCTGGTTTGTTACCGAATATGTAACCAGGTTACCAGGTTTATTACCGTTTATGTAACCAGGTTACCAGGTTTATTACCGTTTATGTACCCAGATTACCAGATTTATTACCGTTTATGTAACCAGGTTACCAGGTTTGTTACCGAATATGTAACCAGGTTACCAGGTTTGTTACCGTATGTGTAACCAGGTTACCAGGTTTATTACCGTTTATGTAACCAGGTTACCAGGTTTATTACCGTTTATGTAACCGGGTTACCAGGTGTGTTACCATATGTGTAACCGGGTTACCAGGTGTGTTACCATATGTGTAACCGGGTTACCAGGTGTGTTACCGTATGTGTAACCGGGTTACCAGGTGTGTTACCATATGTGTAACCGGGTTACCAGGTGTGTTACCATATGTGTAACCGGGTTACCAGGTGTGTTACCATATGTGTAACCGGGTTACCAGGTGTGTTACCATATGTGTAACCGGGTTACCAGGTGTGTTACCATATGTGTAACCGGGTTACCAGGTGTGTTACCATATGTGTAACCGGGTTACCAGGTGTGTTACCATATGTGTAACCGGGTTACCAGGTGTGTTACCATATGTGTAACCGGGTTACCATATGTCGAAAATACGTACAATACTGACGTTCTCGGTCTTATCACTTCTAATGTCACCGGCATTAGTTATTTAATTAATTTTATAATTGTGGTCGTAATTTGTAACAGTTCATTACATACGTTGGGTATTTAATTGAATAATATAGAAATTTCTGCTTATGGAGTGTGTCCAATATAGTACCTATACTCCCTGTCCTGTGTTACCTTACCTAAACGAGTGGCCACTCTTACCTGGGACACACTTCCATGCATGCATGCCTCTCTTAATCATTCTTAAGATTAACTTACTTTGAACTTTTATAGAATGAACTGCTTTTGCCTGGGCCTTTTTAGGTATACGGTATTTTTATGTTTCTTAACTCACTTCTTATAATCTTAACATACACCGTATATGATTTAAGGGCACGTGTGATCGCATCGACTGCGGCGGGTGCTGGGCACTAGTTGCTCTTGGGAGTAGATCAAGCCGACGGATCCCCGATCCGATTTTCAAGAGAATTATTGCATCCATTTAGGGACACTTGCACCTTCATCCTGTACCCAACAATCTGCGAGCAGAATTGCCGCTTACCCATTGGTTCGCTGAAATACAGGGAGAGGGGGGCGCTGATTTCCAGCATCCCTTGGTGCTCCCAACTACGCAGCCAGACCCGCACAATCGACGCAACCACCCGTACACTCCATAGTAGCTGCCATTGTGATGTTATGTATACTTCCTAACACTTGTATCTAACATGTGATACGTGGTGATTTGTTAACATAACACCTGACAATCTGTGAGCCCTCTCATGGCCTTTTAACAACTGTTACATCCTGTTATTTGTTTAGATTTCTTACTTTGGTACCACACGTGACCTTTCACATGGCTTCTAATGCCGTTTACATCATGTGACCTTTTACATGGCTTCTTATGCCGTTTACATCATGTGACATTTCACATGGCTTATTTATGCCGTTATAACATGTGACCTTTCACATGGCTCATTTATGCCGTTATAACATGTGACCTTTCACATGGCTTATTTATGCCGTTATAACATGTGACCTTTCACATGGCTTATTTATGCCGTTATAACACGTGACCTTTCACATGGCTTATTTATGCCGTTATAACATGTGACCTTTCACATGGCTTATTTATGCCGTTATAACATGTGACCTTTCACATGGCTCATTTATGCCGTTATAACATGTGACCTTTCACATGGCTTATTTATGCCGTTATAACATGTGACCTTTCACATGGCTTATTTATGCCGTTATAACATGTGACATTTCACATGGCTTATTTATGCCGTTATGACATGTGACCTTTCACATGGCTTATTTATGCCGTTATAACATGTGACCTTTCACATGGCTCATTTATGCCGTTATAACATGTGACCTTTCACATGGCTTATTTATGCCGTTATAACATGTGACCTTTCACATGGCTTATCTTGTAAGTACCCTAGTTATTTCTAGACCTAGTACTTCTTCGCCCAATATTTTACATATGCAATAATTTTACGTTGGCGGAATCGGCAATATCAGCCGTAACATCTGCAGGAATATACCATCTGCAGAGGTTAATAACTACTTCGTTTGAGATCTCTACACTCACTTACCTTTTTATTTTATTTAATAGGGCCGGTGGCTAGTCCTTACCTAGGTTTGTTTAAGACTCGCGAGTCACCTGTTAAAGCAACGGCACGTGTGTTCGGGAATGCGTTATAAGGATAACACTGATCGTAAGGTTGAATAACCAGGAGTTCAGTGAGTATACCTTTATCGCTTTACAACACATAACTTACTGAATCAGCCGTGTCCTTACCAGGTACTTCCAACTAGTCCTTAATGGCCCTATTAGTTCGCATATGATTAACTATATTCACTCCTTATATACTCTTATTATGATCGTTAGCAGTTGCACCTTCCAGCTCCCTTCCCCAGACGACGTTTTAATTGGCAATACGGTAATAGTAATTTTATAAAGGGCAAAATAAGGGAAATTTCAGTGGTTTTGCTGTATATGGTGGATAATAACTATTTAGTTGACTGATATCCACCCTATTAAGCGCCTAATTGAAATAACAAAAATAATGACTGCCCTTTATCTTAATTTATAGTGGGTCAGTTATATTGACTATTATGTTGAAACCCGTTGTTTGATTAACTTAACCAGTGTTAAGTCTGTTTAGCTCTGTTAAATGTTTTATGCGCCCATAGTCCGATTACGTTATTCGATCACGTTATATATGGGTGTTTTCAGCCGTATTTTAATATTATATTGCCACTATAGAGTCAACTTACTTAACTTGAATTACTGCGTGTCAGTACGCTTTTCAGTGCTCGGAGGTAAGTTTACGAAAATAAGTCTTAGTGTCTTATCTCTTCTAGTTAATTGTAGGGCTCTGTGGTAATACGGTTAACGCCATATGCTTTTAGGTTCACGCTGGTGACACACAAGGTCTCCTAGTATAGTGGGTCCGCAATCCCACTGAGGCTAGATGGCGTGTACTGCTTGTTGCACCTATGTACTTATGTAGATGATTCCCGATGATGATCACATCCAATTAAAACAAGTGTTCCATGTAACGTAGGATCAAAGGTAGAATGTGGCCGATTACTTAATTTGCACTATTTGTGACAGTTAACTATTTGACTACAGCGTGTACATTATGGTTAACTAACATTTCACAACTTCTGGTAACTACTACTACTGGTGTTTTTATTTCAGCCTCGTAAATATAATGTTATTAATGCCATAATGTTAAATCATCTATTAACCTAGGTTCTACGGTATGGAATTGTGTGGTATGAATATGTGCTGTTAGACCTTTACCAATACATTACCCCGATTGAGTGGACTAGATTCCCATTGCCCATCAGAGGTCTATTAACGTAAGTGCTTGTTTACGGCCGATTCTAACGTACAACTCTTACCTTCAGGTAGATAGGTAACTGAAAGTAGCAGTTCACTGAAAGTCGGGATCCAGAAGGAGTACAGGAATAAAATGATATATGTGAAGAAGTAGGGGGGAAAAAGTCAATATTGTAAATTTGGAATTTTCTACCTCAAAAACCGCGGTAATTGGCCCCGGTGGCCCCGGTTTCTAAACGGAGTGGTTACGAGTTCCACTTTACCACACAACAACACAACATCACATTTCCCCTGCACTTTAATCTGACGGAGGAACACTGCTACTCTGATCGGAAGGTGTTTTAAGCTATGTTATGAACCATTTGCCGGCCACTGCTGGCTTATATTAACGAGCCACCACTCGACCGTGTTGGTTCATTATTGACTCCTTTCAACGAGCTATTGCTCGACCGTGATGAGTCACTGTGGGCTCTTTTTAACGAGGCACTGCTCGACCGTGATGAGTCACTATTGTAAATTTCAACGAGTCACTGCTCGACCATGATGAGTCACTATTGGCTCATTTCAACGAGTCACTGCTCGACCATGATGAGTCACTATTGGCTCATTTCAACGAGTCACTGCTCGACCATGATGAGTCACTATTGGCTCATTTCAACGAGTCACTGCTCGACCATGATGAGTCACTATTGGCTCATTTAACAAGTTACCACTCGTAACTTTTCACAGTGTTCCCAACACTTAGAACGTGCCTAATAACACTAAATGATATTCCGCACAATTCTTTTTTTTTTCGCATATAAAAAATAATCATGACACGTTAGTTAGACAACCATTAGGGTTAGCACCCCTTGGTATGACCCGTGAGTGACGAAGTGTTTAGATCCCATCAATTGACCAGTGTCACGTGATGCCAATTTTCGGTCTCCACACATAAACGGTGATGGAGTGGAATTTGTTAATCATGATATAGCTCGTAGCGCAGAGCGCTGAACGGTCACGCGAACTTTATCAAGGTTTGGCATGACACCAGTTTAATGTCCGGGCTCTGTTTAATTTCCTTAAACGCAATTTTCGTTACCCCGGTTACAGTCAATGAATGTGGATTTTGGTTGGGTGATAGTGATTATGAAGGTAACCAAGGTAACGCTACGGTGAATGTGAAGTGATCCTAGTTAATAATATACTGGACGCATCGCCTCCCTTCTCCGAAGGTTGGTCAAATATTAACTCTTAAACCTCACTATCGTCATCTCGCTGTGACTGGCGATTAACGATCAAACTTGTAACTTAACACTCCCGTTTTTAGATTTAAAAATTGCTGTGGCAAAGTGCCTACACTACAGTATCTCAGTGTATTTGAAACTTCTTGGTACAATGTCAATATTTTACGAAAGATTACCCGATATAAAAGAAGGGGGTGGCTAGACCCTGAGTTAATGATCCATTAACGGGGATCGATATTACTGTGGATAGCCAATAATGTTGAATACACAGACCTGTTTTTCCTAGATTTTCATCCTGGCCGTGGATTCCATAGTGTGTAGTGTTTCCAAGAAGTGTCCTCTGGAGTCGTTGTTTCCGTCATCACTCGTACTGTGTTTCTCGTCTAGATCCACGTCAGCGTCACTCCAGTATAATATGCGGGAGAAATTTGTTAACAAATCTTTTAGATCACGTACGCTTTTACTTATGCGAGCTATATACTCGTGTTTGTACTGATAAGGACGTGTTACGTATAATATGTAGGCTCGTATTTCAATTGAAGTACTGTGAGTGCACATATCAGGCCTCAATTAGAGCGTGTTATTAATAGTATTACTCGTTCATTTCCTGCTTCCACACAGGGTACAATACTGCCCGGGGACCCGCAGTTGGGTCCCGTATCAGGCTCCAATTTGTAAGACCCGGCGGTCAGGTGGAAGACTACCGTAATCTACAATGGTGGACCAAACTGTACTTAGATAAACCTAGGGTGGAGTGCTTATTTTAGGCTCCACAAGAGCGCTCCTACAACTCTTGAAACATGATTATGCCTGGCTAGCCGGAGTAACGAGTTCGACTTACCTACATCATGTCCTCCTTCAGGTCCACCAGGGTCCCGAGTTCGTAACGTCCCACTAATATAGTGGTACCCAACCACGGATACTCGGGAGCATTATTCCCGCAAGTGGCGGGAAGGAACTTAGTAATTTCAATCACAATTATAGCTCAGGATATTTCCTGGCTGGTGACTCAATAGTCACATACTTCGTTTAGAGACTAGTAACATACGCCTATTTAAGGGGGCCGGAATAGAACTTCCGACATCAATGTAATTAGAAGTAAACATACAATAGTCTTCAATAGAATATTTAACACGTAACCTATTAGCCCGTCCTAGGAGTACTCACCTCAGTATAGGAAAGGAGTTAGTTACAGGAAAGGAGTTCCGATGGGTTGGACTCTAGATATGTGATGATCTCCGCTGTTCACGATGATATGTCGTCAGTGCTCCTCCAAGAGTAGTATTCCATCCTGTCGTAAGAGAGTCCGTTGTGGAGAGAACCCAGGTTGGTGAGGACTGGAGAGAGAGAGAGAGCCCCAACTAAGTATTGTGCCGTATATTTATATCCTCCTCGTTAGGAGGTCGTTAATGAGAATTGTGTTATCTTGATTACTTCTCGATTGACTAACTCCGTTTAACGACCGTGAGGGGTTCCTTAGAGCGCTATCTTAACTTAGCTTGATTAGTTATGATTGACTGCGCTCGCTTCAGCTTTGTGATTGCTCCAAAACGCTATCTTGGTTGTCACTTTTATCTTGGTCCTGACACTGACGTGGGTTCACCAACTATCGTTGGCTGAAGTCAATTAACTCCGATAATCTAAAGAATTAATATCCAAGAGGCATTACACACAGGTAACTGAACACATACTGGTATGCTGAATACACACCGATATGCTGAACCATCGGAGGTTCTTACAGTGATGAATACTTGGACTCTGCAAATGAACTTTCCTGTTTTGGAAGTAAGACGTTATGATGACAACCATATTGCCATCTCTCAAAGACGGTTCCTTATTTCAGGATCTGATGTGTCTGGGGACAAAGAATCTCCTTACGGGTAATTTCCGCTGTTGTTTTAACAAGGGACTCATAAAAATCATTTTTAGGATTTTATAAAAACGGCCACGAACAACAGTGTCGTTATTACACGAAATCCAGTCGCTTGGACTTCTAATAGTAATACAATGTTTTTAGTTTAACAATAACATCACTGAATGTGAGCAGGTACCAATGGTATGTGCCCATCGAATACATGACAGGAGCCGATATCGAGTTCGCGTGGCTGAAACCTCATGACACGGTCCTTATAGAGTTTGATTTCTCCGATCTTGATAGCTTCATCAGGCTGAACATGAATAGCGCGGGTTACTACATCGTTAACTACAGTTTTGATCTTAACGAGAGGCTCACGAAACATATCAGTGATGAAGAAAACTACAAGGTTTCTTTTTCTTTAACTTTTATTCGAACGTTTCTAATTTTTATTCAGTCGAATTATCAGTCAGCTTTAATAACTCAGCATTAGATTCTTAACACTGATTTTACTGATTTGTCTCCCACTCAGGCTCTAAAAATACCAGAAGTTCAGGGCTTACTGTACGACACATTCCTGCGTTTATACTAGTCAGTACTCACCCATTCTCAGGGGACTACTAAGATGCATATAATATAGTATAATTGCATTGACAGAGATTATGAGCGTACGCGCCCTTGACCATGCTGCTCGCTAGGAGCAGTGTCACTACGGCAGAGGGTTAATACATATTTGGATTAGGGTATAGAGTTGGATTTGGTGGGCGTGGGGAGGTGTGAGTAATGTCAGAAGTGGAGTTAAAATAGGTGTGAGGTAGAGGTACAGGGGCAGATAGTAGGAATAATTAGCAGACACGACATGTCATATGAGGGGTTTACTCTGCGAGGAGAGTGTTGGGTGATTTTTTGTTATTTGTTATTTTTGATTTTGAAGTTTGGGTGGGGGAATGTTGGGGATGGGGGGAAATTATCGCATCCGACCAGTTTTGTTCTTCACCCAGAATTCAATAGTCTTCTCTTGACTTCGGAGAGAAAGCCTGGTTGTGTGCATGGGCGTAAATCTAACATTCCAAATATGTGCATTGCAGAGCAAGTACCAGGGTACCTTTAAGACACTGTTTGGATGAAATTCGGGGCCGACTACCTTCAAACTAACGCCACAGCTGAAAAAGACTTACCTATGATGCTGCAACACGGTTTCAAGACATGTTTGAGTGTTTAAACCTTACCTATCATTTTTATTTAAGCCTTATTTTGACGAACCTCAGACATAGAAAGCAAAAAGTAAACGATACGCATACAAATTGAACTCAAGACACCAAATATGCTTAAATTGAACATTATTAATTACATATTTATATTGCACCTGTGTTTCATCTGCGCGCCGCCGACCCCCCACGTGTCGCCGACTACCCACCATGGAAAATATTGGAAGCTTTTCAAATTATCTGAAACATTATTTATTGACCAGGCTGAAAGTATTGTTTGCTGTCCAGTTAGCATGCCTTACGAAGTCGAGGAGTGTGTCAATGTTGCAAAAGCTAAATTCGATGCCTATAAAAACGGCATTGAGCCTAAATCCGAGTTTAAGATCACTATGCTGAACACGGTTATGTCTGGTAAATTACGAGATGTTATAGATAACTGGAACTTCTTGTGGAAAAAATTCCAGAATTCTGACTCAGCCAGTGAACAACAAACAATTTATCAAGCTTTAGGTCTGATTCAGGACAAGGATACGCTCAAAAAGTAAGTTTCTACAAAGTATTTATTATCAAGATTACGTATCCGAATATTAATTCAGGTTGTTGGTCTCTGCTTTTAAAATTATCAAAATTTTCCTTATATGAATATCTCATAGTACCACAGTGTACCACTAGGTACCACAGTGTACCACTAGTACCACAGTGTACCACAGTGTACCACAGTGTACCACAGTGTACCACAGTGTACCACTAGGTACGCTGACCACTTTTACTTCCCAACTACTCAGCTCTTATTTACACTTCAGTTTCTCTGAGTTTTGCCTGGATCCTATCTTATGCGTCGAAGTGACTCCCTCTACAATACTGGGCCGGAGTATCGCTCAAACTAAGCTTGGACGAGAGGTTTCTTGGGATTTTTTGGTGCTAAACTGGCAACGGGAATTCACCGAAGAGTATGTTTTTTAATGTTTTTAATTAAAGGTTCTGGCTTCCTCTGTTTCTGCTTATATTCTTTGTCCTCCTTTAATTTTATTTTTAAATTCAGAATAATGAATGATTTTTTTCGAGACCTCGAATAATTGATCTCAATTATTCGTGGTCTCGACAAAATATCATCCATTGAGAAATTTAAAAACGGTAAAACAATAACCGTTGACTGCCTGTTTTCAGATTCACAGATGCCCTATTTGCTGTTGAATGCTTTACCATCGCTGAGTTCTGTTCTGATTTCCGCTGACCAACAAACATACGAGGTTAGTTTTTCCCACCTGGAGGGCTTCCCTGCCAGTGTTATTTGTTTTAAATCTCCACAATCGGAGGAAAGTTTTTTCATTTTTGGTAATAATTTACGATTCCTCAGTACAGTTTTCGATTAGTTGATGTTACTATTTCAGCAAGCCATAGTCCCATGAGGCCGGTCAAATATTAGAAGCTATTTATAAATCAGGAGAACTAAGTGTGATAGTGTTAATCTAACTGAGGTTATATTTCAGATAACAGAGTTCTTCTCCGGTCAACTGGAAAGTCTGGGACCTGGCAGAGCAGCTTACGAATCAGCTCTTCAGAGTATCAAGGGAAACATTGGTTGGCTTGAGAAACACAAATCTGCTGTTCAGGAGTCAGTCAAAACATCGCTAATTAGAATTAGGCGATGTTTTGTGACAGTACTATACTGATTTCTCAACACAGATTATAATCGACTGATGTTTATTTTTCATATTTTGCTCTATATTTTTAATTTAATGCTTTATAATTGGTATTATCAATTATTTCCAATAAATAACCACATATAGTTTTAGTTATCTGACAGTATTCAGAGTTATTGTAGTTAATTTTATTATGTCATGTTCCAGACTACATGACTCATGTAGATTTGTTTCATAATATTGATCAATATTATTAAGGGAACTTTTATTAAGGACAACTATATTCAGGAATTTTCACTTCTCTTTCGGAAATAAACTTGGAAAACCATAAATTGCAATTCTAGTCATTTATAACAAAATAGTATGGACATATTAATATGCAATGATTTTGGAGCTATTCGAAGTCTGTGCGACTTTCAGAGTGCAGAGGGCCACATATGAATTTCTTGATATAACACACAAGGGTGCAGTGAAAAGGCCGGTGATCTTTTCATCTTTCCAGCCATAAATTTCGGTCTCAGAAACAATTTCAGTTTTTTCTGATACCAGAAGCTGCGCAGCTAAATGTCCCTAACTAACATAATAAGTACAAGAAAGTAAGAAATGATATCCTACGTCTCTCCTCCTCCCATTGTGAGCACCGCGGACCGTGACCTCTAGAGCGTACGACCGACTGTACGGCGGCGCCGTACAAAACAGAGCTCTACGCAACTACATGGGTTTTGTGAAAACGAACAGGACTCTGGAGCGGTGGCGGGGGCAGACGCGACGCTGGATTAGTTGATATCGTGTCCACAATCTACATCTCAAGCCTCCTGAACCCTTGATCCGATCCTTAGTACGTTCAACTCAAGGTAGGGTATAACTCCGCTCCTATGCGCACGGGGGGCGAGGACCTTCCATGCACGCTTATGTACAATCTAGGATAGACAGAATCGCGACGATCTTAGGTGCAGAATACTGCCACCGAAATCCTTGGTGAAGTACGTTTTTGTGTTAATACGTTGTATAACCGCCGCGCACAGTGCGTTATCGGCTCCCCCTGTATCGTCAGGACGATAGTGAACGACAGGGGGGTCACAACGGATACAACGTTTTTTGTTCTTCAGCTTCGCAGTTTCTTTCTCTGATTATAGTGAAAGTTGATAAATCTGACATTTTGGAGTAAACGGAAACGAATGATCATGAATTAATAATGGGATTGGTTTTATATTTATAAATAGATCGCTATAGAACATATTTTTTCCCGATCCATGACTCGTGCCGAAGGCACAAAGAGGTTCAAGCCAAGGTGTAATCGATCGAGGTTTTTTTTTGTAATATGGTAGCTTTGCTACGAGCGTGCGTTGCGTTGAGTGCGGCGTACGTGCCTGCGAGCACTGTTTATCGCCCACGTGGAACTACCTGCGCAAAGTTATTTGCGTGATAATCTGAATTAGATATTTGTTGACGCGCGGCGCGAACCTACCAGTAACATTATTAATTTCATCATGTACGTATCCCACTAGGCTCTAATTGATCGCAGATTATTAGTATTTGTGTTAGTATTACTATGTTGCACAGATCCGTTCATTGCAGAAACAATAAACATATGGTTTTTACATAGAAGTTTACACATTTTCAAAATTCAATATAGAATTTATTAACTGGGCGCGCGCGCAGTCGCAATGTCACGTTCGCCATATTTGCATGTTTATATAAACAGTAAAGACTGGGCCGTCCCCCAGTTGTTTGGAATAATGAATAAATACGCCATCACGGTTCGGGAATGAGCGGCCCATCCACAAAAGAAAAGCGGCCGCATAATCTTGTTTAAATTGTTTTTGTTTTGTTTTTAAACATCTTTCTTTACTGTACACAGGGTGTGTCGGTAAGCTATTACAATTTGACAATAAAATGTTGGGACGCGCGCCGGAGTGGACTCGTCCGACGAACATAATTTTTACGAGTAGCACCCTTTAATGACTGACAGCTTCCAACCCTCAAGCGGTCGCGCTAAATCTTACTGGGCCGCGCTCAGCCTGTCATTCCGCCGAATCTCTATGAACATAATAGCCTGCGGTCCCCAGGTAAGCTAAATCACTCTACAGTCGATTCTTCCATTTTCACCACTTTTAGTTTCGCATTGGATGAGCACATGTTTGATGTTATACGCGCGCGTTACGTATCAATCATATTTGATCCCGATTTCTTACTTTGGGTTTCAAACTTGATTCACGATGTCAATCCTTTGCAGCTCGGTGAGGCACAGTGGTGCATCTCGCCGATCTACCGGCGAGAAGAATTATTTGATGCGCGGTGCGACCCAGTAGTGCATTTTCGGTAGATCGGCGAGATGCACCACTGTGCCTCACCGAACTGCGAAGGATTGACATCGTGAATCAAGCTATCATGTTCATAAACATAGGGATTAGGCGCGGAATGACAGGCTGAGCGCGGCCCAGTACACAGCTGGGGACCTGAAACCAGGTTTTCGATCAAACGCTGCCATGTGTAGTCAAACGTCGCCAAAAGTTGCTCTCGTCCAATGAAATCGCTTCATCATGTAAGCCAAGCTCCGCATATGAATATATGTAATTCAATTATGCATACTGACTTGCAAACTGCAGCGATTTCATTGGACGAGAGCAACTGTTGGCGACATTTGACTACAAATGGCAGCATTTGATCAAAAACCTGGTTTCAGCCCCCCTGTGAGTAATCTAAACACGTGCGCTTTAACATCCAATGAGCATTCGCACTTTTTTCATATCAGGGCGATTGAGGTCGCGTAATTCACTCAGCCCGAATAGAGATTCGGCGGAATGACAGGCTGACGTACTGCTGAGCGCGAGCGCTGCCCAGTTTACCTGGGGACCCCAGGCTATATATTATGTTAGGCGGAATGACAGGCTGAGCGTGGCCCAGTAACGCCCAGTAAATGAATAAGCTGTGGGAAAAATAATTTTTAACGAGTTATGAGCAATTAACCATTTTTGTCGAGCGCGCGCATGTGACAGGTTTGTAAAACGATATTTGAGCTGTTTATGCTTTAAGGAAAACAAAATTTAAATTTTATTGCCATTACAATGAATAATGATATCATAATAAATATAAGTAGACATTGCATCCTAAAATAAACTTGTTAAGTCCAGTACAACCTATAAGATTCCTATACTAAATTGGATGTGCGGCGCGGCCAGTAGTGCATCGCGCATACACAACACATAATGTACGGTGCTTAATTGACGATGTCAATTCATGGCAGCTCGGCGCGGCACAGTAGCGCATCTCGCCGATCTAGCCAGAGAAGCCTCATTGAGTGCGCGGCAGGGCACAGTAACGCATCGCGCTACAAGTACGGTGCTCTTTTCGAGCTTCTTGGATATACGTAATTATTATAGAGGATCTAATCAGCATTAATAAACTAGCAAGCTAGTTTATAAGCAAGTATAAGCTAGTATGGGCAAATATTTGCGAAAAACGCTGTTTTATGAGCGGTGGACCTAAATTTCACCGTTATGGGTTATGACTGAATTTTTCTGATATGACCAGTTTATAAGTTCACTGTGGATGGCACGAAACACGATTGATGTACTGAAATTAGTTTAATTATGAAAGATAACTGTGTTATTATTGGAATTAAACCATCAGAAATTAATAAAACATTTTTTGAAGGTTCTTTAACAAAAAAAATTTTGTCGTTTCTTTGACCGAAATTTCGCAGTTTTGATTTATAAATTTTTGACCTTTGACCAATCAGTCAGGTCTGTGAGAGTGAAACAAGTCGCCATCAATTAAGTATCGAAAGCTGTATATCCGGAGAAAACTTTGATGAAAGGTAACTTCGAAAATGTCGAATGGGTGGGACAATTTCAAATATTAACTTTCTGTGACCCAAATTTCGCGTTTTTGACTGAATTTTTTCAACGACCAGTTTGTGAGTTAACTGTGGATGGCATGAGACACGATTTAGGTACTGAAAGCTAGATTAAGAAAGATGATAACTGGAAAACTATCAGAAATTAAAAAGAAATGTTTTTTTAACAAAATCTCTTCTGCCGTTTCTTTGACAGAAATTTCACAATATTGACCATTTTTGACCCTTAATCAATCAATGAGGTCACTGGAAGTGACAAAAGTTACGATCGAGGTGCTAGGACCTGAATATCCGGAGAAAACTTTAATGGAAGGAAAATTTGAAAATGTCAATTTTTATCACTGCGACACAACTCGCTGAGAGACACCTTTGCAGAACTAATGAGAACTGTGAAATGCAAGGATGTGCAGACTGAGCCGGTTCTTCTTCCAGTTGATGGTCTAGAGCTACCAAAGGGAACAGTCCTAGGAGACCAAGTTAGGCTGGACATTTCTGCAAGATCGATTTGGAATGCTTCAGAGAGGGCATTTTTTGATGTAAGGGTATTTCATGCCCCAGCCCCCTCCAATGCAAGCAAATCGATCCCAGCGATGTACCAGTCCCATGAAAATGAGAAAAAGCGATGTTACAACGCAAGGGTTTCTTGAAGTGGAGAAAGGAAGCTTCACACCTTTAGTTTTCTCGACTTCTGGTGGAATGGGTGGTGAAGCTGAAAGACTGGTTAAGAAGCTGGCCAGTAAGATGGAGTACCGCACTGGCCAGAGGTACTCGGATGCTGTAGGATACATTAGAAAGCGCCTTCGCTTTGAAATCCTAAGAACAACAGTGATTTCTCTCCGTGGAGACAGAGGTGCGAGAAAAAACATTGTTGATATAAACAGTCTAGATCTTAACTTGGAGCCACAAGGCCAAGTATATATTGTTTGAATAATTTTATTAATTTTTATCTCATGGAGAAATGTTATCCCTAGCGGAAGTTTTCGATGGTCACCCTGTATTATATCACCAAATATTTCAAAATAGTATTGAAGTGTACTGAAACATCTATTGAATTATGAATAAAGTAAAGTAGAGTAAAGTAAAGTAAAGTAAAGTCTCTCTCTCTCTCTCTCTCTCGGTTACAGTCAACGGTTTTTGGCCTCCTAAGGTAAGTGGGAAGCATTCTCGCCGTGCCCACAGAATGCAACTCCTGCTAGCTACATGCCAGGACTCCCAAAGTAAAGTAAAGTAAAATTTATTACATCATCACATTTATCTACAAAATATCATCGCACTATGTAAATAAATATATAATAAATATTTCCCCACCAACGTTTGCATTAATTATTTATGGGTATAAGTACAGGGTGGCCCAAAAGCAACTACCCACACGCAACCCTTTAACAACTCACATAATTCGTCTTTGAATTTCACAAAAATTTCAGAGAATATAGATATCCAGGTCAAAATTAGAATTTCTGAAAGTTTCGCAAAATTTTATTGATTACAGAGGGTGTGGCACGCCACTCCCTCTTTTTCACTATTGTCGACATAAAGTGAGAACGCTTTAAGCTAGGAACTCCAAAGTTTCTAAACACATTTGGTTAGATAATTCAAATGATTTCCCAAAATTTCAAGTTGATTGAACACAATTTAGGCAAGTTATGACCCTTTTAAGATCTTGCAGATACGTGATCTCGGCACTTAATCACTAATCAGTGATTTCGTCAACCAATCAGTGATCTCATCGGGAGTTATTCGCTAACGTGCAAAAATGAGCCTCATTAGGCAGTACCAAACATGTTGGGGGATGACGATCTGATCACTTTGAGTGAATACTGATAGTGACTTTCACCTCAACACATACCAACAGGTCGACCTCAGTGATAAAGGGAAAATCCCTCTTGGACTATTCCTTAACAAATACAAATACAGGAATATTAATATCACAGGAACTCACCTCAGATGGCTAACATGGCTACTTTCAGGGCACAGCCCACTAGCTTACTTTCAGACTGTGGCTAACAACGTCAACTTTGAGATGCAAGACTGCGAACACTGCCCAGGGGAAGCAGAAACATCACAACATTTCCTCTGTGAATGTGTACAGCTGATGACTATCAGAATGAGAATATTTGGTAAACCTCTACTCACAATGGAGGAAATTATCAACAGCAAACTCAACCACATCATAAAGTTTGTGGACCAGTCAAAAAGACTAGACAAGGAAGATCTGTTTGGGTAAACTACTAGGATTTAACACCAGGAAATAACACAATTTCAGGAAAACAACATCAGGAAATAACCACGCCCAGGTAAACTAATAATAGCACCAATTCCAGGAGATGACCTTGCTCGGAAGTCCCTTGTCTGCCCACCGAAGTACCACAACCGAAGTGGGTTTGCTCTGAGACAGGTAGTGACAGCTTCAAGACTCCAGAGGTCTGTTGCATTGATATTTATTATTTTATGATTTCGTATATACTTTGGGAGTCCTGGAATGCAGCTAGCTGGAGTTGCATTCTGTGGGCACGGCGAGAAGGCCCCCTTCATTAAGTAAGAGGCCAGAAACCGTTGACCAGAACAGAGAGAGAGAGAGAGAGAGAGAGATAGTGACTTTCCTTAAACTCAAAGATATTCGCGTTATATCGCTTCCGTTACTGCCCTATAAGCAGTCTCGAACCAATCAGATGGTTGATTGAGTGAGGAGATCACTGATTAAGTGTCGGGATCAAGTATCCACCATATCTTAAAATGATCATAACTCTGCTTAATTATGATCAATCAACTTGAAATTTTGGGAAATCACTTGAATTATCAAACCAAATGTGTCTATAAACTTTGGAGTTCCTAGCTCGAAGGGTTCTCACTTTATGGCGACAATAGTGAGAAAAAGGGAGTGACGTGCCACGCCCTCTGTAATCAATGAAATTTTAAGTTATATAATGCTCTGAAATTTTTGTGGAATTCTGACACAATTTACGTGAGTTTTTAAAGCGTTGCGTGTGGGTAGTTACTTTTGGGCCACCCTGTAGTTTTTGATGAAACAATAAGTTTTATTTTACATTACTTAAATCATAAATAAATTAAGAGCTTAAGACCAGAGGGGGGGGGGGGGGGGGGGGGGGGGGGGGGGGGGGGGGGGGGGGGGGGGGGGGGGGGGGGGTGGGGTAAACGGTCAAAAAAATGATACTTTAAATAAATTCATTCTTTGATGACACAAATTTTGCTGCCATTCACATATTTATAGCTGCTTAACTTTTTTTGATAAATGAGGTTAGCCGATTCTTAAAAAATTAACTATACAACATTGAGGTAAATAAATTTTAGGTTAAGATTTCATTACACTCCAAAATATTTTGTTATTTTCGGTCAGCAAATGTTAACTCTAAATTTTAGGTTCATAATTGTCAGTAAAAACGAAATCTAAACGTTTTTAAATGCAGTTAACCTCTTAATTTAGATATAGCAAAAATAGATTAATTTATAGAGTTGTTATTTGGTCCTTAACGGCCAGGTAGCGCAGTTGGTTAGAACGCCTGTCTTACAATCGTTAGGTTGCGAGTTCGAAACCCACTGACTGCCTGGTCGTGGGGTGAGCGTCGTCGACGTTCAGCTAAGGATCATGAGTGGTCTATGCAGCCCCCCGGTCTACTCAGCCGAATACTCGAGAAATCGGGTGTGAGGGTTAAATGAGGAGCTGCACATTGCAGCAAAGTCTCGGACGAAGAAAGTATGGTACACACTACCTTAACCGTCACTGGCCAAAAAGATCCTTCGGCTTCCTGTAATTGGCTGGTTGCACTTGTGTAACATTGTGGCTGTTGGAATACACCGAAGTAAAATAAGTGTCTAGATAAAAAAAACATATCCTGAAAGTTTCAAGGTGATTGCTCAAAAATGTAGAAGATAGATTTTTGGACTCAATTATTTTTAGATTAAATGGGCCATTGTTAGCCCCAAGCGTTTTGGTCCCTCAAATATTAGTGGCTCTATTAAATGGCACGATGAGGTAAAATTTGTCACACTATGAAACTAAATAAACCCTCAATGGTTAGGATAATCGTCTCATTCTCTAGACAAACTAGTCACATAATGATATCTTTATCAGATATCGCTTAAATTCGGCTGGCAGTGAGTTGTAAACTTTTTCACTATAAAAACGTGACCGAGACTACATGGGCCCCTTGCTGCCGTGTTTGACTAAATTTTCGAATTTTCAGTTCATATGCATAGGATAGTTCCATATGACTATTAGTAAATTAGTATTATCAACATATTTAGCGACTTTTTTGTTAAATGGTACCACCAGCCACCAGGTAAATTCAGTCAAAACTCAAATATTTAAGAAATTTATATGAGGGATGTTTATGACATCCTGACACGAAATGTCGAATAGTCTAGCATTATTTTGTGAGCTGAATGTGTTGGGAATTATTAACATATCTCATTGTTATAAGCAAATAAAAATGCTGAAGGCACAAATAGGTAAACTTTGTCACATAGATTTGTATGATATCTCAACATGTGTGAAATTGAGCAAATATTAGTATATCTATACCAACTTAAACACCCTATATTACGTACAAAGGTACAATGGATAAATTAATAATTTCAACCACACACTTGTCATATAAATTATTATGTGGTAGCAATATGTTAACATTGGCAAAATTTTAACACCTCAACATCGTAAAAATATGTAAAGTTCGCCACAAAAAATATTATAACTTTGTTTGCTCCTTGTTGGCGAAGTAATTTGCTGAAAAATATGCCTATTTTTCACACCAAGTTGATACTATTACTGTGGCAGGGAAAGTTAATTTTGTCACGTCTTGTTCAAATGAGGCAAGTAACGTCACATTGTCATTTTATAATCATTGTTTCCTAATTTAACCTATTTACAACTTCATATCATTTTGTGACAATGTTAACGTCAACTGCCCCTAACTTGAATCAACTGTATCGTCCTTATATAGAGTTTTCCCGCACAGTCCAAACCAAAATCAGAAATAAATGATTTCGGCAATTCACCCAAAATTTCAAATTCCACATGTGACAGAATTTACCTCATTTCCCAATAACCAAGTGCATGTATTTGCTAACTTTTCAAAACAACATATTTTAGGGCTATTATTGGTAGAAGAACCATCAAATAATGAGTTGAAAGGGTTTTGAGGACACCTCACAGTAGAAAAGAGGTATCGTATTCTGAGTGTGACAAAGTTTAGGAAATATTGCCTTAAAACCGTTCGATCCCTGCCCAATGTTGTATCATAATTGTTAGATTGACCTAATCCACAATATTTTAATCTACTATATTTTAGACCAAGGAATGCTAATTGGGCAGCTATGGTTAACACAGTCACAAAAATGTGACATTTTTTCTATTATAATGCCTAACAACAATAAATTTTATTTCTGAGCAGTGCATATAATGGGAGTATGGGTCACGTGGCTAATGTTCAGAACTTATGAACACGCTAGAGTAATAGATGCTAAAATTAAGCCACTATCGTCGAAAACGCTATTTTTTGTTTACCAATATCCTCAAACTTCATCGTTTTCTACAAGGTTTTATTATTCTTGGTGATAATATTTTGATTTTTGCAGATTTGATACTTACAGCTTAATTTTTCCGCTAATTCCTATTATTCAGGTAGGTGGTATGGTTTCAAATGGTGAAGAACCTGAATGAAGTTTAGAACCGGCCCTACCTATTCTTCATCGCAAATAAATCTAAGCAGTTTCGACTAAATAATCGATTCTAATCAATCCTTACCAAGTTATTATAAGCTGTGACTATCGAGTTTATGCTGATGCCTTGTCGGTCATTTGACAATGGGAGTGAAGATGTAGTGGTACACCGTCATCACGGAGCAGGAGTTGATGACGACAACTCCGGAGAAGATGTTTGGAGTGATGAGGATAATGTTGAGGAGGATCAGTATACGCAGCTTGCTGACTTTACTGGTCCGTAAATATTTGCAATTTTCAAATTCCGGTTTTTTAAGCACTGCAAGCTGTATAATTGTCAAGCTGTATTGTGGATCTCGTACGGTATTCACTCTTATGTAATTATATAATAATAATATAATTACTGATAAGATTATTTGTACAATGGTTTATTTTCGCGAAAAGTCAAAGTTTACAAATGTATATCATGCAGTTCTTCTCATGCATATTATATGAATGTAAACAAAAAAAGTAGCATTACTTATTTAAATCGTATTCATTAAATATTAGGTGATAATCAATAATTATTTTGTTTCTCGGATTTACAAATTTTTGGTATCATGGTATAGTTCTAACGATGATGAGATCAGAACACACGGCCATAATTCTGGGAAAACTTGCATTGTTGGAATATCGTGATTTTAAAACGGCATTGAATCAAAAAAAGTGTTACGAAAAAACGGCGTTATTTTGCTGAAATTTGGGCTCAGCGTCGGACTGTTTTCAAAAGCTCATGATAAATTGTAATAAAATGATGCAATCATGAAAATTTCTGGAATCTATGTACAAATAACTTTTCCAAACGATAGCATAAAGTATGATAAGTTTACAAATATCCGTGTATTTGATAAACGCAATAATATAAGTCAAGTCAGAAACACGCCTACTCGCACACATTTTGAAATATAACTCCAGCTAGCAACGGCGCAAAACAACCTGAGTTTCAGTGAAATGGTGCCCACATGTCTGTGGAACGCGCAGTAGAGCTCTCGCACGTGAGAAATGTTCGAGTCAGTCTAGCTCGTTTGGCGCGTTGTTTCGTTTCCGTTACAAATGTTGACCTTGTACGCCATTTTGTCGCCATTTTGTCAATTTATACGTAATTTCGTAAATTTCGTCAATACCACGTTTAGCCAAATTCCACAGAGAGCTTATAATTTACTTCCAACACGAAATAAACATTGCTAAGGCCATGAAGTTACCTAATGGCCACTTTTAACGGAAAATCAAGTCATTCTGTGACATGTAGCGTCCTTTTGTCACTTAAATGGATGACGTTGACTCTAGAACATCGTGAAACGTTCCATCAGTAAAGCTAAAAGTATTTCCATTCTAAAAAACTTTACTTCAAGATAATTGCACGAAAGATGAATAAGTGTCTAAAGAACCATTTGATTGAACTTGTCTTCAACTTTTACGCTGTATTACGTCTCGAAATAAGCGATCGACCGCGCAGGATTACCACCTATAAATATATCATGATCTTGGCGTGATTTGTCCGGCGACCTAACTTTTTTAATCAATAAACTTTCAAATAGTTACACAAATAAAAAAGTAACTTACATCATTTTATCACAAAGAAAATTCGCCGAAAGATCTGTACATGCATGCCTTGATAAGTGACCGAGTGGTAACAAAATTAGGGACACCGAAACACCAGATTACCAGTAATGATAAACCAGTAATAATGACCAGTAATAATAAACTGGTTATTTGAATTAGATCGGGCCCTAAATGCACCTTAAATAAGTGAAGCGATGCGGCAACCAAGGCATGCTAGGTTTGTTTCAGTGGACTAAAAAGGTTAAAATCAAATAGCACTAATTCATTACATCTATTTAAGCTTAATATTCCACAAAATTTCAGGAGACACTGGCATTTTCAGCAGTGACGAGGAAGAAGAAGAAGAAGACTCTTTTAAACTAGACTCCCAACTTGATACCGCTAGTCATGCCATTTCATCTTCATTAGACATTGACGCTAGGATTGAACAAGCCCTCACTTTACCTGATATTGATGTGAACAGAGGACCCGGCTTCCCTGAAGTTCCCCCATTGAATCTGAACTTTAATCCTTCACAAAGATCAGAAGATGCGAGGCGAGCTAACTTGGCGCTCTCAGAAACAGATGAGAACTTTATAAGGGACAGTATGAGTTGCATGAGCATAGCGCCCCCACCTTGGGCAGGGGCCATTGATGAGACTAACTGGAAAGATGAATTAAGAAAACACTTAGCCAAAGATTGATTTAATTATATGTTTCGTAATGATTTTACCCTTTTTGAGCTGGCTCAATACAACTGATTATTGATATTTTTAATTGCGATTTAACCCCAAAGTCACGAATGTTTTTAGTTAGTGTTCTTACAGATGATATAAAGCTTGGTTTGAGATATTTATAGTTTCATTTTTGTAAATAATCAATAGTTAAAATATTCATGATTTGTTAATTTGCAATACAAATTAATATCTCTCTGATTTACAAAATTATAGTTCACAATTGAATGAGAAGGTAAGCAAGCATTGAACATATTCTTCACTTAGGAAATGTTCTAATAAACCTAGTGCAACATGCCAAAAGCGAGCGCAGAAAAAGAATGGAAGTTCACCATGCTACCCCGGGCAAATGTGTTTCACCCAACGTTGGAGGAATTCGCAAACCCTCTGAAATACATCAGCAGCATTAGAGAAGTTGCTAAAACTACAGGTATGCGACCCAGATATATAAGTATGATTTAACTCAATATGTTTGACTTTATCGACTGGATTTACGCCAGCACACTCTACTTCACGAAATGTAAAGACCGTGTATTACCACTTGTCAGTCAGACGAAACACGTTGTTATTATGGTTGTTATGTAATTATTTTCAGGTATAATCAAGGTTGTGCCCCCGAGGGCTGGGCTCCGCCCTTCTCAATCGACATCGCAAAGTTCCTCTTTACACCACGTGTCCAGAAGCTAAATGAACTGGAAGCCAAGTCTCGCTGTCACTTTCAGTTCATGGAGGGTCTCGCCAAATTCTGGCACCTTCAGGTGAGATCGGATTACTCTGTTTGTGAGGGTGGTGTCATATAATCGTGGGGCTATTTTTAGAAAAATGTCTAATGTCAGTGCGTACATTACTTCAGTAATATTGTCCGGATATATTGGAATAATTTTAAAGCTTATCTTCTTCCAAAACTTTCAATCTTTTTCCATAAAATGTATGTTACATTCAATGTAACTCAAGTTCTAGAACATTACCCAGATTACAAAACTTAAATGCCCTAATTAGACAATACCACGACTCACATAATGACGGTGCCTGTTTTAATATGTTGATAAATTGAAGGGTGCTAATCTGGTCGCTGTGACGCTACAATAACATGTAGTATGTATAATGTTACTTTGTTCAGGGTGTTGATGTGAAGATACCCAACGTAGAGTACAAGCCTCTGGATATGTATACGCTACACAAGGTAATGTATACTGTGTAATGTATAATTGTATACTGTGTAATGTATACTGTGTAATGTATACTGTGTAATGTATACTGTGTAATGTATACTGTGTAATGTATACTGTGTAATGTATACTGTGTAATGTATACTGTGTAATGTATACTGTGTAATGTATACTGTGTAATGTATACTGTGTAATGTATACTGTGTAATGTGTATTATTATCAATGTATAGTCTCCTGCATGGCACATAATACGCAACGTCATGTACGTGATTTACTTGTAACGTTGAGTATTATGCTGTGTACATAACCTTAACATAATGAGGCATATATTATGTACATTATATTATGTTCTTCGATGAGGCACATTAAAGTGACACAAACTTACATTATAGTGTACTGATATATGTGAAGGGAGTGTGACGTTTTGAAAAGAGTTAACTTGCCCAAATTAGGTTTCGCAGACTAATAGTTATATAAGCTATTTAACCGAGTTTTACATTATTTATCATCAGGTTAAAGGTTGTGCTACCATGCTAAATATAGATACACATTTACTAGATTGTTCTCTAATGAGATTTTGCTCTTACGTCTGCGTTTTACTTGACATCACGATTAAAACGATTTTACGCTCCTAAGTTGTGCTATTTAAAAAACTAATTATAATCTCATTATGAACTTAGTACTATAACTAATTACTAACGCAATAACTTCACTCAGGTGGTACAAGATTTTGGTGGGTATGAGAAGTGCTGTAGTGGGAAGAAATGGAGCGCTATTTGCAAGAAACTCAAGTTCAAGGACAGATCCCCGGTAAATACGATACGGCAACATTACGAGAAGATTGTTCACCCCTACATTGTCTTTAGAAGAGTTCATTGTGGCGAAAATCTGGCTTCTGACGAAAAAAATGTGAGTGTTCAAGTTAGATTGTTACTGTCACTTTCGTGCTCAAGGACCAAGGTGGACGCGCGCCGTGTTTCTTTTATACTTCCCTGAAGACTACTTGAGTACTTTCTGTATTTGGATTGGGTTAAGTATTCCCCGGCCCACTCTCGGTATAAAAATTATCACCAGTTTTAACTTACTGGGCAAATTTTCGTGGTCGGCTTTATACAATTTATCCTGATATTTCTTTATTGAACAATTAGGCGTAAGATATGGAAGGCGCGGATAAGCTAATGAAGGGGGCGCGCAATATATGCTCGCGTCCTTTCAACAAAATAGATAAATTTGGCTTCCATTTTGTAAGGAAACATGACGTCATACACCACATGGTGTTGTATGGAAATATCGCCAAAGATTCTTACTTTTAAAACGGTTTCAGATAACAGTTGAACTCATCAAAGAAAAGATGGAGAAGACTGAATACAAGCATCCCAATGACACAGGTTTGTTTACTATGCGCATTGCGCAGTGTCCAGCACTGTGCGTGTTATTTGTCGTTTCTTTGTCTAACCACAAATGACATCACATGGAACAGCGCATAAATATAACTCTTACAGCATTCGTACTCTCCGGTAGCCATGACGAATCCATAATCAGGGAAACGAGTTACTAGTTAGTGGTGGAATTGGAAATAATGAGCAGTTAGCAATCTAAAAATGTCGTCATTTCACAGTTCACACTTCTCCAATCAATATTCAACTAATTTTCAATAATCAACTCATTTTCTGATAATAATCCAACTTCCAGATGATAAGAAGGAGCTATTATACGAGAATCTGTTCTGTAAAGTATGTAAGAATGGAGACAGGGACGATGCTATGTTACTCTGTGATGAATGTGATGAACCTTATCACATATACTGTCTCAATCCTCCGCTAGAAAAGATTCCCAGTGGAGAATGGAGGTGCCCTGTTTGCCTTGCTAAGGTATGATTATGCTTAGAAAGCTTCTGTGGAATTTGCTAAAAAAGTATGCAGAATTGTATTCAATACCGGTGAAATATTGCGCATTATTTGGTACATGTATTTGGTTTCAAAATATCTCAACTTCCCAGAATTCTCTCGAATCTTCTCTCAAATTTGTCACTTTCAGGAAATAGACAACCGGCAGTTCGGATTTGAGCAAGCAAAGAAAGAGTACACACTATCCCAGTTTGGTCAGATGGCCGATAATTTCAAGTCCCGGTATTTTAAGATGCAGGCCAGTGAGGTTCCTATTGATAGAGCTGAGGAGGAGTTCTGGAGATTGGTCTGCTGTGTCGATGAAGATGTAAGTCACTATACATATTATACATTATTATACACTCCATAACTTTCATCCTGCTAACACAACAATTCACTTTCTCAATCAAACATTGGATTTCCCTTACAGAATTTAGTACACAGTGTCTAAAACTTTTAGTATTGAAAAATTATGTATTGAAAGAGGGTTAAAACACGGTAGTTTGCAGTTAGAAATACCACACCCGCAATAACATTGGGCCCTAGCAACAATTAGTGTCGATTTAAGGTAACAAATATCATCACCCTCAGGTTGCAGTCGAATACGGAGCTGATCTCCTGTCCTCTGAGCTAGGCAGCGGGTTCCCAACCCGGGACACTGCCAAGACTGATATAGCCAAAGAGTACGCAGACGACCCCTGGAACTTGACACACTTCGCAGATCTGGAGGAAAGTGTGCTGAAATACATCACAGAGCCGATATCAGGCGTCAAGATACCGTGGGTCTACGTGGGCATGGTCTTCAGCAGCTTCTGCTGGCATGTTGAGGATCATTGGACCTACTCTATCAACTATCAGCACTGGTTAGTTGCGCTGAACTCGCGGCTACTACTGTTAACTGTATCATCCTGCAGCTCTCGTATGTTTGATGTGATAACAATTTACTGATTGTAAGTCAAGAAAAGTGGTACACACACGAGTAGCTGCAGAATAGGTGCTGATTAAGGGGTTCCATCTTGAGAGCGAATCCCGGAAATTGGACCGTTACGTTAAAATATTAATTAACTAAATACTTCTCAGACCATTTCAGTTTTGCAGGTCTGGATTCCGCATTGTAATTATATGTCCTTAGGCATTGGGTTATGGGGAGTTTAATTAGCATAACCAACATTTCACCCAGTATAGATTGCGTCTTTATTAATACTGCGTACAAAACAATATTACCATAACAGTAATGGGGTTGATTCAGGTAAGCAAGTCGGTAGATGTCCATGAACAGGAGCTAACAATGACCACACACCTTTATCACAGGGGAGAATCCAAAGTTTGGTACGGAGTACCTGACTCAGGAGCTCAAGATTTCGAGGATCTTATCAAGAAAGAAGCTCCGGAACTGTTCACAAAGGAACCCAGTCTGATGCACCAGCTTGTCACTACTCTCTCTCCTAAACTGCTTCACGACAAGGGTGTACCAGTGAGTAAAACAAATTCCCATATTATTGTCGACCTAGGCAGGGCACACATTGTCACGCAATTTGTGGCAATGTAAATTCTGCTTGAGGGACATGTTTTTAAGCATTTTTCCATATTTAAGCCGGCACTATTTCTCATCTCTCTCAAGTTCCGGGCTAGTGATCAGGATCAATAACTTCCGTGTGTAAAGATACACCCAATAAGGGTGTATTCTTAGCAGTGATGTAACCAGCATGCTTCCTGGACAAATGTGTAACTTCTCATATAAATGTATTATTAATTTTAGGTGTACACGCTACGACTTGTATAACGTCTCATCTAAATGTATTTTTAATTTTACACGTGATGCCCATATAAGGAGATAACCAGTAACCATGGTAATTTCAGGTGTACACGCTGAGACAACAGCCGGGTGACTTCATAATAACCTTCCCTCGTGCTTACCATGCTGGGTTCAACTCTGGGTTCAACTTTAACGAGGCCTGTAACTTCGCCACCGCTGACTGGGTACTGTAGTTAATCTTCAAATCTTGTTAACAGATTTAGTAATAATCTAACCAACAATTATTCTAATGGAAAATGTTTGTAATTTAGCTTGATAGACCCCTTAATTATAACTCTTGAAAAAGTTGACCCATCCCCCCTCCCTCCATAGAAATTATAACTAATTTCTTTCTCCCTCCCCCAATTTGATACAACTGTCCCTCTGACATCATGTATTGAGACTGTTTTGCCCAGATCCCACTCGGTCGGCAGTGTGTGGACCAGTACAAAGAGTTTGGTCGTTACAACGTCTTCTCCCACGAGGAACTGCTCCTTAGAATGGTATCTAAGACGGACAGTCTGTTGCTGGACATTGCTGAAACCCTCTTCCAGGATCTCCAGGTGATTCTACACTCTAGTCTATATTTATTGAAAATCTTTTCAAAATAGTACATACATCAATGTAATTGCATGAAAATAACACGGTCAAAAAGTGATTTCTATGTACTATAATGACGGGAAACCAGAACGTAGTTCGTGCAAAAATTACACCTACAAAATATGGTCCCTGACAAAACATTTCATACAATCAACACATATAAATGTAAGATATATATATGTAGTAATAGAGATGATTGTGCAATAATAAAATACAGCGTGCATAAAATATCATAATGTTAATAATTTGTTAACTTTTTAATGAAATAGATTATATCATACAATACTTTTAAAAACCCAACCCACAACCCAACCCACCCCTAACCCCTTAAATAGTTTGGATCGGTTATTTTAGATTAGAGAATTGGCATTGGGAGAAATGAGATGCATCTAATCATTATCAGATAGGTAGAATTCAGCGTGACTATCGTTTGGATCTGTGGGTAGCATTTCCGACCATAGGTGAACCTTAAGTTTGGCCTTGAAGATATCAGGACAGCTATGGTCTCTTATTTCGAGAGGAAGTTTATTCCAGAGCAGATGTGTCCGATAAAAGAATGATTTCTTAAGGAGACTGCTATTACACTGTGTTTGAACAAGAGTCGTTACATAACTTAGGCTGTCATGGTGACATGATCTTAAGCGTGTGCTTCCTTTGTATAGTTGTAAGTAATTAGGAAGCTCTTGTGTGCATACACCATTGACTATTTTGTGAAACAAGGTCAGGTCATTCAATTCAAACCTCTTGCTGAGAGGAAGGATTTTCAATTGATGACATTTGTAAGTATAGTTTTCAAAGGACTGATAGCTTGTGAATTCCTCATCAAAAATCCACTTAATACACCTTTTTTGAAAAGCATCCATCTTATCTAGTTGTGTTTTATTAAATGGACGCCAGATTTGGGAACAGTGTTCAAATTGACTTCTAACAAGTGCAAGGTATAAATTTCTTCTTCGTCTCTCATCTTGGACAAATGAGCAAGTGCGTTTCAGCAGCCCAAATTTTTGGTTAGCTTTGGACAATATTTTAGTTATGTGTTCTTCAAAACGAAAGCCCTGATTTATAACGACTCCAAGATCTGTTTCCGTACTGGTGTAATCTAAGGGAGTATTACCGAGCAAATATTGAAATCTGATAAATGGAATAGGTAATATCCTACTGCTGAATTTCTTTCCAGGAATAGAGAGGACTTTACACTTTGATGGATGGAATCGCATCTTATTTTCTATGCTCCAAGAATTAAGTTCATTTATGTTATTCTGAAGTGTGCAATAATCGTTGTATGATTTAATAGGACTCCATATTTTCGTGTCATCAGCATAAAGTACCAAATTTGTGCCTGAACTTAATCTCATGGGAAGATCGTTTATGAATAAGACAAATAGAATGGGACCTAGGACGGAGCCTTGAGGAACTCCAGACAAAACAGGTTTGATCTCTGAATGTCTACCATCAACTAAAACACATTGTTTCCGTTCACTAAGATAGTTGGTTAGGAATTTGAGTAGCCTTCCTTCAATATTAAAGACGAGTTTAAGTTTCTTAAGAATAAGATCATGATTTACAGAATCAAAGGCTTTAGCAAAATCAAAGTAAATGATGTCTACACTTATAGTCGAACAGTCATTGAGGGATAGCGTGACACTGTCAATAAAGTTAATCATATTTGTGGTACAAGATCTGTCTCCAAGAAATCCATGCTGTCTATCATCAAGAAGATGCATCGTTTTATTCAAGAGTTCCTGTTTAATAAGGCGTTCAAATGTTTTCATTATAAGACTAGTTAGGGAAATCGGCCGATAATTCTCAATGTCCTCCTTACTACCCTTCTTGTGAACCGGAACTACGTGAGCCAGCTTCCATTCAGTTGGAATAATACCGGAGTTATATGATATCTCAAATAAAATTGAAAGTGGGCAAGCGAGACTACCAGCACAGTTCTTCAGTATCTTACCATGGATACCGTCAGGGCCGCAAGCTTTGTTAGAATTAATGTTCCTTAAGAGATGTTTTATATTCTCTGCACAGAAAGTTAAGTCGAATTCAGTATCACTTCTCCAATCAATATCAATATCATACTTAGATTCGTCAGAAAATTGTTCTGAGAAATACTGATTGAACATATTTGCTTTGTCTAATGGAGATTCTCTGTATGTTTCTCTAAGGTACATCCTATCCGGTATTCTTGAATTCTTTGAAGAGGATTTTACATGCGACCAGAATTTCTTTGAGATCAATGCAGGGTCATCATCGTTATATAGATTATCGTTCATCTTCTGATCAGATAGATTTTTGAACTGTGTTCTTAGTGAGCAAAACTTAAAATAATCCTTTTGTTGGCCGGTTAGTTTCCACTTTTCATGAGCTCTTTTTTTCTTCAAGTATGCCTCATGGGCCTCTGAGTCAAACCAGGGATTTCTATATGCTAACTTTAAAGTAATAGTTGGGATATGCTTTGAGATACTTTTCGATATTACAGACTTTAAGGCAAGCCAACAATATTCAGGATCTCCTAGCTTTAAAAACATAGCATTCCAGTCAATAGAATTCAAGTCTTCGTTAATGGCCGTCCAGTTTGCCTTCTTAAAGTTGAGAATCTTTCTTTTAGGACATTTAGAATAAGTGATTTTTGTAGCAACTTTAAAAGCTATTGGATAATGGTCAGATTTGCAAGCACCGTGACCCTTCAATACCGTAAGATCTCTTACTAAATTTTTACAATTACTCAAAAGAAGGTCTAGTATGTTACCCTTAACATGTGTAGGACTACTTATACATTGATCTAGATCAAAGTTATGGAATGTTGTAATGAAGTCCTCTTCAATTAAACTAGAAGGTGTAACAATTCCGTCCTCAGAAAACCAATCTACTCCATTGAGATTAAAATCACCAACGATGAAAAGTTTTTTAGGGCGTTTGCTTGAGTAGAAAGACTTGATTGTACTGGCAATACTTTCATGGTTTACTGTTCCTAAAGTTCCGACTCTGTAAACCACACAAAAAATGTATTTACTTTCACCTATGTTTATTTCAATAGCGGCCATTTCGGACCCCTTACGTACAGACAGTCTTTTGATTTCAGCTTGAATATCAGATCTGATTGCTATCAAGACTCCTCCACCATTTTTCCTATATTTTTTCGGATTGTTATCATCAGGTGGATGTGATACTTTTGAGCGATCATTTCTAAATACTTCATAGTTAGAGCTTTGAATGACCTCTCTATCCATTACAGAGTTTTTAAGCCAAGTCTCTGTAAGCAGAATAACGTCAGGATGTGAATAACGTCAGGATGTGAAAACGTCAGGATGTGATAAAAGAAATTCTATAATAGAAGAAATTCTGAACTAATAAAGAAATGCATAATCTTGGAAAGTACTGGAAAGGGTTAAGTTCTTATATTGTACCCTCAGTCAGTTTCACGAAATCTCTGCAAGATTTCTGATAAGAAGGGTTTGTCGTGTCGACTTCTGGTTTCACCGTCCCATTAACAGGAGCAAAAATAGGAAATATATTTCCACACTAAGTCTCGCTTGATTGACTTGAACGTACATCTTTCTGGGTATATTTTGATGTCGAAGCGTGTAATAAATGTTAGAATTTATGTATTTATCATAAGTTTAGACTGTAGGCTACTCTAGTCACTAGTGTAGGCTACACTTTCTACTTCTTCCGACAACTTGTCTGTATTTGATGGGTGCTCTTAGTAAGCGTTTACCCAGTAACCACCTAGTAACCACCTAGTAACCACCCACTTTCTACTTCTTCCGACAACTTGTCTGTATTTGATGGGTGCTCTTAGTAAGCGTTTGAGTTAATAATTGCCGCGTGAAACGTGCTTGTGCCTAAGGGTCAACAATCATTGTGGCGCTAAGTGCTTTTCAATCACGTGCTTCAAAATATAGTTACATTCATTCACCAAACCGTCTGAACTTAAATTGCACCCCATTATTCACTGATTTGGTAACGGTATTAACCACGTGACTAACCACGTGACTCTACAGATAATGGTAGAGCGGGAACTGGAACAGCGGGAATCACTCAAGCAGATCCAGACAGACTTTCTAGAGTTTGAGGAGGTACCAGACGAGAAGAGGGTGTGTAGAGTGTGCAACACTACCATGTTCCTCAGTTCCATCGTCTGCTCCTGTCACCCAGGTACCGTTATCACGTGACGTCATCACGTGACGTCATCTGATATCGTCATTTCTTCAACTTCTGGCACATATTTATGTTCTAGATGATTTGAACGTTAAGTCAGAGTGATGTCGTATTACCGTAGACTGATTGAATTTCTTACCACTCATCACGCACTTTCTGATTACTGATTAATCAATATGTCTATAATAATGGTCCTTAAACATTACTTGATGTCTTAAATTAAACTGTTCACTTGAATATGCACTCTACCGGCCTACTTTGCCTCATAAAGCTAAGAGGGGATTATTCATCTCCCGACCAACTGGGCACAGAGTGCTACATTCTTCTGCAGAAGTAATATCTTACCTTGTTTGAAATTTAGTGATAAATTTCCCTTTAGACACTGTCCAAAAATATTTTCTGCAGAAAATTAGAGCCCTGAAAATAGCAAAGCTGAATTTCATTTCAATATTGAAGGTAGAGTAGCAGCAAAGTTCTTAACCCCCACTTCTCCCTGACAGAAGTAATGTACTGTCTCCTACACGCTCCTACAAGTCCCTGTCCCACGTCTAAACAGACTATGAAATACCGCTACACGTCGAGGAACTCAAAAAGCTGCCCCAAGATGTACAGAAGAGAATACCAGAGATGAGGGAGTGGACTAAGGAGGTCAGCGGAATGAAGGGCCGCTCTGAGAAACCTTGTAAGTAGGAACCTACTAGGTAGGAACCTTGTAAGTAGGAACCTACTAGGCAGGAACCTTGTAAGTAGGAACCTACTGAGTAGAACACTCCCCCCTCCGCCCCCCCCTCCCTCCCCTCCCCCCCCTCCCCTCCCCCTCACTCCGGAGCAGTTTCAACCGAACCTCGGAAGCACTGGAAAGGGTTAAGTTCTTATATTGTACCCTCAGTCAGTTTCACGAAATCTCTGCAAGATTTCTGATAAGAAGGGTTTGTCGTGTCGACTTCTGGTTTCACCGTCCCATTAACAGGAGCAAAAATAGTAAATTTAATTCTGAAAACTGAAGAATTGCTCCCTGCAGTGGTGGAGGAACTTGAGAAGCTAGCGGAGCGGGCGGTTGCCAACAAATACATTGAAACTGACGAGTACAGAGAATTGAGATCTGTTATCGACAAAGCTAACCAGTGCATCAAGGTAAAACATCACCAATATTCCCCTATCTAGACAATTTTGAATGTACTGTAGTTTTGAAAAATTGGAATGTTTTGTTCAAAAAGATTTGGAATCTTAAACAATTATTATGTATAATGTATAATGTATAATGTATAATGTATACTGTATAATGTATAATGTATTACAGGTAACAAACCAGTTAGTAGCGATCAAAAGACGAAGCAGCAGAGTGCACAACTCCTCACCAGCTCTCAAAATATCAATTAACGAACTTAACAGCTTCCTAAAACAGGTTAGTAGCTTTTCATGAACTTTTGTATGAGGTATATTATGTATATTATGTGTATATTTGCATTGTAATATCCGGATGGGAACATTGTTTATGAGTTGCATTATTGTAAAGTGTCTGATGAACATTTCTGATAAACATTTCTGATGAACATTTCTGATAAACATTTCTGATAAACATTTCTGATGAACATTTCTGATGAACATTTCTGATGAACATTTCTGATGATCTGTGTATTGCGACAACATATTTGCATTTTTTTTCAGCGAAATGAATTACAAAAAAGATTTAAAGACTTCAATATGGTTATTTACTGCAGATAGCCTAACATGCTGCCTACACTTTTACTCGTGTCATCCTGAACAGCTCCATCCTTTCACTTCATCAACTAATTGCTTATTACATATCCAGCCTACACACGCCGCGCGCATCATCTGTGTAAATGTCACATACTCTAACCACTAGCTGTCGACTAGCTGCTGAGAATTACACTGGCTGATTTGTGCATACGGATAGTCACATGACACACACAGTACACCACACAGTACACACACAGTACACACACAGTACACCACTATTAGCTTGTACAGGCTACACACTGCTGACATGCTGCTCGCTCCAAGTACACCACTATTAGCTTGTACAGGCTACACACTGCTGACATGCTGCTCGCTCCAAGTACACCACTATTAGCTTGTACAGGCTACACACTGCTGACATGCTGCTCGCTCCAAGTACACCACTATTAGCTTGTACAGGCTACACACTGCTGACATGCTGCTCGCTCCAAGTACACCACTATTAGCTTGTACAGGCTACACACTGCTGACATGCTGCTCGCTCCAAGTACACCACTATTAGCTTGTACAGGCTACACACTGCTGCCATGCTGCTCGCTCCAAGTACACCACTATTAGCGTGTACAGGCTACACACTGCTGACATGCTGCTCGCTCCAAGTACACCACTATTAGCTTGTACAGGCTACACACTGCTGACATGCTGCTCGCTCTAAGTACACCACTATTAGCTTGTACAGGCTACACACTGCTGACATGCTGCTCGCTCCAAGTACACCACTATTAGCTTGTACAGGCTACACACTGCTGACATGCTGCTCGCTCCAAGTACACCACTATTAGCTTGTACAGGCTACACACTGCTGACATGCTGCTCGCTCCAAGTACACCACTATTAGCTTGTACAGGCTACACACTGCTGACATGCTGCTCGCTCCAAGTACACCACTATTAGCTTGTACAGGCTAACACACTGCTGACATGCTGCTCGCTCCAAGTACACCACTATTAGCTTGTACAGGCTACACACTGCTGACATGCTGCTCGCTCCAAGTACACCACTATTAGCTTGTACAGGCTACACACTGCTGACATGCTGCTCGCTCCAAGTACACCACTATTAGCTTGTACAGGCTACACACTGCTGACATGCTGCTCGCTCCAAGTACACCACTATTAGCTTGTACAGGCTACACACTGCTGACATGCTGCTCGCTCCAAGTACACCACTATTAGCTTGTACAGGCTACACACTGCTGACATGCTGCTCGCTCCAAGTACACCACTATTAGCTTGTACAGGCTACACACTGCTGACATGCTGCTCGCTCCAAGTACCCCACTATTAGCTTGTACAGGCTACACACTGCTGACATGCTGCTCGCTCCAAGTACACCACTATTAGCTTGTACAGGCTACACACTGCTGACATGCTGCTCGCTCCAAGTACACCCACTATTAGCTTGTAACAGGCTAACACACTGCTGACATGCTGCTCGCTCCAAGTACACCACTATTAGCTTGTACAGGCTACACACTGCTGACATGCTGCTCGTCCAAGTACACCACTATTAGCTTGTACAGGCTACACACTGCTGCCATGCTGCTCGCTCCAAGTACACCACTATTAGCGTGTACAGGCTACACACTGCTGACATGCTGCTCGCTCCAAGTACACCACTATTAGCTTGTACAGGCTACACACTGCTGGACATGCTGCTCGCTCCAAGTACACCACTATAGCTTGTACAGGCTACACACTGCTGACATGCTGCTCGCTCCATGTACACCACTATTAGCTTGTACAGGCTACACACTGCTGACATGCTGCTCGCTCCAAGTACACCACTATTAGCTTGTACAGGCTACACACTGCTGACATGCTGCTCGCTCCAAGTACACCACTATTAGCTTGTACAGGCTACACACTGCTGACATGCTGCTCGCTCCAAGTACACCACTATTAGCTTGTACAAGGCTACACACAGCTGACATGCTGCTCGCTCCAAGTACACCACTATTAGCTTGTACAGGCTACACACTGCTGACATGCTGCTCGCTCCCAAAAAGTACACCACTATTAGCTTGTACAGGCTACACACTGCTGACATGCTGCTCGCTCCAAGTACTCACACTATTAGCTTGTACAGGCTACACACTGCTGACATGCTGCTCGCTCCAAGTACACCACTATTAGCTTGTACAGGCTACACACTGCTGACATGCTGCTCGCTCCAAGTACACCATATTAGCTTGTACAGGCTACACACTGCTGACATGCTGCTCGCTCCAAGTCACCACTATTAGCTTGTACAGGCTACACACTGCTGACATGCTGCTCGCTCCCAAGTACACCACTATTAGCTTGACAGGCTACACACTGCTGACATGCTGCTCGCTCCAAGTACCACCCACTATAGCTTGTACAGGATACACACTGCTGACATGCTGCTCGCTCCAAGTACACCACTATTAGCTTGTACAGGCTACACACTGCTGACATGCTGCTCGCTCCAAGTACACCACTATTAGCTTGTACAGGCTACACACTGCTGACATGCTGCTCGCTCCAAGTACACCACTATTAGCTTGTACAGGCTACACACTGCTGACATGCTGCTCGCTCCAAGTACACCACTATTAGCTTGTACAGGCTACACACTGCTGACATGCTGCTCGCTCCAAGTACACCACTATTAGCTTGTACAGGCTACACATCTGCTGACATGCTGCTCGCTCCAAGTACAACCACTATTAGCTTGTACAGGCTACACACTGCTGACATGCTGCTCGCTCCAAGTACACCACTATTAGCTTGTACAGGCTACACACTGCTGACATGCTGCTCGCTCCAAGTACACCACTATTAGCTTGTACAGGCTACCACTGCTGACATGCTGCTCGCTCCAAGTACACCACTATTAGCTTGTACAGGCTACACACTGCTGACATGCTGCTCGCTCCAAGTACACCACTATTTAGCTTGTACAGGCTACACACTGCTGCCATGCTGCTCGCTCCAAGTACACCCTAATTAGCGTGTACAGGCTACACACTGCTGACATGCTGCTCGCTCCAAGTACACCACTATTTGCTTGTACAGGCTACACACTGCTGACATGCTTGCTCGCTTCTAAGTACACCACTATTAGCTTGTACAGGCTACACACTGCTGACATGCTGCTCGCTCCAAGTACACCACTATTAGCTTGTACAGGCTACACACTGCTGACATGCTGGCTCGCTCCAAGTACACCACTATTAGCTTGTAAAGGCTACACACTGCTGACATGCTGCTCGCTCCAGTACACCACTATTAGCTTGTACAGGCTACACACTGCTGACATGCTGCTCGCTCCAAGTACACCACTATTAGCTTGTACAGGCTACACACTGCTGACATGCTGCTCGCTCCAAGTACACCACTATTAGCTTGTACAGGCTACAACACTGCTGACATGCTGCTCGCTCCAAGTACACACTATTAGCTTGTACAGGCTACACACCCTGCTGACATGCTGCTCGCTCCAAGTACACCACTATTAGCTTGTACAGGCTACACACTGCTGACATGCTGCTCGCTCCAAGTACACCACTATTAGCTTGTACAGGCTACACACTGCTGACATGCTGCTCGCTCCAAGTACACCACTATTAGCTTGTACAGGCTACACACTGCTGACATGCTGCTCGCTCCAAGTACACCACTATTAGCTTGTACAGGCTACACACTGCTGACATGCTGCTCGCTCCAAGTACACCACTATTAGCTTGTACAGGCTACACACTGCTGACATGCTGCTCGCTCCAAGTACACCACTATTAGCTTGTACAGGCTACACACTGCTGACATGCTGCTCGCTCAAGTACACCACTATTAGCTTGTACAGGCTACACACTGCTGACATGCTGCTCGCTCCAAGTACACCACTATTAGCTAGTACAGGCTACACACTGCTGACATGCTGCTCGCTCCAAGTACACCACTATTAGCTTGTACAGGCTACACACTGCTGACATGCTGCTCGCTCCAAGTACACCACTATTAGCTTGTACAGGCTACACACTGCTGACATGCTGCTCGCTCCAAGTACACCACTATTAGCTTGTACAGGCTACACACTGCTGACATGCTGCTCGCTCCAAGTACACCACTATTAGCTTGTACAGGCTACACACTGCTGACATGCTGCTCGCTCCAAGTACACCACTATTAGCTAGTACAGGCCTACACACTGCTGACATGCTGCTCGCTCCAAGTACACCACTATTAGCTTGTACAGGCTACACACTGCTGACATGCTGCTCGCTCCAAGTACACCACTATTAGCTTGTACAGGCTACACACTGCTGACATGCTGCTCGCTCCAAGTACACCACTATTAGCTTGTACAGGCTACACACTGCTGACATGCTGCTCGCTCCAAGTACACCACTATTAGCTTGTACAGGCTACACACTGCTGACATGCTGCTCGCTCCAAGTACACCACTATTAGCTTGTACAGGCTACACACTGCTGACATGCTGCTCGCTTTACACGTGGTCGAGTGTGTCTAGTTGACCAGAACAGAGAGAGAGAGAGAGAGAGAGAGAGAGAGAGTGTGTGTGTCTAGTGTACTCAGGTTTTATGCCCGCTTGCGGTGTGCAATACCATCAAGTATTACTAGAGAATGTGAATATTTAGTACACTAACTACTAAAGTATTTAAGTGTGTATCTTGTGATTGGATAAAGATATCACGTGCTACAGACCGTTGGAGCCAGTCTAAGCGAACATTCCTTTACTTCCAGCCTTCCATACCAGTTCTTAGAAAAGAGTACACGTATTTGGTGTATTATAAATGTATAGCTCTATACATAGAGAGCAATACAGGAACTGATTGTTAGTGATACAATGTACTAAAATGTACTAAAATGTACAACTTCAGGTTACAGATCTGCCCTGTCACGTGCCGGACTCGGCTCTGCTACAGGAACACTACGTCAGAATCGTGGACTTCACTGAAAGGTACGTACAATAATAGGTTTCCAATGGTTACAAACAATTGAGTGGAAGAGGGGTGGTCCGGCAAGGTAAATCAGGGCTTTGTCTTCATTAAGAGGTCAATCAAAAGTTGGTTTGTTTTTCTCACTTAAACTCACGATAATTTGCGCTGCTGTTAAATGTAAAGACTTTACATATTAAAATATGCACAATGTCTGATCGGTGTCGGGATAGACGGAAACAATTGTCACGTTGTGTTATTCAGCATATTATTATGCTTTCAACTGTACGACGTACGTACATTATGTAATTATGTATGTATAATATGTATATTGTTGAGCATATTAGACTAAACATTATGTGAAACTTGTAGAATGTTATTTACTTTATAGTAAATAACAATTTGTTCACATTTCCCTTCAATTTAGTTTTGGTTGATCGTTATGATTAACAATATTCAGGTGTGACCGAGCTCTTAACAAGAATCTCACTAAAGTACAGTACGAGGAAATGCTAAAAGAGAGTAGGAAGCTGGAGATAGATCTACCTCAAATACACTCTCTCAAACAGGTTAGTTTGGTCGAGTTCGAGTTTTTCCGGTCTTAATACCTTATCCATTACTCTTTTTGCGGATGATTAAAGTGTAACGCGAGAGTACAGAGTAACGACAGAGGTTAAGTCACATTAAGTATTAATCATCCTGAAAGGACAGGTATATTAGTATAAATATAATCTTACAACAGTTTTCATTATGAATTTCCTTATGAACATATTCTTACCTACATTTTTGTCTGGTTATTTCTAATCGTTAGAACTAATTATGTATCATGATTAAGTATCTTTTGAAACTCTGAAAGATGTGTACTGTTCAGAAATTAACGTCAAAAGTATTTAAATATTAGCCCCTCAACAACTCCATCACTAGACATTAGACAAACTGTAGAGGAAATACTCATGGTACAATTCCGTCTTACAATACAAATAGTACAACTATTGACCTGTCTGAATTGTTCAGGAAATAAAGAAAATACAATGGGTAGAAGACCGTATCAGAACTACTACAACGAGGCCACCATCTCCTTCTCGGATCTCCAGCAAGGCCTGTGCGAGCGAGCTCACTTCCCCAACACCAAACAGATCGAGGAACTCCGGACAAGTGAGGACAAACTCATGTCCGGCCAGAGATGGGAGGAGAAAGCACAGGGGTTGTTGAGCGCTAGACCCCGCCCTACTTTATCTAAACTGCAGCAAGCTTTTGAAGGAAGCTGAACGACTGGGTTGTCCCTCCCCACCGCGCCCTCTGTTAAGAGCACTATGATCAAGGCAATGACTGTGCAAGACCCTGTCTGATATAAAGTTGGAACAGAGTAAGGGTCATTACACTAGCGTCAAACAGCTGGAGGGTATTCTCCTCAAGGGTGAGTTTTAAGCTTAATAGCCATTTGATGAGAATTGTCTTCTATGTTTCCACCCAAGGTAATATTGAATCTGGGAAATGTGAATATCACAGTGACCTAGTAACCTAGTAACCTGGTAACCTGGTAACCTGGTAACATAGCCATCTCCAACAGGTCAAATGTTGCCAGTATCCCTACCTGAGCTTGACCGGTTGGCAGTGAAAGTATCTGCTGCCAAAGCATGGCACGACAAAGCTTCCAAAATATTCGTCAGGAAGGGATTCTCAAAGCTGCTAGAGGTTTCTAACCTTTTACCCAAATGATCTTTTCAAAGTTTTAAACTTCAAAAATACGCAATATTGCGGTTTTTCTTCATATAATTTGAGTGATGTGTGAATATGAGTGGTGCCTCCCCCCCCCCCGGCCCCCTGGTGTCCTGACCACAGAACCCCCTCAGGTTTTATCACCCAGAGGATCTCTATCAAACGACAACAGACCGCTAGAGGAGTCGTTACGGGAGAGCACAGCGAAGGAGTTTACAGAGATGAAGAAGAGACGGGGGGAGCGAACATGCTGCGAACTGAGCAGGAGGAGAAGGGGATGAGTATCGAAGATGATAACGCTACTGTATCTGCCGACGAGGTTAGCCAAACACAACCTTTTATTTTATCAGGCTTCTCTTTCTGGGTTTCGGAGACTCTAACTCGGTTTTGTTGTTGGTGAAAATCAGAAATGAGACGAGAAGTTTACCTCAAGACAAACTTATCCCACAACAAATAATAAGCCGGAATATCAAAAAAATTCGAAAAGTTTGTTATCTCGCAATTAACGTTGTTATCTCGCAATTAACGTTGTTATCTCGCAATTAACGTTGATATTGTCCAGGGTGGAAACTAGTAAAGGTAAGGGTATGCTGACCCTTCGTGTAAGCTGTTCTTTGTGTTGTCTAGATAACGCCTCACTGTTACCATAGCCAACACTGTTTCTACTATTGATTACAGATTTGTCCCCGATTAGTCTATCTCTCCTGCATGTTAAATGTATGCGCTTAACGTTACCTGTCTCCAAAGTCCGCAATCTGCTGCATTGCATCCACCACTCTTTTTGCTGTATCGATCAACTTGAGAGAAAATGTTTTTTCTTTCTCAAAAATTGAACGATTTTGTTGTTGCTAGGTAACACAGCTTCGTGTTGCTACTCAACATAGATTGACTATTGTCAAAAAGTAGCCGAAACTTTAATTAAAACCACAACGCGAGTAGTAATGGAGCCCAAATTACGAAATATGTTTTCAAGTTTTCCATTTGTAAGAGGGTGCAGAAGGTTTACTATACATTCCTCGTTTTCACCAGTTGCTCTCGTTACCTAGCAACATGAACACTAATTGGATGATTTTGAAAGTCTTATTTTCAATCATTTTGTGAATAAGTACAACTTGAAAGCATTTTTTGTGTTTCTTTGTTGCATAATATATAGTCACCACATAGTTTATTTAGTTTGGGTTTATAGGCTACATAAATATTAGCTGAAAGGTTAAGCCGAATAGAACAGTTTTTGGCACGCAGGAAGACGTAATTGTCGAAATGCTTCAGACTTAAACTAACTTCAAAATTCTAATGTAAACCATAATCTAAAGATAGTCAGATTAACATAATATCTGATTTGAACGAGTTCATCTACACTCTACCTGAACAGTAGGTAGATGGGGTAGATGAACTACCTGTACAGTAGGTAGATGGGGTAGATGAACTACCTGTACAGTAGGTAGATGGGGGTAGATGAACTACCTGTACAGTAGGTAGATGGGGTAGATGAACTACCTGTACAGGTAGTTAGATGGGGTAGATGAACTACCTGTACAGTAGGTAGATGGGGTAGATGAACTACCTGTACAGTTGTAGATGGGGTAGATGAACTACCTGTACAGTAGGGTAGATGGGGGTAGATGAACTACCTGTACAGTAGGTAGATTGGGGTAGATGAACTACCTGTACAGTAGGTAGATGGGGTAGATGAACTACCTGTACAGTAGGTAGATGGGGGGTAGATGAACTACCTGTACAGTAGGTAGAATGGGGTAGATGAACTTACCTGTACAGTAGGTAGATGGGGTAGATGAACTACCTGTACAGTAGGTAGATGGGGTAGATGAACTACCTGTACAGTAGGTAGATGGGGTAGATGAACTACCTGTACAGTAGGGGTAAGGGATGGGGTAGATGAACTACCTGAACAGTAGGTTAGATGGGGTAGATGAACTACCTGTACAGTAGGTAGATGGGGTAGATGAACTACCTGTACAGTAGGTAGATGGGGTAGATGAACTACCTGACAGTAGGTAGATGGGGTAGATGAACTACCTGAACAGTAGGTAGATGGGGTAGATGAACTACCTGTACAGTAGGTAGATGGGGTAGATGATCTACCTGTACAGTAGGTAGATGGGTAGATATCTACCTGTACTGTAGGTAGATGGGGTAGATGAACTACCTGTATCAGTAGGTAGATGGGGGTAGATGAACTACCTGTACAGTAGGTAGATGGGGTAGATGAACTACCTGTACAGTAGGTAGATGGGGTAGATGAACTACCTGTACAGTAGGTAGATGGGGTAGATGAACTACCTGTACAGTAGGTAGATGGGGTAGATGAACTACCTGTACAGTAGGTAGATGGGGTAGATGAACTACCTGTACAGTAGGTAGATGGGGTAGATGAACTACCTGTACAGTAGGTAGATGGGGTAGATGAACTACCTGTACAGTAGGTAGATGGGGTAGATGAACTACCTGTACAGTAGGTAGATGGGGTAGATGAACTACCTGAACAGTAGGTAGATGGGGTAGATGAACTACCTGTACAGTAGGTAGATGGGTAGATGACTACCTGTACAGTAGGTAGATGGGGTAGATGAACTTCCTGTACAGTAGGTAGATGGGGTAGATGATCTACCTGTACAGTAGGTAGATGGGGTAGATGAACTACCTGTACAGTAGGTAGATGGGGTAGATAACTACCTGAACAGTAGGGTAGATGGGGGTAGATGAAACTACCTGTACAGTAGGTAGATGGGGTAGATGAACTACCTGTACAGTAGGTAGATGGGGTAGATGAACTACCTGTACAGTAGTAGATGGGGTAGATGAACTACCTGTACAGTAGGTAGATGGGGTAGATGAACTACCTGTACAGTAGTTAGATGGGGTAGATGAACTACCTGTACAGTAGGTAGATGGGGTAGATGAACTACCTGTACAGTAGGTAGATGGGGTAGATGAACTACCTGTACAGTAGGTAGATGGGGGTAGATGAACTACCTGTACAGTAGTAGATGGGGTAGATGAACTACCTGTACAGTAGGTAGATGGGGGTAGATGAACTACCTGTACAGTAGGTAGATGGGGTAGATGAACTACCTGTACAGTAGGTAGATGGGGTAGATGAACTACCTGTACAGTAGGTAGATGGGGGTAGATGAAACTACCTGTACAGTAGGTAGATGGGGTAGATGAACTACCTGGACAGTAGTATGAAAACTACCTGTACAGTAGGTAGATGGGGTAGATGAACTACCTGTACAGTAGGTAGATGGGGTAGATGAACTACCTGTACAGTAGGTAGATGGGGTAGATGAACTACCTGTACAGTAGGTAGATGGGTAGATGAACTACCTGTACAGTAGGTAGATGGGGTAGATGAACTACCTGTACAGTAGGTAGATGGGGTAGATGAACTACCTGTACAGCAGGTAGATGGGGTAGATGAACCTTGACCCGGTAATAACCCAGGAGTAGACGGTGCCATGACGCAATGTGACATGTGTTACGATTGGTTTCACAACAAGTGTGTTTCCATTGCTAAGCACAAGGACGTCAAGAACAGCGAAATCATGAAGGACGTTAAGGTGAGATTGTGGTCCGCGGTTATTTACGGTTATTTGCGGCTATTTCCACAATATTTTATCAGACAATAATGATGGTAGTTACAATGTTACTGAGAAATGTTCTTCTCAAAGTTTGAATCTGACTAGCAACAGGAATCGATGAGTATTGAGTTTCAACCCAACAAACATCACGTATTATATTATTATAATTATTATAATTATATAATTATATAATTATATAATTATAATTATATTATTATAATTATCCCACTTGTTTCAGTATTTGTGCCCGCTGTGCAGCAGAACAAAGCGCCCGTCCGTGGACCAAGCACTGGGACTACTCATCACCCTTAGGCAGGCTGGTCAGTGCCAACTATTTCCTTCTACGCAATCATCTTATCCTTTTTGTTCGCGTATCCTTGAGAATTTACTTGAATGGAATTAAATACATGATCTTTTTCGTCAACCATACAAATTGAAAATCGCCTAGAAATTGAGAATTGTAGTAAAATTTACAAACAATGCACTCGGAGGACGAGTAACATTCAACAATCATTCGGAGTGAATACTAGCTTGTCATATGAGGCTCCTTGTAAGGTTCATCGGGTTCTTGCCAGGATTATATTATATATTAGATATTCTCTCTGAATCAGTGTAGTAAATTCCACCTTAATCCCCCATTTGGTTAAATAAGTCGAGCTCTGGTCGACAGGGAAACTTTTATTTAAATAGGGTTCTTTCCTAATGTCAGGTTAACAACAGGATAACAACACTAAAGTTAGTTACTACGGTATTATGGAGATTATTGAGTTATTGGATGTTTGTGAAAATGTAATGAATCATCCGTTGAATATCATTAACATTATATTTAACATGATTAAGTGAATTGAAAACAGCGTTAACATCAAAATTTCAAGTTCGATAACAAAACTTTCACTTTAAAAATCAACATCGTCCCAACTGCATTAAATATCAAACCCAAAAGGTCCTTAAAAACCACCGTCAAGTCTGGGACGTGTCCGGATTGTCATATTTACAGTTGACACAGTTGTTGTCTGTCTCAGAGTTGTAATCCCCACATCCAGGGCACTTCCACACTGCTTCACAGGAGGCCAGCGTTTCTTTACATACGGAACATCTGCGTAGGGTGGGGTCGTTATAGGTCTTACAGTGTGTACATCTCCACCTGGGGGAGGGTGGGAGGGTTAGTGGGGGGAGGGTGGGAGGGTTAGTGGGGGAGGGTTAGTGGGCGAGTGGGGGAGGGTGGGAGGGTTAGTGGGGGAGAGTGGGGGGAGGGTGGGAGGGTTAGTGGGGGAGGGTTAGTGGGGGATGGTGGGAGGGTTAGTGGGGGAGGGTTAGTGGGGGAGGGTTAGTGGGGGGGGGGGAGATCATGTTATTTTTTGTCCGTTTTTGTCCGTTTTTGTCCGTTAATTTTTGTCCGTTTTGAAAATATAGCTGCCAAACGGACAAAAACGGACAAAAACGGACAAAAATTGTAACTTTTGATTTAAATTTTCTCCACAATTTGTAACAGGCTATCTGCAGAAATGGGTAGCCCGGTTAATGACCATGGTCCTTTCTCAAACTTTTAATCTTCAATTAGGCACAAAGAATACCTAGTCTACACATTTTTTAATAACATAAAAAGGGATGAAAAGTTTTATTACTGGAGAGTAAAACTTTGTTAAACACAAAGATTCTTGAGCACATTTTGAGTCAGACTCAAATGCGCTTAAAAACATTTTAGTATATAACAATAAATTATGTTAACAATAACACCAACAATAATTATAAATTGAACAAATTATTGAGAGATGAAAGAGAGGAAAAAGAGGAGGGGGGACTGAGGAGGGGGACTGAGGAGGGAGAGGAGGGGGGCTGAGGAGGAGTGAGACTGAGAAGGAGAACTGAGGAGGAGGAATGAATAGGAGGAGGAGAAGAAGGACTCAAGAGGAGGAGGACCCAAGAGGAGGAGGACCCAGGATAAGGCCCCATGAGGAGGACTGGGGAGGAGGAGGACCGATGAGGACTGATGAGGACTGATAAAGAGGACTAAGGACGAGGAGGAGGAGGAGGAGGAGAAGGACTGAGGAGTGAGGAGGAGGACTGATGAGGAGAAGGAGGTGTATGAGGAGGATGAGGAGGAGAAAGGAGATAAAGGATGAGGATAAGGAGGACTGAGGAGGAGGACTGGTGAAGAGGACTGATGAGGAGGAGGACTGAGAAGGGGAGGACTTAGGAGGACTGAGGAGGGGAGGACTTAGGAGGAAGAGGAGGATTGAGCAGGAGGAGGACTGAGGAGTAGAAGGAGGAAGAAGACTGAGGAGGATCAGGAGGACCCAGGAAGAGGAGGAAGAGGAGGAGGACTGAGGAGGAGAAGGAGGACCCAAGAGGAGGAACCAGGAAGAAGAGGAGGAGGAGGACTGAGAAGGAGGAGTTAGACTGAGAAGGAGAACTGAGGAGGAGGAATGAATAGGAGGAGGAGGAGAAGAAGGACTCAAGAGGAGGACTGAGGAGGAGGAGGACTAAGGAGAAGGATGAGGAGGAGGACCCAAGAGGAGGAGGACCCAAGAGGAGGAGGACCCAGGAGGAGGACCCAGGAAAAGGCCCCATGAGGAGGACTGGGGAGGAGGAGGACTGATGAGGACTGATGAGGACTGATAAAGAGGACTAAGGACGAGGAGGAGGAGGAGTGAGGAGGAGGACTGATGAGGAGGAGGTGTACGAGGAGGATGAGGAGGAGAAAGGAGATGAAGGAAGGAGATGAAGGATGAGGATAAGGTGGACTGAGGAGGAGGACTGGTGAAGAGGACTGATGAGGAGGAGGACTGAGAATGGGAGGACTTAGGAGGACTGAGGAGGGGAGGACTTAGGAGGAAGAGGAGGATTGAGGAGGAGGACTGAGGAGTAGAAGGAGAAAGAAGACTGAGAAGGATCAGGAGGACCCAGGAAGAGGAGGAGGACTGAGGAGGAGAAGGAGGACCCAGGAGGAGGAACCAGGAAGAAGAGGAGGAGGAGGACTGAGAAGGAGGACTGAGAAGGAGAAGGAGGACTGATGAGGAGGATGAGGATGAGGAGGAGGGTGACTGGGGAAAGGATTGAGGAGGAGGAAGACTGAGGAGGAGGAAGAGGAGAAGGACTGAGGAGGAGAAGGACTGAGGAGAAGGAAGAGGAGGAGGACTGAGGAGGAGGACCCAGGAGGAGGAGGACACAGGAAAAGGCCCCAGGAGGAGGAGGATGACTTGGGAGGAGGAGGACTGATGAGGACTGATGAGGAGGAGAAGTAAGTGGATGAAGAGGATGAGGAGGACTGAGGAGGAGGACTGGTGAGCAGAAGGAGGAGGACCCAGGAGGAGAAGGAGGAGGAGGAGGATAACTGAGGAGGAGGAGAAGGACTGAGGAGGAGAAGAGGGATCCAGGAGGAGAACCCAGGAGGAGGAGGAGGAGGACTGAGGAGGAGGACTAAGGAGAAGGAGGACTGATGAGGAGGATGAGGAGGAGGGTGACTGGGGAAAGGACTGAGAAGGACTGAGGAGGAGAATGCGGACTGAGGAGGAGGAACCAGGAAAAGGAGGAGGAGGACTGAAGAGGAGGACTGAGAAGGCGAAGGAGGACTGATGAGGAGGATGAGGATGAGGAGGAGGGTGACTGGGGGAGGACTGATGAGGAGGGTGACTGGGGGAGGACTGAGGAATATGAGGAAGACTGAGGAGGCGGAGGAAGAGGAGAAGGACTGAGGAGGAGAAGGACTGAGGAGGATGACTGAGGAGGAGGAGGACTGAGGAGGAGGAGGAGGACTGAGAAGGAGGAGGACTGAGGAGGAGGAGGACTGAGGAGGAGGAGGACTGAGGAGGAGGAGGAGGAGGAGGAGGAGGAGGAGGAGGAGGAGGAGGAGTGAATAGGAGGAGGAGGGGGACTGGGCAGGACTGAGGAGGAGGACTGAGGAAAAGGATGAGGAGGAGGACTGAGAAGGAGGACTGAGCTGAGGAGGAGAACTGAGGACTGAGGAGGAAGAGGAGGAGGATGAAGAGGAGGTGGACCCAAGAGGAGGAGGTCCCAGGAGGAGGACCCAGGAGGAGGACTCAGGAGGAGGAGGAGGATGACTGAGGAAGACTGAGGAGGAGGAGGAAGCATCTAAATATTATTTCCATTTTTGTTATTTTTTGTCCGTTTTTGTCCGCTCTATTTTTTGTCCGTTTTGATAATATAGGGTTCGAACGGAAAAAACGGATAAAAAACAGGATCCCCCTGGAGGAGGAGGAGGAGGAGGAGGAGAAGGATGACTGAGGAGGAGGACTGAGGAGGACTGAGAAGGAGGAGGACTGAGGAGTACTGAGGAGGATCGCTGAAGAGGATGGCTGAGGAGGATGGCTGAGGAGGATGACTGAGGAGGATGACTGAGAGGGAGGAGGAGGACTGAGAAGGAGGAGGAGAAAGAGGACCCAGGAGGAGGACTCAGGAGAAAGAGGAGGAGGAGGACTCAGAAGGAGGAATGAGGAGGACTCAGAAGGAGGAATGAGAAGGAGGAATGAGAAGGAGGAGAACTGAGGAGGAGGAGGAGGAGGACTGAATGGGAGGAGGAGGGGAGGACTGAGGAGGAGGAGTACTGACGAAAAGGATGTGGAGGAGGACTGAGGAGAAGGACTGAGGACTGAGGAGGAAGAGGAGGAGGATGAAGAGGAGGAGGAGGACCCAGGAGGAGGAGGACTGAGGAGGATGATGAGGACTGCAGAGGAGGAGGACTGAGGAGGACTGAGGAGGACTGAGGAGGATGGCTGAGGAGGATGGCTGAGGAGGAGGAGGAGGAGAAGGTGGAAGAGGAGGAGGAGGAGGAGAAGGAGGAGGAGGAGGAGGAGGAGGAGGAGGAGGAGGAGGAGGAGGAGGAGGAGGAGGAGGAGGAGGAGGAGGAGGAGGAGGAGGAGGAGGAGGAGGAGGAGGAGGAGGAGGAGGAGGAGGAAGCATCTAAATGTTATTTCAATTTTTGTTATTTTTTGTCCGTTTTTGTCCGTTTTTGTCCGCTTTATTTTTTGTCCGTTTTGAAAATACAGCTGCCAAACGGACAAAAACGGACAAAAAAACATGATCCCCCCCCTTAGTGGGGGAGGGTGGAAGGGTTAGTGGGAGAGTGGGGTAGGGTTAGGTGGGGGAGGGTGGGAGGGTTAGTGGGCGAGTGGGGGAGGGTGGGAGGGTTAGTGGGGGAGGGTGGGAGGGTTAGTGGGGGGAGGGTGGGAGGGTTAGTGGGGGAGGGTTAGTGGGGGATGGTGGGAGGGTTAGTGGGGAGGGTTAGTGGGGGAGGGTGGGAGGGTTAGTGGGGAGGGTTAGTGGGGGAGGGTGGAAGGGTTAGTGGGAGAGTGGGGGAGGGTTAGGTGGGGGAGGGTGGGAGGGTTAGTGGGGAAGTGGGGGAGGGTGGGAGGGTTGTAGGTCTTACAGTGGGTGCCGAGTGGGTGATGGGTTGACTTAAATGGGTGCCTACTCACGCGATAAGAACAGGTGTTTTAGCAACAGCAGTAGGAGTCTTCACGCACTGATCACAGGTTCCCACTCCCGAGCAAGCTTCACACAGGTTAGGGGTGGGTTCTCCGCATTCCTCACATTCCTCGTAGATCCACGTGTTACAATGGTCACATCTTGGGCACACCCACTCTGCTGATATGTTGTCTTGCCTGCAGGGGGTCTGTCTTCAAACCTTGGAAAACTCAGCACGGAGTATGTCTTCAAACGTTGAAAAACTCAGCAGGGAGTCTGTCTAAAAAACTTGAAACACTCAGCATGAAGGGCATAAACGAAGATAGATGCTGATAGATAATGCACTTTTGTTGTTTTTATTCTGAACGTCGGGCTTATGTATAAATAAGCAAAAGAAAGAACTAACCCGCTCTCTGAAAAAGTGAAAACAAGTTTCTGTTTGGGCGTAAACTGATCCATAAAAAGGAAGAAAGACGTGGAAATATCAATAACACTCGTTCGTCCAGGCAGACACACGACTGTATAACGGATTTTAATTAGTGACGGGCGGTTTGGACCGAGCCAAGATGGTTTAATTGCAACTATGTAGTAGGCGTGCCATGTGTCCAACACATTGTCAGCGTGATTTTAATTATCACATTATTTATGGAACAAAAAGTAACACTCTCAAAATATACTTGGAGATATGGTTTCTCTAAAATACGTGGAAAGAGTGTAATATTTACACAGCTGATATGAGTACTGCGCTAGACATTATGGGCTAAACATGGGGTAAAACATGGATAATTTTGGCCAATGTAAGGATTCTACGTTAAGTTACAAATGGCACTCACTCGCCAGCTTTGAGGAAAATTGGCCACAAAAAAAGGCAAGAAGAATGCTAAATGGTAGCCATACGATGTTTTCTTGTTATGGCGTGGACTGTAGCCTTACGAATATAACAGTTCGTTGTTAGGATGACAACCCACTGTCAAGGAGAACCACTTATCTCTTCAATATAAGTATCCAATATCCATGTGGTATGGAGTCCATATCTGTCACAAGATATCACAACATCAAGATACCACTACATTGCTTTTGAACACTTAACCATAAATTAAAAGCGGAAACATTAAATAACAAAAGTAAAATATTCAGTAGCTCATTATATAGGGCTTATTTCGAAAAGATACTGCAACAACTCAATCTTATGTAGGAATCGCTGGCAAAATGTCACCTGACCTGCGTCATTCTTCTTAAAAGTAGCAACATACTGCCATAAGCCCAATTTTCTTAAATTTACCTAAGACTAAACAACTCCGAGGGAAGTCACGATGTAACAAACCCAGAAGATTTATATGCTTTTGAGTTCTGACCATGATGTAGCCAGAGTTGTGATTACTTATCGCAGCGGGTCATTTGACTGTCTAGATAATATGTTATTGATTCAAACCCGCGAACTTCTTGAATCCGTATCTGAGTAGATATCTCCCTGATGTTGAACACTAGGTCCTACTTGTCAACGAGATGAACTACGCACGGAGCTTCTCTGATTTCCTAATATCTGCTAACCTGAAGTAATGACATTTTGGAATTAGACAGTTCCAAAATGTCTCACTACGATTACATATCTTATCTCCCTCAGGATTGGCATTGCCAGAGGGCGTGGCACTCAGCTATCTCATCGAGCGAGCCATGGAATGGCAAGAGAAAGTTAGAGCTATTATCGCCAAACACCGAGCTCTGCCTAACGCCGTTGACAAACAAGGTTGGATTTTATTATTTCTTATCCTTGGCTGTTTGTATATATATATATTTACTAAGCTCTTAGCAGATTGAAAGATAACACCACTACTTGAAGTATGATTAATTACAGATTAATTAATTAATTAATTACAGAGATTTATCACTTCAGCGTACATTGATCAGCACGTCTCCCTGAAAGATAGGAACCAGATAGAGGAGTACATGGTTAAAGGAGATCTCATTGAACTCCATCTAGAGGAAACTACTGATCTATGGAATTTGCTAAGTAAGTACATATTTCTTTCTGACAGTTTTGACTCTAATCGGTCATCCTTGCAGACTATACTATTGAGTAACCCGCTACTTACTAATACTACGTAAAAAGCATGGCCTGACCTTAAATAATGATATGCTCGTGATACTTTAACTTAAAATAAGGGTTTATTAAAGTTGACGGAATAACTGCAATGCTCCACCACCAATAACTACCTACACTTAACAACTTTTTATTTGACAGCTTATCACAGATAATGGTATATAGGCTCAGAACAACATCACGTGACGTCATAACAAGTTGGCGTGACGTCACATTCCACCCTGATGACGTCACGTCACAGGATCACAACTAATCTTACTTCCCTCCCAGATATAGTTGACGAGCACGTGGTCCCGGAGAAGAAACTGCCTGTCTCCAAGCGATCCTCTCCAGGAGGCCCTTCTAAGCCTCCCTCCCTCCCTTCCTCCAAACCACCCTCCCCAACCGGGTCCCACACTTCCAACAAGCGCAGGAAGACACCCTCAGATGAACGTAGTAATGGAAGCAATAGCTCTATCAGTGCAACCCGGAAGCGGAGGAAGGATCGTCAGAACACCGGTAGTGATGAACTCTGCAGCGTTCTGGTAAAATATTTACCTGTTTTTTAGCGTTGTATTTAATCTAGTTCATTAACTTCAAGCACTTTAGTCTTTACCAATTATAAAGAAGCTTTTCCCACTGTTATTCCCTCATTTATTTGGTCATTATCTGTAGGACTGTCTGAGACCAGAGGGAGCGAAAGTGGGCTGGATCCAATGTGACAAGTGTGAGAAATGGTACCACCTCGAGTGTGTGGCAATCTCCAACAAGGAGGCAGAGCAGATCGAGGACTACACCTGTCCCGTCTGTATTAACACAACGTGACGTCATCAGGGTGGAACGTGACGTCACGCTAACTTTTTGTGACGTTATTATTACGTCACGCCAGTTTGATGTGACGTCACGTGATGTTGAAGTCAGGTCTGTTGGAGTGTTGTCCAGTTGTGGGAAGACTCTGGTTAAGTAAGCGGGGTTTGATGATAATAAATTATTTTGAAGACGACAGTCTGTTGTGAAAGAATGCAGTGACCTGATAGTAATTGATATTCAGCTGTCAACTGTATTATTTAAGATTTACATTTACAATTTTCTTTGCCCTGCAATCGAATTATGATATGAAAATTTCAGTTCAGCAGATTAGAATCTTTGATATTAATATACATTTCTGCAAGTAGAAATGTCGATATACTTTTTTCGGAAAAGCAATGTATCACGGCAGAATTACCAGACTTTTGCAGCATGTAAATGTTTTGAGTTGAAACTTATTGGCTACAGCGTATAGAATAAAGATATGTGTTTGAGTATTGGATTTTAAGTTTGATATTTGAGCGCTTTCATCTGTCAAGTACCCTCTTTTATGTAAGACGCTAATCTTGCGATTTATAGTGAAAATTGAAGTGCAGCAGTATTATGAACGCCTATTCGGAGTTATGGTCTAGTCTTGCAGTCAGTGTAACTGTAGACTTAAATATAGACCGACTGGTCATGTGTAATTCCGTTCAACTTCAAGCTTTACTCCTCAACTATTCAGTTCTGTGTATCTTTTAACATTCTTCAGTATATTAGTACTATAGTACTAGTAGCTTAATGTGTGTAATATTAAGCGGATAAGATGTTCGTGGTATGTGTACTGAAGATGTTATTAAAGCATATTTTATGTATAATGTAATACGATACTGATTAATTATCGTGTACTGATACTCCTATACCCACTGATGACTGACTTTGGTCGGTTAATTTTCAGAATTTCATCGTTTTTCTTTGATATTGGCAACAGTAAACGCCAACGGTCATATACATTGACCGTTTAATTGAAAAGTTCTCAGGTATGGAGAAAAGGAAGGATAGAGAGTGGAAACAAGGAAACGGGGACACAGCTGGAGAATGGAAGAATCATCAAAATGGGACATTTGAGATAAATTCAAGGCGCGCGCTATATGCCATGGCTCTTACTAATTCGCTCGCCCAAAAATTTCACGTGACTTTGGTTTTTATGGTTTAACAGCCGTACAAAACGTTGATTGACGATGTCAATCCGTCGAGATCGTTGCTCTGCGAAGCAGAGCAACGATCAACGATGTGAAGCAAGAATGCCAGTTTGCGCGGCGCGTCGAAGCGGCGAAGTCCTCCAATACAAAACGGTTTTACATAAACCCTAATCCCATGACCCTAACCCTAACCATAACCCCGAAGTTAACCATAACCCTTACCACAATCCTAACCCTAACCCGAGCCCTAGACAATCGAATTTATGTTTTACTAGCCTGTCACGTGACCAAAACGGTTTTTTGCCCATAACTCTCCAGGGAAGAATTTTTACCCTACGTCATGGGGGGTGATTCGGATTTTCTTAAAATTTGGGCGAGCGATTTAGTAGGAGCGGAAAACTATAGATTTTATAAAAGCTTTCTTTCTCCTCTAACTGACGCAATAAAATGTAGTCAGGCGGACTGATCCCGGAATTCAGGGGAAGCAGCCGAAGGCTTCAAGTCCAATAATCCAAATTTTTGTCGTAATTATCGACGAAATTTAACTTCTTTCGGACTTTGTTTTTAGACTGAACTGTAGTATGACTATGAAGGATTATCTCTCGAATGATTAAGACTCCATAGGAAACTGACCCTCAGAAGTCAAGTAATGATCGTTTCTAAAAGCTTGTATACTACGTGACGCGCTTGCAAGTAAATATGGGGTCTCCTTAGCACGCTGACGCATGTCATAAATTTTGACACAGTAGAGGTGAAATCAGAGGGGTGCCATAGATCATAGTATAACGTACAAAATATTTAAGTAGACTACAAACCATCGACTTGTAACATGTAAGGTGTGAGCATAATGACTGGTGATTATGATCTGGTCCGAAGACCGCTAGAAACTCAGCCAGCTTTATGTCGAGCCTTGTTTGATGTAGTCTTAATGTGGGGTAACAGGTTCTAACTTCTAGCACGAGCAGATATCATGAGTTAAATGCTTCAAATATCATATTGACTATTACCTGGGGATACTTTACGTTTTTTGGTCTTGCTGCCGTAGTCTTTAAGAGTGAGGACTTCACATAGCCATGTGCCTACGCGTACTGCGTGACGCGCTTGTTTCACAAGTAGGATAGGCACATACAGATCAGCACACATAAGATGGTACGTGTGTGCGCGCGCAGTGCTGACAATTGCGTCGTATTTAACCCCGGGTGCACGTACATCGTGTGCGATTATTTATACTTATCGAAGGCTATAAATGCCTCTTGTTTATTTTAATTTGGTATTGTTCACTTTTAGACGATAAAATACAGGAACTGCGGTATAATAATACGAATAATTAAGATTGCACGATCAAAATACATCACGAAACAGTATTAACTACCTCGCTACTTATCAACTTATACTATGCGACAAAGATACACAATGCAATATTTATATACTTATAGAATAAACGAAACACAGTATTCAGTATTTACTAGTACTACCCCGCTACTAGTACCAGTAGTAGTACTACAACTTAATGCGACAAAGGTCAAAGATATTGTATAAAATATAACTAAATAAACAATACGGTGCCCATGCCTGAGCTTTATAAAACTGGAAACACTTCTCAGATTAATTATTTTGCTTCTCTCAAAAACAATTACAAACTAACAATTTTTCAACGTTAAACAGCTACATTAAACATTAACATTACACTTCATTTCATCTGGTGGGTCAGCATGGTCTATTCTCGTTCAGCTAATTGAATCAAGGCAGGTAGTACGTTTTCATGAAAAGTCGGGGTGAGATGTGCCGAGAGCGGGAATTGAACCCACGACCTGCATAGTTGCAACCTTGGATTCCTTGGACCTGGATTCTTCGGCTACTTAAACATGGCATGAAATACGGCTGTGGCTAAGAATCCCACTCCCAGTAAACATTACACTTCACTATCCGAAAGAAAGGGGCTCGTCGCTGCAGCTGCCTGACTTCGACTTGATCCTGAAAAAGTACATGTCATTTAGGTACCGCGACAATTGTGAATTGACCCCCCGACGATTGACCCCCTATGTAATTACACTGGGGTCAATTGTCGCGAAATCTAGGGTTTAGTACGACAATTGACCCCCTACCTATGTAATTACACTAGGGTCAATTGTCGCGAAATCTAGGACTTAGTACGACAATTGACCCCCATGTAATTACACTGGGTCAATTGATCGGGTTAGGGTCAGGGTCAGAGTCAGTGGTCAGGGTAAGGCCTAGGGTTAGGGTCAGGGTCCTGGGTCAGGGTCAGGGTCCTGGATCAGGGTCAGGGTCAGGGTTAATTGTATTAAATTATATTGTCGGGGGGTAAATTGTCGCCCACCCGTCATTTAATGTAATTACATAATACAATATAATACATAATACAATGTAAATGTTGCTGTTACAAAATGTATAGCTAACATAAGCGAGCGTTCATGTATGACGTCAGCAGCCGAGGGAAAAGGGTGTTTGGAAATGCTGACGGTTGCTGACGGGAGGGGGAGGTATGAGCCTTGTTAACGTCAACAAAAATACGTGAATTCAATCAATTTTATTAACATTAAAACGTCACTAATTTCCTTAAAATTAGTACTCGAACTGAACTCTGGTGACCAACTGCTTAAATCAGTCACACACTAATTTTCCCTGCCTCATGCCTACTACTGGAAACTGTATCTCCAGACAAGTGTCAGACGTTACTATGCATTGGTTGCTCTTCAAAAAGGTTAGCAAAAAGATAAAGAGTGCGACCCTGATAAACTTTTGGGAGAGATTCATCGACGACATATTTGGAGTGTGGATGGGGACAATTTACAATGTTTGTCGAATTGTTGAACAAACTGGCTAAATCAAACTGGCAGAACCATATATAGAATCAAGGTTAACTTATTAGACCTTACCTTGAGCTTGGACTCAGAAAATCAGATCTGGTACAAGCTATTTAGAAAGGAAACAGATGCTAGGAACTACTTGAGATCAGATACATATGTAGTTTCCAACCCCACCATGTGTGGGGGACCTGGGCGAACTAAAGGAGGATCTTGCCAGATGCGGACACAACAACAACGGTGACAAACTAGAAGAAATCGAGCCGAAAGCAATACAGAGGTCTATTGAGAACCCAGGAAATCCAACCAGAGACACTGAGGATAAGACACAACAGAGCCTCGTATTTTCCGTACAACACTCTTGATAACATTAGTCTTAAAAAGTTGGTTAAGAACTTAATCTGGTCATTAAGCTACTAGGTTAATGTTATGTGGGGATGTACGGATAGTATTTGCCACTAGGAAACACCCTTCAATCGGTAATACACTAAAAAAGAATCGACAACTGGGACAACTGAAAACCCTTGATGTAGGACAATTACAGAGGTGTAATGGACCTAGCTGCAAAATTTGCCCCGTCCTCTAACCTCTTTGACAAAGACTCAAAAGATCATGGTCAACAACATAGAACTGGTGCTAGAAGGAACTCTAACATGCAAGGACAAGCATGTTATCTACCTTATCGGTCATTATTATCACGGACATTACTTTCACACTGAAGACCTCAGCGTGAATAATTATGTCCGTGAAAATAATGTCTGTGGCATTAAGGTCCGTGAATAATAAAGTCCGATAATTATTTCCATTATTTTTGTGTGCGTCCCCACATAGGCGTAGATATGTCTGTAGCCGATTACTATATTTAGTCAGGGACGAAACGGAATCTCGTTAGCTTTTCGTGTTAAAAGCGATTTCTCAACGGTTATCACCTCTCTAGATGATTCTTAAAACATTTGGACTTCATTGCATTTTTGAAATAAATGCAATGAGGGCGTTTTCGGCCACACCCTTTTTCAGGGTTTCGCGGTCACTCGAATTTTTGTATATCAGCTCAGGAAGGTCTAAAAGACTATTCTGGTACACCAAAATGTGCCTAATAGCCACATTTATATACAACTTATGAAGCAACATATACCTTAAAATGCTTCGTTTCGGAATTATGGCCGAAAAACGGTTTTTGGCTTGAAGCAGTTCATAATTTCCGTGATTTTTGGCATTTTCGCCTAGGAAGGTCGCAGAGACTATTCTGATACACTAAAATGTGCCTAATAGCCACATTTATATACAACTTATGAAGCAACATATACCTTAAAATGCTTCGTTTCGGAATTATGGCCGAAAAAACGGTTTTTGGCTTGACGCAGTTCATAATTTCCGTGATTTTTGGCAATTCCGCCTAGGAAGGTCGTAGAGACTATTCTGATATACTAAAATGTACATAATGGCCACATTTATCTACAAATTATGAATCAACATATTATACCCTAAAAGGC